TACATAGAAATAGACCCCCCACCTCAATTGAGGTCCGGTCCTTCAGGAAAAAAATTCACATGGGGTAAACCACTAGGAGAAGGGGGGCACACCATGCAACAGGGGATTATCCTATGGTCCTAGGCTCCTGATACATTGTTCATATTACTGAATAGGTGCTGGGAATCATTTTTCCAAGTCCATCCATCTACAAATAATTAAATGGGAACATATTTTGTGTTTTTCTATATATGTGTTAGATTTATTGATGTAGGACACTTCAGAGGGTCAAATAAAGTTGGGAATATCTTCATATATACTCATAATCATGTTCTGAATACCCTAGGACACTTCCTTGTCAAAGGGGCAAAAGTGCGAAAATGTTTTATATCCTGCATCATTTTGAAAGGGTCCTGGAGGAGGAGCAGGTACACAAATAGACAAAAAAAGCGGTCTGTTATATTATATTATACATATATAAACCAAACTACTACTTATATATGAAAGGGGAGCAATTGTGGTGTGGTGGTGAAGCTGCAGTGATATGGGGAGGGTGTGGGAACAATTGATATTGTGGAGATTCCCAAAATGGGCGATGTTTTTGGTGTTGTGGGGGCGAACATGTGATGTGTGGGAATAATGTGGGAAGACCTGACATGAGGAGGTGACCAAAATGGGATATGTTTTGTGAATAATAAATATATCCTGGAATGACAAACAGCTGAATTTCAAAAATGCGAAAAATGCGGCTGTGTATGCAACAGATGGGATTTTCATGGGATACATCCAATGGATAATGGATAATCTTACTGGATGATGTATCCTAGTTTTAGGCTTATAGTCCAGTCTGGATGTATCAATATAGCATTATGGACTCGCGACCGGCCTTACACGCCAGCGGCACTTTTCTCGATGACTTAGTACGCGCGCACTCATTGTCGCCTTCCCTCAGTCATCTATCCGGGACCGATGGTACGTCCATCCATCCCTAGCACAATACTCGAACTAACTTACAGTAGAACTACTCATGCTTGTATTTAGGTAGAGCACCAATACAGTCATCTATCCGAGACTGAGGAACCACTCACACTTTGTATCTAGGTTTCCTACAGACTTGTCGACATCTTTCACGCTGACGGCACTTTCATTTCAGTGAGTTGGTCTCACTGCAGTCAATCCGAGTCTTGATGCTACTTTTCTTCACGTCGGGACTAGCACTTCCAATTGAGGTTCGATTGGTGATTTTGTCCATTGACGTATGAGAAATCTGGGAGCTGATCACAAAGCGAGCGAGTACGAAATAATGGTACAAAAGTATCAAGGATATCTCGGAGACCCCGTATCGTGTCAAATCCAATGATAACTGTACACTCGGCATAGAGTCTGACTCAATGCCCAACAGCCAGCGCATTTCGTGTTCATGTCCCGGCTGGCAAATGATGAACATCATGATGAAACGCAGAAGGAACCTCCGAAAAGTTCGGAATGTGAGACAAACATGATCTGGATGATGCATCGCCGAATTACCACCAGACCTTGCTCAAAAAAGTAACTAAGTGATGATCGGACCGTCTGTATGAACTAAGTTCTCAAGATCTTAGGTGGCAATCTGCTGGCATTGCAGTATCATATCATATGTTTGGAAGGGTAGATAAATTCTTCCTACATCCCCATGAACAACAATATTCAGCACATAAAAGCAAGCTGTCTTCCTACTGTCCCCTTCAGATTTATTACATCACATCCTCATAAACAATGTTCTCCTTTCTCCTCGCAGTTGTTGCTGCTTTGGTATCAATATCTGCAGCATCAATATCTTCCAGTGACTCTGACACCTCAAAATGTGTCACATTTTGTGTCCTTGATGGCGCCTGCCGCGGCTGCACTCCACCTGAATGCGTGAGTATAAGTAGTTTGCGTCCTGGATTTAACCACATGACTCACCGGCATGATAGTTCCTCTTTGTATGCGGTGCCTAGTGTGACAGTGAGTCATGTTTGTGCTTTCGCATCTGTGTAGTATGGTTGATGGCACGACGCGTGAGTTACTACTAGCGGGTTATAGAGGAGGACTGTCATTGTCTTCAGCGGAAAGACCTATAGAAGTACTATGCATGGGGCGATGATGATCTGCATTTTTTTTTGTAATACTTGAGAATGAATCTCTGAATATTTGGTCGCTTGCCAATGTTTTTCGGCGTCCATGCGATGGGGACTGTGTGTTAGTATCAATAAATTGTTCAGGAAGAGCTCGATTTGCATATGCGTGGCGAAGCGAGTCTCGATGTTTATAAATGCAATTCTGAGAAATGCAATCGAACGAACCCATGTGCATCCAAAACCGACCACATACATGCGACCGCGGGGCATGAGATACAACAGACATCCCATGAGCACGAGTAATGTCCACAAAGTTGGCCTGTGTCAGATTCAGAAGGTTCTCCACAACGAGACGGACACTGGGGGCAGTCGCAGCCAGATAAAGGCCAACCAGATGCTGCTGCAACTCAGGATTAAGAAGAAACACATTGGAACTGGAATCTGAAAGAAAGCAGCGAGCAAACTTGAAGGGCGACATATTACATAAAACACAATATAGCCAAACGGGCCTCCAATGGTCAGACACCCCTAACGACGCAGAGCGTTGCCTGTCCGCACGCTGAGGTATGTCTCATTGTGTTTCACCTGCTATATTATTGCTAACTGTAGACTAGTTACACTTTAGGGACTTATAATGTTAGCGTTGTCTCTCTTCACGCTGAGTTGCATTTTAGCCTGCAACAGAAAAAACTACCATGTAGCGGGCTTTGCCACGAAAGCTGGCCCCTACGTCTTATCGACTAAGAGTCTAAGACTCGCGAGTCAAAAGTGGAAATTTCTGATGTATCCTTGTTTGAAATCTTCTTCTAAGTAAATACAGCATCGAATGATATCGACACCAAAATCCCATCAAGTGAAACATCCAGTTTGTGCCAGTCCTCGTACCAAATCGTGATGGCGCTTACGCCTCAAGTCCCCGACTCCGAAGGTTCGGTATACCCCTGCATACCCTAGCTTGCAAACCAAAGTTATCGAAGCTACGATTAGTGATAGTTGTATCAGCTGAACTACAATCTACATCAAAATTGACACATGGGGACACTTAAGAGACCTTGAAGTTACTTTGAAGTGTACACTACTATACGTGTATATTGTGATTGAAAGTTCAGTCATCCTAGTCTCCTGTAGTCAAACTACTTATAAGTGCAACAGTGATTTCATGAAGGGTTCAACGCAGTCAGATCGCCGGATGAACTGTACAGTTCAAGCACAGTCGGCTGCAGAGAAAATCAGAGGAAAATGTTCGTTCGTGTCGGACAATAACCCCCACTAACGTGGGAGTCCGGGAAGTACTTATCATCATTGGGGGGGGATGCAACTGGTCAAGGCAAGACGCGACTAATAATTCGGCAATTCTCGTAACAGATGGTGATCTACTGGCATACACCCGGCTGTCTGCAGACCGACAATGTTCCTTCTGTTGTGTTTCTCGTCTCCCCCACCTCTTCACATCACGTTCAACAATTATTCTTCACAGGAACCTTAACCGGACAATACCCCAGCCCAGCCACAAATTTGCCGTTGTTCTGATGCCATCGCTAGCATGTCAACCGAGAGCAGTGAGCTGCACAATATCCAGAAAGTACTTACGGTGAGATACTGACACTGCACTGTCAGACCGTCGATCTTAACGCCATTATTGTAACTGCCAGTCTATCAGTTACTTTTTCAATGAAGATGTGTGGGCGCGACACACAGGCAAGTTGTGATCTCGCCTGGGGTGGTCTTGGTTAGTTGTATGTCTTTATTTTCGACCGTCAATGTAACTGGGCATTGTATACACGCATTGGCGCCAGCGAGGAAGCTGAGTAGCACAAAGATGATGGAACAGGAAGTCAACATGATGGAGTTTCTGGAAGAAAATGAGGTAAAGCCATGGTAGCATGCAGGTGTTTTATAAGCTGAAACTTCCAGTGTGAACGTAAAGACTTTGCTAGCTTTGCTGCTAAGATGCCAAATGCCCTACTTCAGGCGAAAACAGTTGAGGCAAAATGCATGGTGATTTCCAGACTCGAGAAGAACTATGAACCTCATGAGAAGTTAATGTGGAAGGGCGATGTGCGGCACAATGGGGTTGTGCGGCACGAATGAATCTCCGGTTCCCCAGCGGCCTTGCCTTCGCGTTACTCGTCAGATATATGTGCACGTTCATCGGACGTTGTGACGTCCCACACAACACTCACCGTAATATCACTATCCTTGAATCGATGAAGCTCAGCACGGGCGTCCCATAGATGCCAAAACCCTGCGTAACGTTTGAGTTTTGGCCTTCCGCAGAAGGTTCGTGGCAAGGAGTATCAGGCTGAAGTTAATGACTATCGCTTGGGTGTGGTTACCAAGACGTAACGGCGCTTACGCCCCCAAGTCCCCGACTCCTCATTGGTTGAGCTTCGTGGGGCAACTTAAGAGGGTGGCATGAGTGCACCAGTATATTTAATGACTGCTCACCCACCCGTTGAATACCGTCGCACAAAGCGTACGTCTCTAATCACCTCGTCGTATATATAACTTTGATCGCAGAGCGTTAACATTGCAAGGATGTAGGAAGGGAAAGTGGCTGGCCCATGCGCTTACAACAGCACCATGTTGAGAATAGTATTACCAGCTGATGGGTGGCGGAACGGTGGCAGCAGAGAACGTCAAGCCAAAAGCGTCGACAACAGGAACCAAACAGCGTCGAAACCAGGGCCCTCGCACACTCTGAGTCTATGGGAAAGCGTTCAACCCAGTCAGATCTATAGAGCGTGCATCCATACATGCCATGACTGCCCAGCGAACTCCGCGTGATCAACAGCTAAAGCCTTTCAGCCACAACTTGAAGGCTATTGCCGGAACTACTGTATGGTCGGACGTGTGCAGAGAAAAACGGAGATGTCCGGTTGTCCGACAAAGATCCTCCTACCTCAGGCCTCAAGGCCTGATGATGGGCGCTTAAGAGGTTCCTTATTAGTGGCCGAAGTTCACCGTCAGTGGCCATTGCGCTCTTCTTTCTTCACAACAATATGCCTCATTATTCAAGAATGAAACATCATTTCACAGACAAATCCAGTCTGGAATATATCATCAATCATGTATTTTTCCCCCTCAAGTTGCCGCAAAGGAGTGACCATTCCCTTGAAAATAACTTGGCCTTATCTCAGGCGGTACTGGATGCTGCTTTCGCCTTCAGCGACCAGCTCTCGTCAGATAAGCTGCTGCTGTGGACGAGCAACTTGAAAATGCTTCGGAACTTCAGAGATTCGATCAGATTCAGCGTGATGTCAGTCGAATCTCAGATCAATGCTATGGACAGCAAAGGTTCGTTATCTTGCTCATTGGTATTTTTTTCCCCGTGTTGAGTATCAACTTGCAGATGTCCTTGTATATATGATTCGCGCACAAAACGCTGCGGTGGTCATGAGAAACTTGAATGCGAGACCATATTCGAATCATTCGAAATCTCTCCCGACCCAGCCGCAGTGATGGGTGCAAAGGGAAAGTTGATTTGTTCGTATCCTAGACCCGCTATCACAGTCCCGGATACGAACATTGCCAACGCTACCTTTCTTGCTGAGCTCGCGAATTTTATTGTTCGCATGGATCGAGATGTCCTTGATGCGGCAGCAACGACGAAAAAAAGCTGGGTCTACTGTTCCCGAAGAGAGGGATACTACCCATCCTCGATACATCACGGAACTCCTGACCGGTATACTGCGTGGTCTTGGGAGCATTTCTGATGTTCCTCGCATCCGCAAGCGCATCGGAGATGATGTACTGTGGGACAGCGCGAAATTGCCGTGGAGGCGCTCTTATATCTCGACGACGCCCTATATTAGAGGAACAGATGTCAAGCTACCTTCCAGTTTCCGAGCTGCTGTCACACTTGGCCCCAAACGAAAGACTGCCTGACGCAAGGTTCGTGATTCCAGAAATCATGCATATCAGTTCTGTTATTGACCGAAGACACAGGATGTATGCGAATGCGGAAGCTGGGCGATGGGCACTCAATAATGTTCTTCGCTCCGACTGAAGTTGACCGCAACATCCGTAAAGCGACTCAGAGGGCTGATAGCGACCGCTGTTGACGTGGTACATATCTTGCATTGGGTGGTGCTTCGAAACCTGTCTTGATATTGAGATGCGTGCATCCCACTGGGTTCAAGCAGGGATCGGATTTCAAAACACGGTATTCCGCATGGGCTCAATTCTCAGGTACCCCTACTTCGATCTCCACCCTGGAGACCGCCTGGTTGCAGCCAGAGGAACGTTCATTAGAGGATATGTACGCACCACGCAGTTCTTCACAGGTATCCCAGGTTTGCGATCCAGACATTCAAAGGAAGTGCGAGGAACTCGGAGTTCTATCTGGAGTTCTATCAACCCCTGCAAGAAGCATGGGCGAGGAACAAGAAAGGGAGGTAGAGAGAGAACACCATGTGGAAAGACCGCCTAGGGTAGAATCTGCAGCCCAGAACCTGCATGAGGACATTCGTGCATTCCTCAAGACCGGTCGAATTCCTGTGGGGTCTTCTGCGTTTATTCCAGCGCTATCCAGCCTTGCCGACACCACTGCCGAATTTCATGGGCACGATCGGTGGGCACACAATGTTTTAGTCACCCGCGACTTCGCTCGTACGGTGGGGACTCTCTCTGAAAAATAGAAAGCGGATCATTATTTGCGGTCCGTCAACTGGATTGTATCCAGTGACGTTGGACGCCCAGTGCTGGTAGTTATGAGCCTGACGAAGTGAACGCACTGCTACCTGATATCCGCAGAAGCAATGCAATTTACCTGTGTATCTACACTCCTCGCACCACAAAAACGATGCAGCCATGCGACGACCTCCAACTATACTGTGTTCCTTCAACGCCACCATTGACACCATCAGAACCACTGATTTGCCAGCTCAACCTTTTTGCAGGCCAACTCAATTCCGACATGTATCTGCGCACTTGCAGGTTCTTAGAGCTCAACGCACCGAACTTGGGAAACAAGGACTTGATAGCTGATAGCGACGGGTTCATTAGCAAGGAGAATCGCCCCGCTACAAGAGCATTGTGCTCGTTCAAACAATCCCAGCTTCCTGCACTGAAGCAGTTGTTCGGGATGAGAAGGAAAGGCATAGGGTATCTGCCAACTCACCTTGGAAAGATGCTCAATGGCCGCATTCTGACTGAGGAGGATTGTCTCGACTGAGTACGATTATTTAGGGTAAGTTTTTGCCTCTTTGCCAGCGACCCGACTGACTGCGGTTTGGTCAACAGCGACTGTATATGCCTGACCTTGATGTAATATTAGTATCTGCAACATTCGTATTTGTAGTCAAATTTTGAACTTTCAAGTACATACTGCCATGTCAATCGAAACACTTGAATTTAATCCATCGGAGTGTCGGAGACACTAGCTGTGACTCTATGTGGCATTGCTATCGGAGCGATTAACCGATACGACGGTCGCGAGATAGTCTTATTGCCTGCGTCCGGCTACCCGGCGGGTAGGGAAGGAGGGCGAATGACCCTCAACAGAACCGTCGGAGGAAGCTACTGCGCCAGACGCATTGGACATCCTAGACCGCGTGGAGCGCACGGAATGCAATTTACCATCTTCGATGATGCGTGAAAAGACATGAGGATGAACGCTCTTGTGTTGAGTCTCGAACTGCGCCAGAGTGGATCTGAATATCTTGAGATTAAAAAGTAGAACCGGGCTGTCCGGCCCTGAGAACATACTTGACACACCAGTTCGCTTTCACACCCTCCAACACTTTGTAGTATGTACTGCTTGGTGAAATTGAGCTCGAGATTCAAAAACTTCGTTGTCTCGTTTTCTTGAATAACCTGCATGCGAGAGTCCACGTCGTCGCAATTTTCTTCGCTGCGTCTTTTTTCAGCAAGTCAAATGAGCTCAGAGGATCGATGTTGACGTGTTACTCACTAGCGCGGGCAGCTTCCGTTGGAGCTCATCCCATCCTCCGCCTCCTGCCTCTCTCTTTCATGCTGCCTTTTGACCGTTCTCCGAGTCCGACTTCAAGTTGGTGTTAGTGACAGTGTTAGCAACGTCATAGCTCAAGCCTGATGAGCTGGAGTCGGCTACTTCATGACGGATCAATAGTTTGCTATACCTCCTACCAGGTTTCTTCCGCTGGTGTTCATAATCCTTGATATCATGAATGAAGTTCTGGCGAGAGGTGATGGGCGTACGCTTCCTGCAGGGTGGCAACTTTGCGATGGCCTTTACCAGTGACGTCCCTCGGACATATCAACTTAGTGAAAACAGATTTACAAACGTAGCGTGTTGGCGCACCGAAAGCAGAATCATCTCCAAAATCTTCCCCATGGGATATCATCATGATTCCGAATGCATCCTGATTCCTGGCAGCGGCCTGAGTTTTTGCGTCTCTTACGCTGCGGTTGATTCCTTCAACTCGCATGCAAAGAAACCAGCAATGCGAACTTGCTTGATAGAAAGATTACCAGATGCGATGTTGAGAGGTCGGTGGACACGAAGAAACGTCAGAAAACGAGATCGGGGCGCTTGATTTGCACAACCTGTATTCCAGCTGTAAGACCAACACGAGGATACAGCACTGTAAACTTACATGAACAGTAACCTCCCTCTGGCTCGGAATAGTGCCCTGTATAAAACGTCCACTCCATCGCAGCTTTCATTTTCAGAGGATGTGTCTGTTCTGTTTACATTGTACAAGTCCGAAAGTCCCTTTATCATGATGTAAGTTACTTGATAAAGATGTAGGCATCCCCCGAGCACTGGTCATATACCCGACAACCAATCATCAAAGTATAAAACAAGTATAAAGTCATACGCGTGCTCTTCGCCCTCTATTCCCAAAATGAAGCACTCTTCAAGTATTCTTGCAACATGTCCACCGTTCCTACAGGCACATACGTTATCATGAATGCCGCGACACACACCTACCTGAACGTGTTAAATTTCCAGCCTGTTCCGGGTGACATCGTCAATAGTGTTGGAAATTATTTGGGAAATGATATGGTATGTTTGCCCCATGCCCATCATCGTGGGCCGCTTGATTGTATTCTTCGCAGTGGAACGTGTTGAGAACTGAGTCGTGTGGGGTGAATATACAATCCTTCGGGACTGGCGCATTCCTCGCCTTCGACCAGTCAAACAAAACCGACACTCCCGCTGGCAGTGTTGTTACCAGCAACTCGATTTATCCGTGGAGTCTGCAACCAAACAATGCAGTCCCGTATACCTGGTAGTAGGTGTCAAAGTTCATCAATGCATCTCTAAGCTAAATGAGGTTCAATTTTCGAAACGTAGTATCGTGAACCATCACTCTGGAAAAGTGCTTGTTGTACAGAACAACTCTGCCGCGAACGGGGCACAAGTACGCCTTAAACATTTCTTGTATACCGTGTCCCTCAATGTTCCTGTCAGGTTCTCGAAGCGGAGTTGACAAATAACAGAAGCCAAGCCTGGTTCTTCATCCCAAAGGAACCCCTAGCCGGGACTAACTAGTCGTCTAGTAACAGTATCAAGATCGTTTGTGTCCTCGGAAACTCACCTTTCTCCTATTAGCATTGAAGAATTTGATTGAGTCGAGAATAGTTGAATACTGGCGTCTTCAATATTTCACAATGGCAAGCCGCCACGAAGTACTTCTGTGAGTGTGGCTCTAAACCCGAGAGATTTCTGTTGTAGGGGGGCACAAGTTCAGTGTCTTTTCTGCAGGCATGGGGCTATCATATCTGTTGTAAAGCTTGACTCTGTAGTTCAGCACTGGTGCCCCCCATGAGCTACGTGAGTGAGGAGTAGGAGATAAGGATACTGGTCTCTATATCGTAGATCATGTGGAGGGTGTGATGAAAGCATACAGCCATCTAGGAGGGGCACAGGTGCTGCGGACGGAGAAGTATATCTTGAAGAGCAGTGTCAGAGTCGTCGTGCACTATAGAATCGAAGGCGACTGTAGCCGGCCAGTGCTCTGTTAGCTGCTTAGGCCTCTGTGCGCTAAGAACTTTTACTAGTATGCAGTGCCAAAGGACTACCATCAGGCGACCCACATCAAGCCTACATGTTTTTATATTTGAATTTGTCGGCAAATTCTGGGACAAGTTACAGGTTCGCGGTCATATGTGCACGTCCAGTTCAACGTTAAAGCCTTCAAGTTCCCAACAGTGAAATGCGTTTTCGCAAGATCTGGACGTTCTGCCAAACGCCGAACCCCAGGTGATATCGATAAGATCAGATCAGTACATGTGAATGGTCGCGGTGGATATCAAACGACCTAGATATCGATCAACTCATAAATCTAGCCTGTGGCCAGCGCTGGCCGACGTGCAAACATTTGGCAAGACCGGAACCCTCCAGAACCTTGATCAAACAGCAGGTACACATGGCCGTATGTACCTGGATCTAGCTGGGTGGGGGTAGTCCTCCAACTTGATCATGGGAAATCTGGCACTTATGTACATAAGGCTGAGGGCGTCCCCCGAGCGTCATGCAACGATGACAAGTCATCTGATCATCGAAGTATACGATCATACATACTCTTCGCTCTCCATCCCTACAACGAAGCTCTCTTCGATTGGTATTCCACCATGTCCATCACCATTCCTACAGGCTCATATGTTATCATGAACGCCAAGACGTGCACCTACCTGAATGTGTTCTATTCCCATCCTGTTCCGGCTGATATCGTCAATAGTGTTGGAAATAATTTAGGAAATGATATTGTGCGTTCACTCCATGGTCTCCATCAGGCGCTTGGTTATATCCTTCGCAGTGGAACGTGGCGAACACTGAGTCGCGTGGGGTGACCATACAGTCCTACGGGACTGGTGGGTTCCTCTCCTTCGACCAGTTAGACAGATCCGATACTCCTGCTGGCAGTGTTGTCACAAGCAACTCGATTTATCCGTGGAGTCTGCAACAAAATACTGCAGTCCCGTATGCCTGGAAGTAGGTGTCGATGTTCCTCTCTACCAGGAAAGTGAGCTAAACTTTTCGAACACAGTATCGTGGACAGGTGCACTGGAAAAGCGCTAGCTGTTGTGGACAATTCTGCCGCGAATGGGGCACAAGTAGGTGTCTAACATTTCTTGTACACCTTGTTTCTCATTGCTTTTTTCAGGTTATCGAGGATGATAATATGAATCACACAAGCAGAGCCTGGTTGTTCATCGCAAAGGAGAAGAGCTAATCAGAAGGATGGTGTCTTTAACATGTCCCAATAACGTATATATTGGACACCAAAGTACTTTGCAATAGTCAAACAAAGTCAAAAAAATATCTCAGGTTCAGACCCAAGTTCATGTCTTTTCGACACGTTATATCATATCCGTGGTAAAGTCCCGCACTCGTCCCAAGCGGACTATCCCCAGCTCCGCTATGACAGTAAGCATGCATCCCATCCCATATACCTGTCAAGATCGTTCAACTTCTAACACCCATTCATTAGTGCTCAGCCTTCCTACCTTGCAATGTGTAGGTTCCAGACACAGGGGAGTCTTCCTCCCTTCTTGGCACCGTTACATCCCCTAAGTATGTACCCCATTTCAGATCGTCCTTTTGCACTTTGACCACAATAGCTGCTTCCTGCACTTTCCATGGCGTCGTGGAAAGTCAGAACGGGCAAGTACTGGGTGTATGATGGTTGCATCGCTAGTCCTCTGGGAGGCGATCTCGAGGTCACTGTCCACACTTCCGGTGAACATTCTTCCCCCGTTGAGGATAGCATCTACTTGATGAATGCGAAAGCGGATATTGCTGCTGGTCGTAGTTTGGATGTATGGACTACCTATCTGGAATTGTACTGCACTGACGTCTGTTTTGTTTCCCTTCGTCTTCCACCGTACATCTCACATCGCTTTTTAGGATTTGCAACGCTCGCCAGATGGCAGTCGGGCTTTGCCTGTCTTGATCGTCGGTGGAAAGGTCTCTAGTTCCTCAGTGGAGCTTCAGCGAGATCGTAGATTTGATATCGATGTTTCCCTGTGTCATGTCTCCACGGAGCTGCAAAATGCCTCCGTTGCTATTACCCGCCACTTGGTCCACGGCTCGTAGATACCCCTGTACCAACTGTAGGCAAACATGTCATCGTTCACGGCGCTGTGATACACTTGCAGGAGAAGCATTGCGTTATATCTATGTAAAAGATATTGCATTCGCACCGTTCGTCGACTCACAGCTGCGTCAACTTCGGATAGCGATCCCGTGAAGGAGCGTTTAGAATTTGATTGGAACAGGAAACGAAGATGACGACGATCTAACGATCTGACTAGGGGATATATTTTCAGAAAGCAGCAGCTGGCAAGAATCAACTGTACTTACTGTTCATCTTCATGTAGACTCTTGTTTCGTCGATCGACAGCGTAAGCGAGGTACCAGCTGCGGTGATACCGAAGCAAATTCAAGCGTCCCAGACAAGTCCGCAAAGGACGGTCGATATCTCGTGACCGAACAACTGAGAGCGCGATTTACCGGTCAACGAGGCAATTCAGCATGAGGATCGTCACGCACACTCACCGGAGGGAACGATATCGCAAAGAAAATTGCAATGGGGATGAACCATTCGAATTCGGGACTCCTCTGCATGTCTCTTGTAATTCATGATAGCAGTCAACTTGAACGGCAGCAGATGACTCGGAGGAAGGTCAGATGTTGGTAGTTAGCTTGAGTGCAAGGAACACAGCTAGGTTTTAGCCTAGGGTAATAACACACCCATACTCATGCAGCTAATCCGAACAGAGGTGTAGCACACTTGGAACGATGCAAGGAACCAGAATCCAGATGCTATGCATGGCGCCCATATCGTAGGCCTAGTTGGAGTCTGAGACAGCTGAGCTACCTTGAACTGCCGCTGGAGTTCATACGTATCGATCCCTCATGAACTCCTTCGTCAGGTGTCCTATTCAGATGTGAGGCTCCTTGCCCGGATCAAAGGTTTGGGAAACTCAATTGAGCGCGCGCAAGATGCGTTCGGAAAGAAAAGTACTGCATGATAGACGCCGAATATAGACGCCGATATGCTATGCTGTGTATTTTCTCACGCTCGCGGAGGCGCGCATTATGATTCTACCACGCACCTGACCGCACACTCAGAAGGATCAACAAAGCAACCCTCATCCAAAACCAAGGAATCCCAGCAGAACAACTGCTAGGTATAACTACAGCAGCCATTAACAATACAGGAGACATGTTCCTAATGAACTGGTGAAAGGCATCCTCGGGACAATCAATATCAGTCCTCAGGTTTAGGGGCGATGGCTAGTGGCACTTCTTGTTCACTAAGTGCCACTATCGCCTTTCGATACCAGTAATGACTGCTTCTTTCGACCGATTTTCCTGACATAATTTCAACCACCCCTTGCTTGATGTAGCATATAAACGATGCCTCGACTTAGAGGCCCAGGCTTGCATGCTTGAACCAGCGCTCACACACGCTCGACTACTGGGTTTCATGTTAATATATGCCCCAAGTGCTCCTGGTCGTGACAATATCGTCAGTGAAATTATTGGATGTAAAGATGTCGATGCCCTTTCCGGTCTTGGGCTATCTTACTTCAATCATTTCCTGCATTTGTGTGAGTGTTACAGTCGGTACATCGGCGTGCATGACCTGACATTCCAAACCTGTAGTCGTTTATTCCGAAGAATCCGAAGAATCCAAAAATTCGCCTTTCAAGAGAACCGTGAGTACGCGTTGAGACATGCTCTTCGAAGCAGCCCTAGAAATCAGTACTCGGTAAACACTCATGCGAGTGTGCCTCATCTTATCATCATCTGGCCTGCCTCTCATTTCATTCAGGCACTTGCTCGTGATGTTTATCGCTGCGTCCTCACTGGTTAGTACGATTCGCCCAGCTTATCCAGGTACTTCGATAAAAGCATGAAGGTTTCCATATGCCGGACTCAAGCGATTCACATCATCCGGCTCTCTACGGACGGAGATAGAGCCTTTCGCAGGTTTCAACCTTGCTCAAAAACTCAATGGTGCTGATTTCCTATTGCCTTCAAAATATATTGATTATGGAAGTGAGCATGTCGATGTTTATTGGTACCCTTGAGATTTGGCTGGAGGCTGCAGTGCGTTTCATAATTCAAATACGGCAGGGAATAGATGACTGATAGACATTTATCATTGCCAGGACGCTCCAGACAATTATCGGGTTTGTGCCACGGACCCTGCATTCCTCATACATGTTCTCGATACCGTGACTTTCACAACCCCTGATCCTGGCTTGCCCCTCCCCGATCCGCGTTATCTTGGCATTCATGCTACATGTTGTAAAGCGGCTCATTTCTCTGGAGTGGAAGCGTACATCGAGTACTAATACCGGGACAGACTTGGACACGGAAAGCATAGACGAGTTTGGAGGATTGGCGGATCCTCCGCAGAAGGCTCCCGAATTGGCGCAAGTCTGATACTACACTGCGAATAGAAATGAGTATACTTTCTGGTGACCGGGATGTTGTAGCACGGTGTTCCTAGCTTGGGCGGTCGGAAGGCAGCGGGATGGCACTGGCATGTCGCGAAGGTCGAGACATTTCGGTCTATAGCTACATATGATGCAGCCTACTCTCGATACAAATCGTGATAGCGACGTCATAAACAAGTCGCTCTTCATTTCAATCCGAGTATGGACAAGGCCCATCTGGCATGAAGACCATCATATTATGATATTGTCAGCACAGTGCGTATGAGAAGGTAGGTATATAGCGTAACTTCCGAATCAAGAAAGAAAACCAAGGACGACAAAGGCGACTAAAAGAATGTTCATCGTATAGGCAGCAAAATACAATGCGAAAGGGAGCGTGTAAACGAACAAGCGGGGTCCTAGGGTATACGGAACGAAGGTTTGTCCAGGAACAAACTGGGATCCGGCTTTCACCGCCTGGCGCTGCCGCGACCGTAACCTGCTTGAAGGTTGTCGAGCTCGGCCTCGAGCGACTTGATGGCACTGTGTGCCATCTCCAAGTCCTTGTTGAGACGGTCCCGTTCGGCAATAAGCTAAGAGAGGTGAGATGGTGTCATTGATGAGGAAGAGTTCACTTACGTGTTGCTCCCATTGTCTGAAGCGGGCTTCTTCGGCCTTGACCTGTTCCGTAAAGCGTTTCCTGAGCGATTCTTCCTCCTCCTTGAACTTCGGGTTGTCCACTTTCTTGACCTTTGGCTCGCCAAACTTCCTCGTTTCCATTTGTTGCTGCCGGTAGTTCTCGTAGTGCAACTCCTCCGTCGTCGAGATGAGGTCGAGCATGTGTGTACGGATGAGCAGCGAGCGCAGCTTGCGGAAATCGCAATGGTTTTCATTCTCAACCTCAGCGACACCCCAGAGGTATTCGCGACCCTTGACAAGGCGACCATCAGGGGTCTGGACGTCTTCAGTCGAGCCAATGATCGAGAATGGGATAGCGTCAGTGAGCATGCGTGCATGCTCTGCAGAAGTCTCGTCATCGTTCTCAACGGGGGGCTGATAGATGCGAATGCCCTGGGCAGCGATGACTTCCCGGACGCGTTGTTTGAAAAGGAACAGATCATTTTGTGTGAGGGTGTCTGCCTTTGCGACGACAGGGATGAGGTTTACGCGCGTGCCGAGGCGTTTCATGATCTCGATATCAAGTGGTTTCAGGCTAAGAATGCAGTCAGCGTCTGGGAATAATATACAAAGCGTATGTCAACTTACGTGTGCCCAGTGGGCCGGATGAAGTAAAGACAAGCGTGAACCCTGAGGTCAATCTTTTCATTGCGCTGGGGCTGCTGCTCCTGACGCATATATGCTTCGTGTTGGTCATCAATGAAATCAACAATTGGAGACCACGAATCGCGGTTGTTGACATAGTCCCCAAAGCCGGGGGTGTCGATGACAGTAAGCTTGACCTTGAACTGCTTTTCCTCAAGCTCAGCCTTGATGATTTCGACTTCGGTGAGTTTGTCGAGTTGCTTGTGGTGCCGTCTGCTGTAGTTCTTGGCAGGAGACAACTCAGTCGTGAAAAGCGTGTTCACTAAAGTAGTCTTTCCGAGACCCGACTCGCCTGGAGAGTGGGCGGTTGAGCTGAAGGTTTTTCCTCGCTGCAGACGCGCTGGACTCACCAACAACCATCATGGTGAAGTGTGCACCATGTTTGGCGACGATTTTGTGCCTCTATATCGCGCGGAAGGAGATACATAGCCGTCAGTAAAAATGAGAGAAATGTCAAGGAAAGCTCGCCCTCACCTGGTTGGGAAGGTTGGCGATACCAATGCCATCGAAAGAAGGTGCTGGTGCGGAAGACATGACTGAATTTTGATGTTCTTGCTCGACGACAACGACGACGACAGCACTGACAGGCAACGATGGCTAGAGCGAACTTGCCAACTTTTGATATTGCTGATTTGGCGTTGTTTGGTTTTCGTGGCGCGGGGCGCTAACCTTGTACATACTCTCTTCTTCAACTTACTATAAATCACAGCTTCTTCACGACGGTTTGTGGATGGGTCAGAATTCGAAAACATCTTCTTGGTGCTTTTCACAGAAATTATATCACGAGTCGGTGAATTCCTCACTATGCTGATAAACCCAATGAGATGACAATTTCATATTACCTTGCGATACGGCCTTTGCATCCCGGGTGGGTTCCCAATTCTAGGCTTGAAAATTTTCACCTATTCAGAAAGCCAACCTATCGCCTTGCTCTGCCAGCCTGAGGCATATCCATCTACAAAATGTAACGTCACAGCGGTTGGTTGAATGGTTTCGCGGAAGCGTTTTTCTTTGGGCAGGCCCCCTGAATGTACCTCGACGGTCTAGAATGTCCCTAAGTTCTCGTAGCATGTGCCGGCCTTTATGCACCTTTGAATCTTGATGGTGCTGTCGAGTGAAGTGCTGGCGATGAGACCACGGTCAAATGAAAGCTCTAGGCCAGTGACATCCTTTACATGCCCTTCGAATGGAGCTCCAATTTTTTCAGCGTCGACGCGTCGAACTCATAGATCGACGGTAACGGTGGCGGAGTCATCGGTTACGGCCAAAATGGATTTGTCTTTGTTCGTCCAGAACACTAGCCTATCCACGAGTTCGCCAGTGTCCAGGTTCTATATTCGCGCTGTACCATCCCATGATCTCCTTGCTGGTAGCGTACTGTTCACAGCCTGAGAGGCATCGATACAGGTGATCTTCCATGAGTGACCTGGAAATTTTTTCGTGATACCGGTCTCAACCTCGCAGGGTTCGAGCTCCAGCATGGCAGGATCATCATCAATATTATGATCTCCACAAGCAGTGATAACCCACACCGCAGAAAAACGCAGATTATGTCTGGGACACATCTGACATGAATCTGAACATTCACACGACATCTGTCGCAAATGATGCCCAGGTCGTAGGAACGTTAGGATCTCATACTAACCTCCTGATTATGACTACATCCTCGCGACATTCTACCCATGGTCGTCCTCCTTCCAGCTTAAGCTGATAATTGTAAGATATTTTTACTGTTTTTCTGTCTTAAACAAGTTCCACTACGTGCACAGAACCCTTGATCCAGTCACGACTCTCTTGCACTTACACCACGACAACGACAGGCACTAGCTGCATACACCTCGGAGGTAGGAGTGTACGTTCGTTTCATTCATTTGCCTGTAGCTGATGATAATGCTTGGGATGTGCTGCTGTCAATCAGGAAACGAGAGCATCACGAGTCGTACTAGTACATAGTTGCACAATGCTCACCCGGTAGTATGTCAGTTCCTCCAAGAGTCTCCTTGTATCCTCCTACGAACAAACCCGTGATTTTAACGCCTGACAAGCATGACCTTGCGCTGGCACTGGCAGACAGGAGTATTTGGCCCCTGTGTTTTAAATATGGTATCACGCGTTTTGTTGAGCCTCAGGTAACTCAGCTGTGCGTGTTCAGGTTGTGTCTTTTGCGTGCTTTTGACGTCATATACTATGGCAGGAGTGCACGCCTTGCCACAAACCAATGCCTTGGCCTGTTGGAGGTCTACGCAGGAGTCATGATCAACACGTCGTCCACACTGGCGAGGTGTATTGCTTTCTATCGTGTCGGTGGTTCACAGCAAGACAGCACTTTACTTCAATGTATATTTGCATGACGATGTGGCTGGAAGTCTGAAACACAATGACAATGGCCTACTGGCACTCTTTCCGAGGGTGAGTGTGTACACCAATGACTTAATAAAGTCTGAGCTACCTGATATTCCTGCACGGTATTTACTTCTCCCCGTATAGTATCCCGTCTCCATTTTTTTAAAGGTTGCTTACAGTATTTAATGAAAACAACAACAGAGGGAAGGGGTTCAATGGCCGACCCGCAGTAACAATTCTACTTCGAGTACAATGCCATCTACAATTTGGTATCATCCTGAAACACTCGTCGACTTTAAGGTGTCTAGTGGCTAGAGTAGGCTAGAGAGACGTAAATAGCCTTCGTGACATTTACGCTGTGCCAATGTCTGCCAACGTTAACGCTAAGGAGACCCCGCCCATATGATAAACCAGTCTTAACTGCATGCCGATTCTCGAGCTCGACCGGGATCAAATCAACGATGAACACCTATGCTGCCAGTGTGATACGTGTGACCGTTGTGCCCGATGAAGGCCCTCACAACGCTGCGTGTGTCTTGCTGCTAATATTAACGTCAAGGAAGGTATGATGTGTTTGACTTTGACCACAAATGCACTGCTGAACCTCGACTCCGGGTCTCCGCCGATGTTCAAACGTTCACCCCTGATTAACATGCAGAGTCCAGGCCAACGTGGCTACGCTCTCCTGACAGATGCCGACCAATGCGAGTAAGAATTCGTATACGATTTCGAAGATCGTGTGCGAATTTGTTACTCGCATTGTTCGACCTCGTTACTTGATGGCTCTAGGTCTCGAGTCCTTGCTTTATTCCTTGAAGGGCTGCATCCGAAGTGTGAGAGCTATCAGTACTCGGTGATCTCACCTGCGATCACTGCTTATCAGCCCGACCACAACCATCAGGAACTAACTGACCAACTTCCAAGGTACGCAATATCCCGAACGTTGACGCATAGCTTTGACCACTCAACAATAGTCTCCCTCGATAACCGAATGAAGGGCGACAATAGCATGGTTGGAATCTTGACGTCGGAGTCAAGAACAACATCATGATGTCTCACATCGCATCCCCAAAAGGCAAGCCCACCATCACACCCATAAGGATCCATACTACCGGTACACACTTCATTGGATTCATAGGGGGTTTTCGCCAATGGCCACACTACAAGGCTGTGGACAATAGGATAAGCTTTGGTCCACCACAAATTGACCACAACTGGCTTCTTTAAGACGTCGTGGGTCTGCCGCTACTTTTACGATTAAGCATCTGCGTTCTTCTTGACTTCGAATTTGTTCCTTCCCCCCGAACTTCATTACCATTCCAAACGCTGAAGAGTATACTTTGCAGTCATGTCTATTGATGCTGAAAATCACAACCAAACACAAGCCCGCGCAACTTCCCCCACCTCAGACTCGAAGGGCAAAGGCAAGGAGAAGGAGGTCGATCCTTCTGTCCACGAGGACGCGTCCGACGCCGAAGAATCTGGGGATGATGTATTGGGCGAGTACCCTCTAGAACGATTCCCTTCTCCACCGAGCGACGGATTGTTGCACGAACGTCAAGCTGGAAAACCTGATGCTGCGCCTTCCACTATCCCAAATGCTGCTTCTTCATTCAATCTGCCCCTCGATCCTCCTCTCATGAAGTTTACATACCCCCCTCCCCTCCCCTATCCGATGATCCCACCTGGTTTGCCCAGATGGTCGCCGATGTCCATCGTCATCGTGCTCATCTCACAAGCCAGCTTGAGTTTGCACGCAACGAGGCCGCTACCGCCCTGGCCGACGCTACTCTTGCACAGGTCGAGCTCAAAGCGGAGAATGACCAGATGCAAAACTTCCTGAACCGCGTGGCATCTGTTGCTGGAAAGAATGTCGTGCGTAAGCTGATCAGGAGCGTCAAGTGGGAGATGGAGCATGGCGACGATAACGCAGACGACGAGGGTCAAGAGGACCAGCAAGATGCGGATGATGAGGATTCCAGTAGCGACGACCAAGAGCACCAAGTAGATCAACAAGACGCAGAAGATGAAAATTCGAGCGGTAGTTCCAGTGAGAATGAAGAGGACTCGCAGGACGCGGAAGATGAGGATTCGCAAGACGCAGAGGATGAGAACCCGCAAGACGCGGGATATTACGAATTTAGTCGCAGCGACGACGGCCAATCTCGGTGCGTGACTTGGACTTGCACCAATTATTTGTATCTAATGTGTGGTTTTTAGCGAATGGTCCGAGTCTTCACCCGCAAATGTTAGGCGGGAAGCGCCAAACAGCCCCGACTGGCCTTTAAGTTACATGCGTTCTTCGCACCATGAGTACTCCGGCAGCGACGATGACGCCAAATCTCCGTACGCAACTCATTTGAACTTGCACCATTTGTTAATATCTAATGTGTGATTGTCAGGGGAACGTCACCTGTGAATGGCAGCCGCAAACGACGCCTCGAAAACGAAGACGAAGAGGCCAGCAGCCCCGACGACTCTCCCCGAAAGAAATTCAAGGGGGCTGTCACCCACTTAAATCCTGCATCACCGCAACGCAGTGAAGGCGGCGGGGTTCTCGAAGTTGTTGCGCCTGCCTACGTCTGGGCACCGAAAGACGACGTGATTGATCCGGAGCCTAACTCAGATGAAGAAGAGTACGAGGTGGAGAATTCGCTTACTTTAGAGCTTGAGCCGTCCTTACAGTCATCACCAAGACCATCCGTACGTCACTTACGCGATATCGGTAGGGACCCGTACAGGCTGCGCCAGAATGCGTGGGGTAAACCCGAGCTGTACATTCCCAACCGGTGCTGATGAAGCACTTCTTGGCTCTGGCCGCTGTGTTTTTAGTTGATACCCTTGATATCATTATACCACTTCGCTTTACCAGTCTAATACATTGCTCATCTACATTCTCAGAGTTTGCTAGTATCTCTTCGTTAAAGTCACATGGCAATATCATCAAACCTTTGTAACGGGAAGTAGTTTCCGGGTGACTGGTTTAGGTAAGGCGAGTATGATTGGTTGGGTGATTATCCGACGGCTTCATAATTTGAAAAGTGGTGTGGTTCTGTTTTGGGATTCTCACTTTTTAAACGGTCTTCCTTCAAAAAGTCGTGGGGTGCTCAAAGTGAAAGCGTCTCTTCTTGCTTTCAACGACCAACATGACTTTTAACGCGACGACCGTCGCCGCCGTCGCACACGCGACCTCAGCTCACCAGCTATACGCTAATATTGACCTCACGACACTCAGTTGGCTCGAGCAAATGTGGGCTGCTTGGTATATGTGGATCGACAACCCAATTATTGCTACGGGCCTCATGAGTTTCTTGCTTCACGAGGTAATTCTTATCGTTATTCAGTGTTCGTGGACACTGGCTCAATATTCCTTCTAGTTTGTGTACTTTGGACGTTCCATTCCTTGGATTATCATTGATGCTATTCCATATTTCCGTCGGTGGAAACTTCAGCCCAACAAGGTTCCCACTGCCCAGGAGCAGTGGGAGTGCACGAAAATGGTCCTATTCTCGCATTTCACCATCGAGCTTCCAGCTGTAAGCACACTTGGCTGCATCAGACGCGACAAGCTTATTCTTTTTCCACAAGATCTGGTTATTCCACCCCATGGCGGAGAACTTTGGTATGAATACCTGGCAGGTTCCCTTCCCTTCATGGACGACTATGCTCCCGCAAATCGCTATCTTCTTCGTCTTTGAGGATATATTCCACTACTTTGGTGTGTGAATCCGTGAGACGTCCTTGCCTTCGTTACTGAGAATGTCGTTACAGCCCACCAGGCACTCCACACCGGTCCATTGTATAAGCACATTCACAAGATTCATCACAAGTACTCGGCACCTTTCGGTCTTGCTGCTGAATATGCTCACCCTGCTGAGGTCTTCATTCTTGGTACTGGCACCATCGCTGGACCCGTCCTGTACTGCTGGTACACTCGTAACTTGCACATTTTGACGGTCTACATGTGGATTACGCTTCGTCTCTTCCAAGCTATCGATGCTCACAGTGGCTACGGTTGGTAATTTTTCGTAGTTGGCGATCGTCAGTGCTGATACGTTTCCTCAGATTTCCCCTGGTCGCTGCAGCACATCATCCCCTTCTGGTCGGGCGCCGAGCACCATGATTTCCACCACATGGCCTTCACGAACAACTTTTCCACCTCTTTCCGGTGGTGCGACCGCATCTTTGGCACTGATGACAAATACCGCGAGTACCGTGCACGCATCGATGCCCAAAAGGCCGCAATGAAGAACAAGAGCAAGGCTGAGCGAGAAGAGGCCGAACGCAATCTCATTGCAGAGATTGAGGCCGAGGGTCAACGTGCAGAGGCTATTGCTGAGGGCAGCATGCCTACTCCCAAGACCGTCAAAGTCCAGTGATCGATGCATCTAGATAACGGTGGTATGATCTGATATGATGGACGCATTGCATGATCATTCATAGCATATACCCGTAGAAGTGCAATAATATATACATCTGTTAATTATCCCTCGTTTCGTGGACAATAAGGAATAATGCATGTGGGATCATTGTGGACCTGATGTGACCAAAGGGACAACCATGGGACGATGCTATAATAATCTCACCGCCAACCCACTAGTACTGAAGTATAAGTAGATTCTTGATCTCATCAACTTTTCAACAGCCAAGGACTTCAGGAAACAGACTCCCAAGCCAGAAGCACCGATCATGGACAGACCAAATTCGCGCTTGATATCCTCTGTATTACCTGTCGAGACCCTTGAGCTCATCTTTGATCACCTCGAACGTACCGAACTGATCCCAGTCCTTGGCAGCAACTCCCTATTCAATAACGTAGCCTCTCGTGCGCTCTACCGTTCCATATCGGAGACGTCGTCAGTCCAGGCCGTGCGGCTCGTAAAGACCCTTGCCTACAACGACACATATTCCCAACACGTCCGTTCCATTGATCTCGATTTTGCCAACAACCTTCTCACCACCAATTTCCTCCACCTCTTACATCGCGCACTTCAACGACTCGAATCACTCACGACGCTTATCCTTGATTTCTCCCAAACAGACAACGCAACCGATGTTGCATGGATATTTGAGGGGTGCTCCTTCTCGCTCACGACCTTCACATCGTCCATGCGGTGTGACCGCTCGCTAGCGAGATTCTTGGCTGGGCAGCCGAGGATAACAGAGCTCTGTCTGAGGGGGTTCAATAAGGAGTATGACTTCGAGCTAGAGCCCAAGGCGCTCCCGAAGCTGGAGCATTTCAGGACGGTGCTGTCGTACCCTAATATCATCGGGGAGGTCTTGAGAGGCAGACCCGTGGAGAGCGTCTCGATGTCGCTTTACCCTGGGGACGTCTCTACATCCCTCGACACGCTGTTACTACCGTCTACAGCGATAAAGAGGCTTACTGTCATGAGCTTCGAAAGCGACCCCCCAGTCACACTCCTTCCCCTCATCGCAGACCGTCTACCTCACCTCGAGGCCTTCCATCTCGTGGTTCTCATGTCGCACTTACACCCATGTGAGTTTTTCATTCTATGCATGAAGCTATCTCATCCTTCGTTTGCTTATTGCTTACAGGACACCCTGCTCGATCTTGGCTCGAGTCTTGCGCAGTTCAAGTCTCTGAAATACATCACGTTCATGGCTCCGGCCCGCCAATTTGATGCTACCTCCAGTAATGAAAAGATCATCGCGGAAGCGTGGAGCAAAGCCTGTCCCACCCTACAGACCATCATCCTTCCCAAGGGACTGGTGTGGTTCCAAAAGGACAAGAACTGGGCATGTCTTAGAGATAGCGAGGAGTAAGGCATTCATAAGCTTCACAGAACTGACTAAACCATCACGGTCTTGCATTAGCTGGGTACCGGTGTCGACAGAGCTTGAAGGATAGAGAAGGGCACATCAGGGGCCGTCGCTCGTAGAAGGGAAGAACCCGTACGATGATGATAGGAGAGTGCACTGGCGCAGGTCATCTTGGTGACAACGATTCTTTCAAGTCGCGTTATTCGGATGGTTGGTCGAAGAGCGTCTTTTCTAGGATATCTCAACGGCTGATGTACTGACATGAAGTAGAACGAAAGGCATTTCGGAGACAGCTCTCCTTGCAAATACTATACAGGCGCGAGATGGAAAAAATTATCGACAATACATCAGTCAAGAAATACAGTTCGCAAAAATACATTGGCATCAAGGCAGATCTACTTCCTCCGTTAAATATCCACTAGCAAGGTCAAGGGGTATCGATATATGATGTTGTACATCCTGTCGGGACTCGGGACTCTCTCCACCACACTAAACGAAACGCACACTGCGAAGTTCTCGTGCATTCCATAGGTGATATTCGTACTCCAGCTTCAAGATCCTGAAATCGACGAGGTCCAGCTTATCGATGATAGATTGCGATAGCAAGACAGGGGGCCAGCCCGTGACAAGCGAGGGGATTCCCTTCGTCCTGTCTTGTTGACGCGGAGTGACATTTTCCTCGACGCGTTTGTCGGATAACAAGACAGGGGGCCAGCCCGCGACAAGTGATGGGATTTCCTGGGTCCTGTCCTGTTGACGCGCAGTGACATTTTTCTCGACGCGTTTGTCGGATAACAAGACAAGGGGCCAGCCCGTGACAAGCGAGGGGATTTCCTGGGTCCTGTCCTGTTGACGCGGAGCGATATCTTCTTCGACGCGTTCATCGTGTAACAAGACAGGGGGCCGGCCCGTGACAAGCGAGGGGATTCCCTCGGTCTCTTCCTCGACGCGTTCGTCGGATAGCAATACATGGGGCCAGCCCTTGACAAGCGAGGGGACCATGATGGTTCCGGCTTGCTGATGCAGAGTATGAGTATGGTGTTGTATCGGAGGTGCGGATTCGCATGCGCCGTCTGCTACGTTTTTCGTGCGGCCTTCGTTATCTTCTTCATCGGTGACTTCGTCGTGCTCTTCCTTGACATCTTCCTCGGGGCGTTCGTCGCCGCTTTCTATGAGATCTATATCGGCGCCTTCATTTTCGTCCATCGCAACAGTTTCCTGGACACTCCTGTAGTCGTCTACCGTGATGTTTTCCTCGATGCCTTCGTCTTTGGAGTCCGTTAAATCATCACCGTCTTTCGTAAAGTCTTCCTCGACGCCTTCTTTTTCGTATACTTCCTCATGGTCTTCCGCGACATCTTCCGCGATGCCTTCATTGCAATTTTCTGTGTTGTCGTCCTTGGCACTCTCGTTATATTCTTCCTTGACAGATTCCTGGCTGTCTTCCTTGCCGTTGTCCTTGACACCTCCCTGTTTGTCTTGCTTGTCGATGTCCAGTTCGTATTCCAGGTCGTTTCCCTTGGCGTTTTCTTTGTCTTCCTTCGATGTCTTTGTAGCTTTTGACGCCTTCCTCTTGACTTGGTTCAGTGACATCCCGTGCTCTTCTTTGCATTTTGCGCGTGCTCGGATGCGACGGAGCCTGCGAGACTGGGTGGAATTCAAGGCGTCCCAAGCACTGTCGGGGACGGCCGTGCCGTGTTTTTTGGTGGGAAGTGGCATTGTAGGGTAGGCATGTACGGCTTTCTTCGATAGGTTAGTCTGCTGTGAGGGGAGGTCAGCCTCTTTAGCTATTTAGACGTCCATGAGCCTTACTTCGACAAGCGTTGCCACAGAGGTGTTACTCGAAGAGTGCCCCGTAGTTTCGGATGAGGACATCGAAGTCGAAAACGATATGTTAGCATCAAAGGTGGTATCCTTCTCGTTCTGTGGAGAGATGATCTCGCCAAGAATGCGTTTCGCGGGCTTTTGCTTCTTCATCGATGAGAAACGATAATCGCGAGTTGACCCTCGAGGCTCCTTCGGCTGGTGAGATGCTCTTGTATTCTCACTCGACTGTTTGGTGCTGCGGTAGACAAAGAAGGCCAGGTGGAAAGGAAAGAAGAACGAATACAAGGTAATCCTACCCAGAAGTTGGAAGAGTGTCTGTGGAACCTCGAATATGACCATTTCAGCAGTGGCCAGCGTGGCTGAGATGGTCATCTCCACAGTTCGTCTGAGTCGCTCCATCAAAGGCGCTGCCATGAGGATGGATGTGTTCAGTCTTAGTTTATGGAAATACTGAAAGTTAGGGTGGTGGATGACAGACAACAAAGCGCATATGAATGGGGGCTATTTTGCTTTGTTTGCCCATTTGCGACGCGTCTTGGTCACGTGCACAAAATCAATCAATGTTTTTGGAGTTCTTTCAGGGTTGCAATCGCTCCTTCCATTATACATATATCTCAACATGAAAGCAACGCGTGATGTTAACAGGGGTAATACGTTTACATCCACTATCATCATCACTCACACAGCCATCGCAGACGGGCAAAGCGCACATCGCGCAGGAAAATCCAGTGACCACATCGCATGACGCGACGGATTTAGGACGTTCCACTTCCACCATCACCTCGTCGTCCGCATCCGACTCTTCTTCAGCGCAGTCATAGTAGAGGCTCGGGCGGTGGCACTGTTGAGTTACACGAGGCTAAGGCTTTCGTGATCGGGGTGCAACATTGCCAATCACGGCATATTCTACTTACCAATCATCACCAATTTCCACCTGCACTCCACCGCACTGTACAGGGCCCATAGCCACTCCTCATGGCCGCCCCGATGGCATCAAGCTTGCAGCTCAGTATGGACGAAATGCAAGCACTGAAGTCCCTGCCGGTTGCAACGCAAGTTAGGTCCCTTATCATATAAAAATCGATATCATCACTAACATTCACTCGAGCTCGCAGCAAAGAAGGCTCTACAGGGATCTATTATAGATCTGGCAGCACTGGTTGACTTTATCCCGCTCAAAAATACTTCCCATTTTTCTTGCTTGGTGCCCGTCTTTCATGCAACGCTTCACTCAGTTCAAGTACCAAACTCCATCAATTCCAGGACTTCTCCTACCATCTTGCGTGCGAAGTGGGCTCTCTCAGGCCTGCTGAAGATTTGCTCTGACGCCTCTTATGATGGTCGTGACGAATCTGTGACGAAGCATATTGTGGCGAGGTGGGAGCAAATATACCCATGGATGCAGTTCTTCGCTCGAAATTGCCTCCCCCCTCCTTATGACGTCTCACTTGCTCCTCCGCACCCCGATCTTTGCAGCATGTTTGATGCTGCAAAGTTGTCCACATACCCGCTCACACTCATCTGCCACAACTCCGAGGAAGGGCGTCACACGCTCCGGTCTTCCGTTTCTGTCCAGCACTTTGTAGCACAGTTATGGATATTGATCGGAAATCTTAAGGGAGATGTACTCAAAGGCGACCCTGGAAATACAAAGGACGGCCTTGTTTCGATGCTCCGGGCCTCTTTTGCGCTAACAAACTATGTTTGCGTATCTGAATCTGAAGATCCAGACAAAATCACTCTTCCGCTATCGAATTATATTCACGCTGCCGGAGGGGTGAAGCCCGTTGTCATCACCCTTCTTAAATACATCCGTCGTATTGTCAGAGATGCTGTTGATGTACCAGAACCTCGATCGTGGACGGCACGTGATCAGAGTGTAAAATACCTCCATCTCTTCACCACCGGTCTCCGTTATTCCTTCCAGTTTCTCCAGACCATCAGTCGCCAAGATGCTTCGTGCCGCGCACAACTTATCAGTCGAGGTTCTATTCCTACAGTGGTAGACGCGATCACTCGGATCTCGCCGAGGATCTTGGTGCAAGTAAACGAGGAAATCGATTTCCATCCACACCTGGGGCTAGCAATCAGGCAGCAAGTGCTGTGGACGGGCTATTCATACATTGCATCTGCTATTCGCGATGCAGACGACGGGATAACAGGCGTATGCCAGGCACTTGATGCTGGCCTCCTCAAAACCTTGATGAAGGCGGTTGTTTGCCCTGCTCACGCCGACCGTCGTGATCACCCGCCCCGTGGCCGCATGGGTGACGTAGAGTTACTCTTCCTTCTGGCCACATTTTTCATATACCACCGAGTCACCACTTCTATTTTCCGACACTGGTTCCTCATGGAAAATTCTCCTATAGAAAAACCAGTGATACGCGACGAAGGCTTAGGGATTGCTCTCAGCCTTGTCCTGACAGCCAGTACCGATGCTATCAGACAGCGCAATATAGAGCCTATAAACTTCTATGAATACAGGTGCAGTGGTCCAGGAGTACGCTTCATCTCTAGTAGTTTCATTGTGTGGATGCTGATCTGGGTGCCAGTGTCGGATGCGCGCATCCGGGTTTGTCAACAAAAAGCGCCGGTGCTCAGGCTGCTTGATATTACTTTATTGTTCGGATAAATGCCAAAGGGCTGCTTGGCGCAGTGGACACAAGAAATGGTGTCAAGTTCTGAGGTGCACTGTCGGTGAGTCTCTTCGTTTTTGTCTCACGTGTTCTCGATCGAATCGTTATCAGGGACCGTGGGGATCACGCGATATCCGCCAAAGTCTCCAAGTCATCGCAGGCATTGAAACTAGCGTGATCTCGGGAATGGCCTAAAGATGTGGAAACCCACATTCGTAAAGCACGGCAACAGTTCCCTGCATTCAGCAATAAACTCGTACTCATGCTCGACATGACTGTGTTCCCGACGGAGATCCACGTGCTGCCCCTACACAAGGTTGAGCAGTTCCCCGGTAAAGACCCCATATGGCCAGAGATTTCTGACGAGATTCGCGAGCGAAGCGACTCGCCACCGAAAGGATATATGTTTTCAGTGGTTAAGGTCCATCTGGGGAATTCGAAGTTTATGCTGTTCAGCCCAAGCACGGCATTGAATATGGCATTCGAGTGCCAGTATCTTTCGGATGATGAGCCATGCGTTTCTGGGGATGAAGATGAAGACTATGATTCGGAATCGCAAGGTGATCCGGACTCTGAATAAGATCATGGTTCAGAGTCATTGGATGACGCGGATTGATCCGAGGATCAGGGTTATGAGGTTTGACATTCTAATGTCGTATGTCTGGCAGCCTTCGTTGACTGCAGGCCTTTTTCACTCTGTGCAGTATACATGATCTCGTTGATTGAATGTTTTCTGTGCGTTGGCATCCGAAGTGATGTGTATAAATGGGGGCCATTTTGTATAGTCACGACGCGTGTAGGTCACTTACTCAAAAATCACACAATCATCATTTCGTTCCTGTCTTCTTTTCTATCGTACAGATCTCCACATGAAAGCAAATCGTGATGCTAACAGGGGTACTTATACATCAATGCTAATGTCGGTGTCCTCACTGCTAAATCCGCTATCATCATGGTCAATAAACTGCTTACATTCATCACATAACGAATAGCACGACGGGCAAAGTTGCCGCAAGCACCCCGGACATGAATTGGCTGGAGACCACTGTAACACGCAGCGATCGCATACCCTCGCCCGACAATTCCCACATGAAGCAACGAATCTAGGAAATTCCACCGTCCGCCTCGTCATTCCCGCCCGACTCTTCTTCGGCACAGTCGTAGCAGAGGTTTGTGCGGTGGCACTGTTGGCATTCTTCGATATATGAGCAAGCGCAGCAGAATGGCCGGTTGCAACGCGGACAGCGGATGAAGACGCCTGGGTTATACTCCGCGCAGAGGTCGCATGCCCACACTTCCTGGCACAGACACGTCATACCACTGCTCGCGCACTCCGGGCAGATCGTATGAGACCAACATAGATTGCTGTTGCAGCTCCGCCAGCCGGGTAGCTCGCATTCCATGCAGGAACCGCGCTTTGGAGGGTGAGCGCGTGCGGATTGAGTGTAGGCAACGATCAGCCCGGGAGGTATGGACTCGCTGCCGGGTATGCGAAGAATAGGCAGGACGTTGATGGGGTGGCCACTGCACAATGACATATCCATCGTGCAGCACCAAGATTTGCACCCAGGACACTTCTCTATCTCCGGCTGGGACTCCTGCTCTTCAAGGCATGGAAAACATAACGCCTCCTTTTGATGTCTGCTACACCGCGCGAGCGGGGGTTCAGAAGATCCCCGACATTCATTCGACTCGCACGATGCAACTTGACAGCTGTTGCAGTGGATAAGATTGGAGTCACATATAGGACATCGCGGAGAGCCTGGTCGTGAAAAGGCAATGTCTATGTCACTAACAACCCCCTGCTGTAAAAGGCGCTTATGGTATTTCTACTGCAGTTCATTCACACCGTGATAATGGATGGGGGATCAGCCCTCACCTCTACTTGCAGCTGCTTCCATATCCTATGTGCAAGGTCACACTCCTCTGCTGGGTTTAACCCACGAGAGGAGATCGATCTCGCAGCTACAAACTCATAGATGTCCGTCATGATCGGCGTAAGCTCGCATGGGACGGAAATGCACACGTTTTGCACCCTGTCTTCGATCTGCTGGTCGCAAAACACGACAACAAAGTGCGTAACAGTCTGTGTGGAGAGACGGAAATGGATGACAAGACTTGATAGGTCGGGAGGTCCTGGCTTTTCTTGTGAACCTGCATATCCGAGGGTCGCGATGTGTTTTCCTTCGCCGACTGTGGAGGGCTCATTTGGCGAGTCCAACATGCGGTAGACAGTTTTCATGACCCGGAATATGTTCATGCGCATTGGATGGTCATAGTCGTCCTCGCAGGGTGAGATGATTGTCCACGTAGGCATGTAGAACAGGTGTGATAGTGGGTGTAGAAGCAGAAGCAGAAGCAGAAGCACGCACCGCACGCATATTAATATCAAGGGGTAGTATCTGATCAGTGTAATTTCCTTTCCTAGGCTACTACACGTCTGGAAAGATGTGCCAGGGGAAAAGTTAATGCGCGCGAGGGGTTACATGGATTTGAGTGGTGAGTTACTTATCGACGAACGGTAGGACGCCATGGACCAGAACATTATTTCCGATTGCCACATAGTTTTCAACATTTCAACTGCCTAGTATGTGTGCATGACAGCAAGCGCCGAAGTTTGTCCGACGTACACCCATGCCCCACTCACTAAGCTCAGATAGTCGATGTCAGTGTTTAATCATGCCAACAACAATAGCAAAACAGATGCCATTTCAAGATACTAATAGAGAGATAAGTAACGGGAGGTTACTATTCAAGAGGTTTTGGCACGCGTTTGATCAAGTCAGTTAAGCTGACCATCACGTCCCCACGAGTGCCATAGCTGTCACTCCCGCTCCCAAGCTTGCCAATGCAAGTGCCTGTTTCCAAAGCTCGCTGCGCCACAGAATGGGATCCATCACGAAGTCCCCTGCAAGCATCTCCACACACGCGGCATACATCAACATCCCTGCAGATATTGCGGACATGATTCCCTGGGTGAGGAGCATATCCGCTGTCAAAAGTAAGGCCACGTCAGAACAGGGAACAAGGAGATATTATATTGCAGTGGTACGTACTGACGTCGTGATCACGCCTGAACACCAGGAGACCAATAACGATGCCTGCAGGGTTTGTGACTGCAAAGAGCATGGTAAGAGTAGATCGCAAAATGGTCATATATTTGCTGCTTCCATCCGGAAGAGATGCTATCCGAATGCCGAGCGATAGCCCCTCGAAAAGCTGGTGAAAGATGATAGCCACGAGTAGTGACGCTGTAATTAAAATTTAGACTCGATATCAATCAAGCCATGACAATAAAACTACGCACTGAACTCGGAACCCGAAGTTATTGCTAATGTTAGACCTATGACGACGGAATGGATCATGATGCCTAATTGTAAAACCTAGAAAGCGAATCAATCCACGAGAGGTTTGAGTAAGTGAAATACGCACAAGAATACCGACAATTTGCCTCTTCTTCCCAACTTTAACCTCTCCAGGTTCGCCGTTCTCCAATCGTCCATCAGCTATTTCAGAATCGAACGTATGTGAATGCCCGTTCCCAGCATGCAGCTCCCGATCATGTGCGTTCCCAACGCCTGTCGCAATACCCTGTCCGAGTTCCTCTGGGCCGTATGATGATGACAGCTTCAAGCCGCGTTCATGGTGTGTATCATGGGAACACCTAGATTCGTGTCTATGATGCCCCTCGAAGAAATAGGAGTCGTGCCTATGCTGCTCACTTGTAGATCCGTACGAGAACGATCGCGTACGTCGAGGGCTTTTTGAGGTATGAGAATGTATGAGATGCGTCTGTTCGGATTGGGAAGTGCGACTTTCTGGTGGCTTAGGCGTATCGAATTGGCGTGTAGGACTGGCGGAGATAGGTGTCGACGAAATTACCGGGGTAGTCGATTCTGGGGATGGAAGTGGTGAATTGTATGACTGAAGACGGTCCACGTATGAGGTGGATACATCTGACAAAACCGGTCAGTGAGGGCTTTCAATTTTTGGCGGGGTGGACACGCACATTCAATCAAGAAAATGGACAAAAGCGAGGTCAGTCTGGATAACAATTATAGTTGTGACAGAGAGTACGCAAGGGGAACGCACACAATAAGACCAGTAAAATCTCCTATCCTCGAGCGAGAGCGTAAAATTGGATCGCTTAAAGCTTCAAAGGATTCTTGAAGGAGATGAACGAACGCTGTGGATAAGATGACACCTAATGTCATTTATATCGTCAGAGTGGGATGAGGAGACGTCCACACTGATTATCGCTCACCAGTTCCGAAGTGTTTTCCAATGAAAAACACGATACGAGGTATTTGAAGAAATGTGAGGCGCTTTGAAATAGAAGGGAATGATGATGCTAGTAATAAACAGTCACTAGTACCGCGAGAGAGGCTGCTGCTTAGGAGGACACTAGTGACGCACCAAAAAGAGACACAACAAATATGATACACATCGCGCTGACCCGCGAACGCACATCTTGTATATGCGAATGCATACTTGACACGTCTGTATAAACAAAGATAGTGAGTACGGTGAAGCGCCTAGACTTCAAGCTTGAGTGGGACGCTGCACCGTAGTACCCAATTGGGGGATCACCAAATTCTAATGCTGTCATTATGATCCTGAAGGTCCCCAATGCTGCGAAGCTGTCGTGGAGCGTAGACTAGTAGTGGTCTGCCCTTCAAATCCAAGGGAAATATTTAAGTAGGTTAGAGGTGGCAGTCATACAGGAAGGTTGCAAAGGCCATCTTCTATACCAACGATTCCACTTTGGGGACCTCCCCAGTCACTGGCATGACAGTATTACGTCACACAACTCTCTGCGTTTACACCTCTGTGCGTTTACCCTCGTAATTCTGTACAGTACAGCACTCAAGCGGTCCACGGGCCAACGACTTTCGATTTGGGAGGGACTGTAACCCAAGAATAAATTCTCCCCGCAGCTCGATTGAGCTCGCTTTGGACTAAAGAAAAAGAGACTGGAAGCGACTAAGAAGAGCGCTTTTCGCGACTTGGCTCTCTAGTTTGGACCTGGTTCTTATCCGTTTGTTCATCAGATTCACTCAAAAATACCATATAAGAGTATATAAGTTCCTAACCATCAATCAGCCCCTACGTGATTGGTTACTTATCTGAGTAGCCGTGGAGTAGTTTTTGAATAAATCAGTTCATAGAACTTTTGACGACCGTCTTGTTACACAATGGTACATATTCCTTTCCCTCTTCCTAAACGACCATCAACATCAAGGGGCAACCTTCAAAGCCTGATCAAAGTCCGCGATGATGTCATTGATGTGTTCGATGCCCACGGACACCTGCCCAGAACAATCAGTCAAAAAACATCTCCATTAGGAGACCTCACGCACCCGGATGAGATCATGCGTGACTCCCGAAGACAACTGCTCTTCATCAGTGAGCTGTTGGTGCGTCGTCGTCGCAGGGTGGATGACAAGAGTCTTCGCATCACCGACGTTTGCGAGATGACTAGCTAATTTCAAGCTGTCTACAACCTTGCTCGCGACGCTGACGTCACCCTTGATTCCGAAGCTGAGAACACCGCCAAAGGCGTTTGGGCGGAGAAGCTGCTTTGCGCTCTGATGATAGGGGTGATTCTCCAGACCGAGATAAGAAACCCATGCGACCTTCTCGTGTTTTGACAGCCACCTAGAAACAATGAGAGTTTCTCCATGGATCGAGTGCGGAGCAACTCACTGAGCAAGCGCCAAAGCGTTGTCGGAGTGCCTCTGAGCCCTCAAGCTGAGCGTCTCAAGACCTTGAATGAGCAAGAACGCAGCGAATGGGTTCAGAGCTGGACCCAAATCACGGAGTAGCTCCACGCGAAGCTTGACAGCGAAAGCGAGAGCACCGAATGTGTCGCTAAAGATCATGCCGTGGTATCCCTCAGAGGGAGACGTAAACGATGGGAACTTGCCGGAGCGTGCCCAGTTAAATTTGCCTATCAGAAGAAGAAAAAATAAGACATTCAGCTGAAAAGCGATCGGGGAATAGACGCACCCGAGTCGATCACGACACCTGCGATCGTTGTTCCGTGGCCTCCAATCCACTTGGTTGCGCTGTGCACTGATGACCATACTGATGAGCTGCGATCGTCAACTTAAGGGATGATGCTCACCAACAATGTCTGCGCCCAACTCGATGGGTTTGATGAGGTATCCTCCCATTCCAAACGTATTGTCCACGATTAAGGGGATACCATGATCATGTGCAACCTGTTGGGCTTACATGAGTAGCGATCCATCAACATTGATTGGTATGCGCACTTTCGCCAGCTCGGGAATGGGCGCGACGTTGTATTTTGGGTTACCGATGCTCTCGACATAAATTGCCTTCGTGTTCTCGTCGATTGCTGCCGCGAAACCAGCAGGGTCGTCGCCGTTCACGAACTTCACACCGATACCATATTTTTTGAAGGTTACTACATGCCACATGAACTCTAGTGCTGGTAAAAGACTGACAAACGAACCTTTGAACTGGTTGTACGTCTTCAAGCGCCCCCATAGATCAGAAAAAAACCTGGATTCTGCCAAATTGAACACGTACCCCCCCATAGAGATATGATCTATTGTCAATACGTCAGTTGGGGTTCCGTTCCCGAAAGACTGGGCCTTACGTTGAAACGATGTTGTCACCCGCGCTGGCTATGGTCGAAATTGCAAGGAATTGTGCAGACTGACCGGAGGCCGTTGCGATGGCCGCAGCGCCACCTTCAAGGGCAGCAATTCGGTTTTCGAACACATCCTATGAGAATGGTAAGTATTTGGCTGTGGGGGAGCATCGATGAAAGAACCACATACAACAGTGGGATTTCCGATACGAGAATATATGTGTCCGAAAGCCCTGCAAGATGATCCGTTAGGTTTGATTCGCTTGTGTTCCTCAGCGAAACTGACTTCAGGCCGAAAAGATCTGCGCCATGCTGAAGTTACGATTAGCCCCTAAGTCAAATCTTCGTACAAAGCGACAAACGTTAGAATCGTTAAAGACGAAGCTCGTGGACGCGTAAATGGGAACTGCGCGAGCGTTGGTGGTGGGATCAGGAACCTGACCAGCGTGCAACTGCAGCGTCTCGAATTCCTGGGGCCTTCGACCAAAGTTACTACCAACGATCCTCGAAAAAAAGGAGATAACACTTACTTGTTAGGTTGAGCCATGGTAATCCAGTTGAATACTTGGAGTGATAGATAGGCAGGTGGTCTGAGCGGGTTGTTCCTGCTATATATATGATATTGAAGGTTCTGAGGTGTGTAAGAAACAAGTCCGGATGGTGCCAGTGATGGCGATCAATCACGCGAGTATTACTACTTGTGTATGTGATCAATCATCACGAGTCTAAAGTTGTCTCAGGACTATCCTCTATCTTCAAGATAATCCTGTCACATGGTGGAACATCGAGAAAAAGGATCTTGGACAGCTGAGAGGAGTCAATATTATTGGAGTTATGGAGTGTAGAGTGGCCAGAAGAACCCCGAAGAACCGCGGACCATCGGTGCAAAGATCAGTGCTGTCCATACAATGTCCATTTATATGTTCAACGTCCCGTACTCCCGCTAGGCTGATCATTGACAAGATGGCGAGAAAACTTGCTCGTGATCTGGCTTTTGAAAATCAGGAAAATCTCCTGAGACAGAGGTATTTTAGAACGTACGTTGGACATAGCCACTCTACTTCCAAGGTCATTTTGATGAACTCTTCAATGAGAAGTCGTCAACTTCCATCGGAGTCAAACCTCCAGGCAGCCTTGATGCGGATAAGTTGACGGCACATGACTGTAACTTACAATGGAAAGGTACAAATAACTCAACGCGCCCGCCGTTGATTATATGCTTCCACGACTGACACTCCAGAGTCGCGGAGGCATAAAATCAAGGAAGGTAGTGCACGGGTGTCACGCCAGATATCGATGCTGAGTCGACGCCTTCCGACTCAGCCTCTACCTCTCCACGGGACCGTCCGAGATTTTTCACTAAGCTCCTTCAAACTCGCCATTGCACAAATGCTTTATATTCTTTAAAAATGTACTGTAATGTGCTCCAAATTTGTGAGGGTAATGACATGAGGCGTTTAGTCGGCGCGTCGCCAAGTAATACTGCGGCGCTGTTCGGCTCACTCATTGGATCGGACGTCCTTGGAGGTCCGTAGAAGAGCCTTTGCTGACTATTGCGAAAGACGCGCTAGCAGTTCGGCAGATCACAGAGGCGTCGCCATCGCCGTCGCCGTCAACAGCCGTAGACTAATTGCTGATATGCTGTGTCCGATATCACCGGTGTCACTGCCTGGTTCACCAGCTAGAGCCAGCTAGCCTTTTTCTAGACAAGTCTAAGAGACATCGTTACCATGCGCTGTCAGCCTATCTCTGATTGATAAATACCAGATCAGACTCTTTTACCGCTCAGTATCCCCTCAATCATGGTCAACACAATTCCTCCTGCCAATCCAATCCCGGTTGCACCGTCCCCTGCTGATGTTCTGAATCGCCTATTTCCTACTCCAGCACGCCCTCCATCAGTCCTAGCACCAGCCCGTCTACCCAATGCTGGTCCAGGGCCAACTGCTGCACTGCTCAAGACACTCAAGGATAACCACGAGCGCAGTCACGTTTTCTTCAACTACTACAGTTTCCACAAGTATGTACTTGCCAAATGACATCGCAGATCAACCCTGACACACCATCCAGTCATGCTGCCCACCACTTACTAGCCATTTGGGCCCTTGGAGCATCTGGCCCTTTGATCACAGCTGCATACGAGGATACGCACCTCGACCACATGCGGGATGCCTTCAAAGCACCCGACCATGTAGTCATCTCGGATGACAATTTCCATGACTATCTCGGGGACGAAAAGTGAGTCTGAACATTTCCTGTATCCCGACCGACCTCACAAATGCTTCGCAGCTACTATAATGCATACCTCGATTACTTCCACAAAGTAGTTCTCGCACCAGGTTTTACCATCTCAAACACCCTTGAAAAGTACATTTTCTCTTCAGAGTACAATATCAACACCTCTCTTGCACCAGGCAAGCAGCAGCCTGAGATGCTGAACCGCTTTGTCGAGATTCTCATCCACCCCCTCATTCATACCGGCTATGGCGCGGAATTCGGACTTCCAGGCATGCTTGCTGAGGGGCTCGCCCAGGCGAGCGTTCATCCCGCACGGGCAACCGTCTTCGTTTCCCGCTTGCTTTTCCCCGGAAACCCAGACTCTCCGTACAAGCCCAAATCGCACGTGCACGCGCTCACGATCCTCTCCCAGATGCTCGCCGACCGCCGTTTCTGGACACGTATCCTCGAGAAGCATGAATTTGAGGCCATGCTGGTGTCGCACGGCGAACTCATCAACTCTTACGCAGAGATGTGGACGTGCGAGATCAACAGCCAGGATGACTTTAATCGTCACCTCGAGGAGCTCGTATGGGCAAGCACCTTGATGTACGGAGTCAGTAGCTGGGATGGCGAGAGCGAGGAGTATCGTGCAGACTTCTTCACCATGCACAGCGTCACCTCGTGCCTCTTCCTCCCGTCTCTTTGCGCCCACCTTTCATACCGCAGCCAATCTCTCCTCTTGCGCGCACACTTCCTCACGAGCATCACATGGTGGCTCGTACGTGGACGTCCCGCACTATCCCTCCGGAAGTTCTTCGCCGCACCGCTTACGCCCCTCCCGTCCCCAGAACACTTCAAGTACGCAACAACGCCCCCTGGCGTTCAACCTCAACCGGCAGCAAGTGCACTACCCAGCGTGGACAGCCCGCACGCAGTGGCCCCCAACGTATGGTACCAGCTCCTACAGAGCTCGATCGTGCACCCGAATGAGCATCACCCCAAGTGCCAGCGTGCGCTTGCACACTTTGCTGTGCTGTACGGACACCGTGATGCAGGCTTCTTGTCGGAGGCGCTGTCCTCGAGTCCAGCGATTAGCTGCCCTGACACGCCATTGATGCCTGGTGGCCTTAAGCTTGCGGAGGGAGAGTGCAAGGCGCTCGAGGCGCCGGAGTGGGAGTTCCTTGATGGGAGCTTGTTCTTACGCGTGGCTTGGTTGACGGGTGCTGCGCTGGGATGGGTGAGGGAGGGCGAGCCGAACACGGGTGCTTGGGATTATCAGGAGTTTGAGAGAGTGGCTTTGGAGAGAGATGAACTTGAAGCTAAGATGAAGGCATAGGGGATGGAGGGATCATATCTAAAATCAGTAAAGTAACATATTTTCTCTTCGTTTGACTCCCATCTCAGTTGATAATACACACATGCATAATGTATAACATGCAGATCTTGAAATAACAATAAGACGTAAAAGAGCATCGAGCCTTTTGGGTACACCACTTCGGGGTCTTGGTGAGCCACGTGAGCCGAAAACTCCTAGTGCGTAATGACATCAATTGGAGCCCCTTTCCGAGCCCCTTTCCCTCTAGCGCTCACTACGATGTCCTCTGAACTCGACACCGCAGCTTACAGGCCATTCCACCGACCTGGTGATGAACCCTTCCAACACCCAGCTGGAAATATTCATGCTCACGGCCTAGCACAATATTCTCCCAAGGCAGCAGAAGCGTTTTCCTTCCCTTCCAAGCCCGAGTCAAAGCATGATCCGCTACCTCCTTTATTCCAGACCCCCCAACCGCCCTTAGCTGCCATATGCCCCCAGCGATGGCCTGGCATCGATGCAGAAAGCACCAAGATGCTTTTGAAAGTCTTGGAGGATAACCACTCTAGGTGGCATATATTTTTCAACTACAAGAGATTCCACAAGTGCGCCACCGTTTCATCGTATACTTACGTTGGGGTCTGACTTGGTTCGAAGCCATGCGCCCCATCACCTTCTCGCAATTTGGGCGATGGGCGCGAGCGCCAAGGATCATTTTTTCTGCCTATGAAACTCATTGCGAGTATCAGCGTCCTGCGTTTGAGTCACCGAATCATATTACGCGCCATAATTTTAACGAGCACCTTGGTGATGAACGGTAAGTCACATTCGTTGGTATCGATGATTGTTGATCCTAACCTCGTTTAAGATTCTATTCGGCGTACGTGGACTTCTTTGCCAGTGAGCTCGGAAAGAAAGGATTTGCCCGCACCTTTGGAGAGTTTATTTTTGCTCCTTCTGCAAATTACCTAGCAGAATATCCGGAGAAAGACATTCATCCGCAGATGCTGGCTCGCTTCATTGGTGGATTACTCCACCCTCTGATTCACACCGGCTATGGTGCAGAGTTTGGGCTGTTGGGCGTGTCAGCGGAAGGTAAAGTTACCCTATCATAATGCATTGTGCTTGTTCTTACCTGCAGAAAGGTCTGGCTATGACTGCTGTCCACCCTGCGAATGTGGATGTACTTCTTCCACCTTCGTGTTTCGGTTCTCCTATGAAACCTGGAACCTTGCATGCCCTCTCAATTCTCGCGCTCGTTGCTAAGGATGAACGCTTTGAGCACATCAAAGTGATGGACGAGAACATGTTTACCATGACTGTCTCATCTCACGGTGAGGCACTTCGAGCGTACGCTGAAATGTGGGACTTCGATGTAGCGAATAAGGAGGACGTCGCCAAAGCAGTGGAGGAGCTTGCTTGGCTCAACTCGATAATCTATGGCGTAGGGGGCGTAACTGGGAGGAAAGACACCGAAAAAGCGTTCAACGCCGACTTCTTCTTGATGCATCTTGTCACCTCCACCCTTTTCATCTCCTCCCTCGTAACCTCTCTCTATCAGAACTCTCGTGCCCAAGCACTGCTCCTGCGTTCCTACTTTGCGGTGAGCCTTGTGCGCTACGTGGCGCGGGGACGCCCCGTTATCGATATCGCCAAGTTTTACAGCAACACTTCATCGCTTCTGCCTTCTAGTGGTCGGGACGTTATTCCGGGTCCACAACCGTCGCCTTTCAAGAGCACACTTCCCGACCCCGAATCTCCTGAAGCGCGGACACCAAATCCCTGGCTGTCTGTGGTACAGACCACGCTCGTGCACCCTAACGAACACTTGTGCAAGATGCAGCGGACGCTTGCGCATTTTGCATCATTGTACGGCTTGCAAGGACAGGGGTGGTTCGCCGCCCGCAAACAAGCAAGCGTAGCCACAGATGACAGCAACCTCGAAGACGCTGAGCGCAGCCTGGGACTTGGGGAGTTAGATGGAACGCTGTTCCTTCGCGTGGCTATGCTCACTGCGCACAGGCTTGGTTGGATGCGAGAAGGTGAGAGCGAGGAGGGGTGGGATTACGAGGGATTTTATGAGCAGTGAGAAAGCGATGATGTGATGTGAAACACGTCGAGATTGTATAGTGTACAATGGTGGTACAAGGGTGAGTGCGTATCGTTATTCTGAAGGCCCAGTATAAATAATACACGCGTGATGTTGTACATGTGCTAATAGTTAATGTGTGTGCAAATAATTGAAATATAGTGTATCATGATGTCATGATGATGGGGGCGTGATCTACGAGCAACAACCTGCAATCGCCGCCAGCTCTTGTTTAATTTCAGTCATAGTGGGTCGTAAGAACGGTGCAGGGCTCCAACACCTATCAAGTAGATTCCGGAAGTTGTCCACCTCCTTTTCAGGAAGCCGGAGTTTCATAGGAGCGCTTCCGCGGGAAGGTTTCACGCCCCTCATGATGTCGAATAGGACTGCAGTATCGTTGCTTCTATGTGAGAAAGGAAGGCAACCGGTTGCGACCTGCAAAATACTGTCAATGACTAAGGATACACAGACGGATGAGCAAGCTGACTTCGAGACAAACACATGCAAACGCGTATACGTCGCTGCTGGTGGAGATCGGAGGCGGTTCAGCGTCGTCATCATTGGTGAGTGCTTCAATGAGCTCAGGCGCCATCCACCGAGTCGACCCAGCGAAGAGGGATGTTGCAAAACGAGTGTTCCGCATGCTTGGCTCGGACTCGAGGACTTCTTCGATAACATTTGACAGACCGAAGTCTGTCAGAAGAGCTTGTCCATTGTCACCGATGAGGATATTGGACTGCAATCCAAAGCATTGATTTCGAGTCTGAAGTGCACCTGACTGGAGAAAAACTTACGCCTTTGAGGATCGCGGTGAATGACGACAGGCTGGCAGTTGTGCAAGTAGCTGACCGCTGATGTTATTTGCTGAATCTGTTATGCCTCGTGTAAGGGGTGCAGTGTGCCAACAGCCTAATTCCAGACTTACTAATGCAAATCGATCTGCTTCAGGATTCATTTCCAGATAGTGCGTCAATGTACCGTTGTTGCACCACGGGGAGACCATGGCTATGGAGTTAGGAGATTGAGCAACGCCATAGAGCTGTGCAATATTTGAATGATGGAGGCGGTGCCACGCTACGACCTCTGATTTAAGCCGCTGAGTGCTTCATTAGTATACTATTAGACTGATCTGGAGATGCATGCGTACCAGCAGTAGCTTTTCCTTGACTTCGTCTGACATGTGCGTGTACTGACGAAGGTATTTGAGTGCGACCTGCCAACGTCGTAATTAAGGGACTGAATGAGAGTCAAATGCTTCTTACTGGTTGTGTCCCACTGTGGGAATTCGTCCAGATGCCTTTCCAGACGTCTGCGAAGGAACCACCAGATACTGGTGCGTTACCTACTTTCTCAACCTCGTCTGTGAGGTCGACAAGTAAGACGCTGCCTTTCACGACCAGAGTCTTCGTTACTTTCTCCAGCGTTGCCTTTTGTCTAGCACGTTGCTTCAACCGCGAGTAATCCAGGTGCTCGGAGACCCAACGGAAGCTGTCATAATGTGCGATAGCTTGGGTGACAGAGGTGAGGGAAGAGAAATATAGCTGGGCTGGGTGTCGTTGGAGAAGGGACGCGTTACGAAGATGGATATCAGCAGGTGACTCGATATCGACGTCGATCCAAGCAGCGGTAGCCCCCATCACTGGGTCTCGTACCCTCAGATCATGCCCCCGGGGCTCCTCACCTTGAGTGCCGAGGACGTAGAGAGCGATAGTGGGCATGATAGGGAACATGAGATGAGCTGATGAGCTAGCAAGCCATAAGTTCAGCACGACCTGATGCACGATAGTTTCTTAGATGGACTTACGGATCACCAGCGAACTCCTCGTCGAGGGTGGCAAAACATGAATCAGGAAGCACAAACTGCTGATCTTCGGACGCCAGACCAATGCAGATCTCAGCATCACAAAACCTCCAGCAGTCAAGACCCTCGAAGTGGCGGAACACCTTCTTGCCCCTGTTCTCGTGCTCCAGGAAAGCGTGGAAACTTCCCAACGTAGCACGTCTCCGAACACGATGCCATGCATGTCTCGCATTGATGACCGCACCAGCTGCCAGTAACAACACGTCTGGTCAAGCTGGCAACCGTCTCCTGGTACTTATCACTGTTTCGATACCGCAAGAATACAAAGTACCGGAGTAATGCATCCCGTGAATGTCGTGAAATTGGCAATTCGAGCCTCGTTTCCGATCGTGATCCCCCCAGAGTGTGAAGAGCGGATCTTTGAAATCAATTCACTGAGGATCCGCTCTACCTCATTCTCCAGACGCGTAAACGCCTTCTCCGCGGTACGCAAGACAGACCGGCAACCTTCATCCCAGAGATATGACGTCAAAATCGTGGAAGATTGTCTGAACTTGCTCCGGAACACGACGCGTTTCAGTGAGTTCGTTATTGTAGACGTCATATGTATGGACGCGGTGGTCATCGAGGGTGTGTTTCGATGGATCACTATGTACGTAAATCGAATGAGCAAGTAACTGCGGGTCATCAACAAATCACTCACGCGTCAGACAGCCAAAACCGCCAGAAGAACTGGGGAACATAAGGTGTCACTCCGACATCTTCACTAGGGATCTATGTCAAAGAGTTAGGAATCACCGCTCCCGTGTCAGTTAGAAAGATGCACGCCGTACCATTGAGCTCGAGAATACGCCAGTGGGAATGTCTACAGGAAATCAAGTAACCGCCTAGTGGCAAGGTGCCCCAAAGGTTGGAGGTCGTCCACACAGACAGCCAGGTTTGTAGAGGCGACGCACAGACTCTTCGAGGTAAACGGTCGGTCAAGTCAACCGCGGACCGTCTCAGACCGTCTTTTGGTGGGCAAACGAGTGCAAGAGAAATATCGCTGCGTGCTCCAAGGCACGGTGGAGCGTCATATTTAAACGTCTTGACGTGGGCAATGCGGCATAGGCGCTGGAAGGCTTGGAATGAGGCTGCGCGCCCACTATCGTTATCTTCTGCTACATGGGGAAAGATGCATGTATGCGATGACGAGTCCCTGGCTCAGGTTGTCCCCGTTGCTGACCTAATTACTTATGTGACAGTTATGTGCGGAAGCCCATCATTACTTGGGGTTCCGATATTGATAGGAAGCCAGTCCAGTGGAACCAACACTTCTCTCGCGTAGTACATCTCCTTCACACAAACTTCGTGAAAACACCACCACATGCGGCGACGTCATAGGATAGTAATGAACGAAAACTGAGCTAGTAAGTCATAGTATAGTACATACACACCGTAGCCACATGCACTCCACACTTGAAAGAGAATTATCACAACGTGCTGGCGTAATATTTACTGTATAGCGGTGCGTGTCACGGATGCTGTCCACGGAGCGCCCGCATAATCGCGTGTGCAGAAGTACTATCGCGCGGCAGACGGCCCTCCAGTCCGAGACGAAGCCCCCATGACATATGATGTCATCCCAGAGCCAATCGTGGCGTCGTGAGGACCGGGGAACGGATCATATGGGAGGGTATTTAACCCATAGCTTTGACCTTCCGCGGTATCCGGCATGCATGTACGCGTAGTGGGGCGGGGAAGTGGCATGGAGCCTGCATGACCGCGTACACCTTCGGGATGACTTTCATTATCGACAGCCCCACACGACGTGTCATCACGAGAATCATCGGACGTTTCGTCGAAAGAGGAATCATCTTGCGACGAGGCATCGTCTGCACCAATCGTACCAGGCGAATTTACACTGACGTCAAGGTAGCTGCAAGGTAAAATCATAAGGGGTCAAGCGCCTCTTTGTATGAGGAGGCACTGACCGGGACTCCTGACGCTCCTTTATGAGTTGTTGTTTCACTTCGTTCACTGCCTTGTTGATATACCACATCGCAGCAATGGTCACAAGAAGTGTGATGGCAACAACGACGTCACCAATAATATTGCTGGTAGAAGTGGCAGATGCTGTAAAACATGTGAACAGGTGTAATACTAACATGACGGACCAAAACAGGTGATGACTCACAGTTGGGGTCACTTTCAAGCATCACACCAATATAGACAGTAATGAATTGTTTCGGAAGAGAGAGCACAGCTGCTAGCATGAACACTAAGATATTCATTCCACACACTGAGAATATGGCTGTTGTCACTGAAAACAGCAAGTATTAACGAGTGACAGATGCACGTCATAGAATCTTACAGTGCCCTGGAATAGCGCTGTAACGCGCAACCAACACGACTTTGAAGCCGCGTTCGCGGACCACCCTGCACAGAGCGGCGTACATGATATTGTTGTTTTGCAACTTATCTCCGCGAGCTTGGCAAATATGTTTGAAAGTGCTTAAGAAATACGTCAAAGTTCAGCATGGAACGTATTGGAAACAACTCACTAGAAGTTGGCGACTTCACCTACGAAAGTACCGGCTGCGGTGATGCCGAAGCCAATCCAAGTGCCCCAGACAAGCCCGCAAAGGACAGCCAATATCTCGTGACCAAATAACTGAGAGCGCAAATTACCAGTCAACGAGGCAATTCAGCATGAGGAACGTTACACACACTCACCGGAGGGAACGATATCACAAAGAAAATCGCAATAGGGATGAGCCATCCGAATTTCAAGCTGCGTAGTTCCGAAAATTAGCACCAGGGAATCAAAACCATGCTGCAACCCAAAATGGACCTACTCATGAATCCGCTCCACGGCAGGCTGCAAAGCCCGCACTATCTGAGTATGAAAGAACGCGAAAAGGCAAACCAAGACGATGATAGTGACAATGCAAACGCAAGTTACTGGGGCAATGCGATTCATTCCATGAGACTGTGTTCTGTGAGACATTATTGAATGCACACCTTTTCTGCGCGTTGTCCACGGCTGATTCCTGGCGAAAAGCCCCTTCCAGTCGAAGAATGGTTGGTGTTCAAGCCATGCTTCATTAGGGATAAGCGGGTCCGTGTCACGGTGCAGTGTGCGTCCGTGATTTTCTTCGTCATCACCCTGAAGATCCATGCGCATGGATTTGGAAGATGAACGGAGAGTAGTTCTCTTGATGAGGTTGATGATCTCCTCTCGAGACCCCGCAGACTCATCATCATCTAGCAGCGTACACACGCATGCATGGTCCACGTTGGCCGCGCTGAACGATTGCAGAACTTTCTGATGCTCGTTCCACCACGTGCTCCAAGGTCTTGACGGGCATACATCCATACCCGTGACTACGATGGCAAAGGGGGCAGCACCGATCGTGGATTTGAGATTATCGTAGTGGCGCAGCTGGGCCTTCACAGCCTGTGATCCTTGAATGCAAAGGATGGAAAGAGGAGCGCGATTTCTGTCGCGCTTGAGTTCCTTCACCAAAGACGTTAGGTTTTCGAGGGCCTCTCTTGCAGGGACGAGTCCCTCAGAGCCTTCATTGAGCCCAGGAGTATCCCATAACTTATACTTCGTCGCATCGCCTGAGAAAAGGTAAGACTCATTTGTCGCTGTGCAGCCTATTGCATCATTTGACGTGGGCGCTGCCTCTCTGCTTAATAGTAAGTTGATAAGGGAGCTCTTTCCTGAGCCGGTCGTCCCGAAAATGACAATATTCTGAACGTCTTCATCATCCTAGAGTATATTTGTCGTAAGTATGAGTCTTGACAGTGTGCTGGTGTTATGACAAACCCCTTCAAAGGCCACGTTGCCTGACGTGACAGACTCCTTTGCACGTCTCTTGTAATTCATAATAGCAGTCAACTCGAACGACAGCAGATGACTCGGAGGAACTTCAGATATTGGCAGTGGTTAGCTTGAGTGCAAGAGCTGCTCCAGCCCAGGATTATACGCCCATGCACATGCAGCTAATCCGAACAGACACCTCGAGGCGCAGCACACTGGAACGATGCAAAGGCCCAGAATCCAGATGTACACATGGCGCTTGCATGGCGCCCATATCATAAGACCTAGTTGGAGGTAGTTGGGCTACCTTGAACTGCCGGTGGCCTGAGTCAATTGAATGGACTGGTGCGTCGTGGTGACCAGAACAAGGAGTCTACATGCATAGCTCATACGAACTTCCAAGGTATCGACTCTTCATGCAGTCCTTCGTCGGGTATCCGACGCGAGGCTCTTTGCGCGGATCAAAGGTTCGGAAACTCGTGAGGGTTTGGAAAGAAAAGTGGCTCAGGTATTTTTCGGGGGTTGTCGCAATAAGCCGTAAAATGACGGTGATGTTCGGGTGTTACAAATTCACAATTGTGCATTGGTACAAGTCGCCAGAGCCTCCGAGTCAGGCTGGCCAGTGGCAAAGGGTATTGAAGTACTGAGTATACGCCGATCCGTATATATTGCTGTACATATTTTATGCTTTTGGCCTATGACTTACAAGATATCATGTCGCTCATCTTGTGTAAGCACGCTGGCTTACCTGAGTTCCCATACTCAGTATATATACTGTCGCTGATACTGAAAGCTAAGCTTTCAGTATTCTACCTTTTGGTGTATCGGTTATGCGCGTGCGGCAGTCTGACCTACTTACATCTTGTCTCCTATATAGGCAAACCATTGGGGATGGGCAACGCCTCTAAGAAAAGCGTGACATTATGTAATCAAAATTGTAGTAGTACGAGCGGCAAACTGTGGCAAACTGTGTACGGACAAGCCTTTTGACACTATCAAGATCGTAAGTACCTATAAAAATGCTGTATCGTTGAATTATAATCAATTCTAAACATTATGCATTAATAGCCATGGTCAACAAAACATAAGGGTCACTCATCATCATACTCATCCTCGCATCCAGGCATCCCCTGAGCATTGTTACTACCGTCTGGCTGCTCCATCGAGTGCTGCGTATCGTTTTTAGGGTGCGTTTCACCTCGTACGTAGCGCCCAACTGCATCCATCAATATCTCAACCTTTTTTGCTTTTCCTGATGGCGTGTTTTTTGCAGCAGGCACAGTTTTTTGCAGCAGGCACATCCTTGTCAAATCGACGATGCCACCGGATCTGCAGGTTAATTTCGTCGACGCGGAGCTTTTCGACTTCTGCAAGGGTCAAACGAGGCACAACTGCAGTGAGCTTAGCCTCTGCAGCATCCCGCCGTTCCTTCCTCCGCACATCCAGCTGCTTGTTCTTCCTCACCCGCTCCTTATCATAGTTAGCCTGCGCAACCCGCCGTTTTCGCTCATCACCTCGTGTATCAACAGCGCGAGCCTTCTTGAGCAACCTCTTTTGAGCCCCAGGCCGAAGGAAATTCTGTATGTAGGTTCCTGTCATGTTCTTCTTGTACATGAACCGAGAGTTGAGGTGTGACAAGGACATGTGCGGTGCTCGCCGCAAAGACGTACGGACTGTCCCTAGGGCGCCTTCGTTGTCGTCGTTTGTTGTTTTCATGTAAGCCATCTCTCTTTGAGCAGCGGATGACTTATCTATCACTCCACCAGCAGTGAACTCGCCACAAAAGCGGACCCAAGTGTCAAGAGCACCTTCCAAAAATGTGACAAGAAGACGACGAAGGTGAGGGTAATTTTTTTGGTCTTGGGCGATTCGTTGGATTGCGTAAAATGCCTCTGGACGCTCAAATGGCCTACCATCCAGGGTTGCTGTTTCGTGAGAGGCGCTCGGACCCAAAACAAGGTCAACATCCGCAATGAGACACTGTAGGTGAGCAATGACCTTGGCATGAATGGGCCCCAGGTCCAGTATGTTGGTGGATGAATTTCGGATGGTTCGTAGATATGGATGGGTGAGGCATTGGTTGTATGATGCCCAGCATGTAATTTCCTCCTCCGTCCTGAGACATGAGAAGCCTCGGAAGACATTCTGCTCCATGTTCGTGTGCGTCCGGCTTTCCTTTTTGAACAGTATGATCTCCAGGAACTGCATGTACCAAGATTTGTGAACAAGATACTCGCATGCGGCATCACCATGGCTGTGATAGCGAGTGTTACTTGTGTCGGGCCATTGACTGGTGAACCCTAACTCTGTCTCGAGATAATATCGAAGGGAGTCGTGTTGGCCCTTTTTGTCGTCCTTGTGACGAAATACGCTGCCCGCAAGATCCAAAGTCTTCTGCCCACCTCCTGTTGACACCTGAACAGCCCGATCTTTGGCTACCGAGGAACCCACTGATGCTGCAGCCGAATTGTCCTTATTCATCAATAGGACAGGGCCGTCAACACCGTTCTGTTCCCACCATGCTCGCATCCTTGTATTCCCCCCTTTAGCCGCATTTAGCTCCTTATGCATGCAGCAGCCTGCCCACACGAAAAAGTCCACAGCCTCCTTTTCGGCACTTGAGAGGGATGCAAATTCTTTCTCTCCAAAGGTCATGCGCAGTTGACAGATGGCTTTGCTAGAATGGAGCTGCCGCTCATCCGGAGAAAGCAAATCCCATTGCTGATAGCCGCCCGCAGTCTCGATAACGTTTTCCATCATTTCCGAAAGTAGACGTACGACATCAGCCGGAGGTAAGCAGGCGAGTGCCTTTTCACCACGAACTTCTCGCTCGCATTCTCGTTTCCACTCTGCGAATAGACGAACAAGCTTCTTCTGGTCTTCAGCATGGTCGGTCAACATTCCTTTGACTTTTGGGGCAAAATCCCGAATGTCTGCAGCGTTGTGACCCCCCATGACATCATTGTAGGTGGAGTACATTTCATTAGCTCGATGTTTCCACCCTTGTAACTGAGTCTCGCTGGTGTGGTTGACTTCATGCAGAATTCCTGCCAATCGAGTCGCAGTTTGCCCGTCCGGCAGAGTAAGAGTGACATGGTGGGACTGGTAATTGATATTTTTGTGGGTGGTACCATCTCCACTTAATGTAACTCCTGTGTCGCAGGGGTTGGGGTCAAGATCTCTTTGACTCCGAGTCAAACAACTTGCATACCTCTTGCACGAGTGATCTCGTCAACTAGCTGTGTCTCCGCTGCAATGCCACCTTCAATCACCATCCGGCGAATACTGCGCTGGCTAACATCTCCCTCCACCTCAACACCTAATGCCTCCGCTACCACATTGATTGTGGCATTGATGCTCCGAAGAGGTATGTCCAGATTTGCGACCAAGTCTCGCACCATCGCACGGGATACATTTGTAAACACACCTTTCTCCTTGAGAGAAAGGTGCTGGCAGCTTCGGTGGCAAGGATATCCTGTGCCTTCTCGTTCACGCGTGTTTTTGCCGCCGAGGCACGTGTGACGCGCATTACGAGTGCGTGGTTTCGTTTGGTGAGCGACTTGTTTTTGTGGTGCAGGTGGCTGATGCTTTGCATAGCATTATCGAGATGCTCCTGTGTCTTCTTGGCTACTGCTGTGATCTCTGCATTTGAGGACTGCAACGAGTGCATCTGCATCTGCAGACTTGCAGCAGCACGGTCCTTTCGTGTGGCCCGCTTGCGCTCACTTCGGTAGCGCCTCTCGTAAGTAATGGCTTTCTCTTGTTGCACGGCGAGCTCATTTTGCGTCTGTGTTACAGGTCTAGGAGTGGTGTTGCCGAAATTTGGGTTATTCTCCTTTTCTGTGTGCGTCTTTGAGTTTAGGGATATAAGGTGAGCTTTTTGTTTGCTAGATCGTTTCTTCGAGGGATTATAGCGGTCACTTGTAATATATCTCCGTGCGGTGAGGGCCATTGTGCTTGGCTTGACGCGTCAAAACGCGTCGCGTCGCGCTTAATCTTAATTAGTCAGCACATATTTAATGTGCTCAAAGATCGCATGGCCACAGATGATTCAGTCACACTATTGTGGTCAAATTGGTACGAGGGGCCTTTTTTTTATCCCAACTTTGTATTCTCTGAAAAAAATCAGGAAAAAAGCTGCATTCTACCCCATTTGAAAATAGGATCACTGCGAAAGCAACACCTTTGCATGTTTTTCCTCATAGAATACAAGCATTATCATATTTAATGTCCATTTGCTTCCAAGGTTTTTTGTTATGACGTGAATGTTAAACACTACCATGCGATATTTCTGCTAGACATTGATTCCAGCTGTAGAGCAGGAATTGGAAATCACGGTCGGAGTTTAAAGTTGGCAGGGTCTTGCCCATCCCCAAAACCATAGACGGAAAGACAGTCGAGTACTCAGGTAGACATCGCATCCTAACTTACTACTCGAGCTTCAGTCCTTTAAGTCGCCTGAGAACCATGCTCTCATGGAGGAGATTGCAACTGTGCCCTGCGATTTAGTCTAATTCGTGGTGTATAAGCAGTCCACGACAGTCGGATTGGAGTCAACTTGGCTGTAAAGTTCTTGTTGGTATCGACGACAGCATTCGCCGTCCGCTTAGTATTGAGTGCCATAAACGCAATCAATGTAGCAATGCATTTTGCTGTCAGAATACATTTACTGAGTTGCGGCATTGCAAGGTATCGTCGCTGCTTCTAACGTGCGAATTATGAATTAGCCCCAGAGTACGACAGTCAAAATTTGAGGTATAATTGAGTTGGATAAGGGCAGCCAGAATAATCCTCCTGTGCATACCGACACCCCCACTTCATGGAATCGCGGACGAAGCAATTTTTTCCCTGGTCAACATTTGAAAACCACCACCTGCGAGGTGAGAGATTTCCGTTCAACTTCGATCACAAAATAGTTATAGGGCGAGACGCGAGCGCACTTATTTGTTAAGGAATTCTCCCAAAGGCTGGAAGTGCTAATGATCTTGGGCGTGCGAATATTGCACGTGACCCCACGGGTGCCCTCCATGTCGCCAAAAATCATGCCAAGGGTTACTCAGACTTGCAGGCAAAAAAATCCGGGATGCCACATCTAATTATCCATGTGGACCGCCATCGAGAACTTAGATGCATGGGATTGCTCAACTGCCATACAATTAGTGCATGATTGTTGGGCAACTCGCTTGGTTGTCGCGGTTCGCCAGCCTGCATCACGCTCCTATATCTAGTATTCTAGGTTGCAATAACCGCTTCAACTTCGAGTCAAACCTTAGTGAGTTGAACCGTGATCAAGTTTGAAGACTTTACTGTGCTTTGTAGCCGTGACTTGCCCCTTGGACGTGCGGTAGGATAGAATAGCAGACAGTTAGCGGTGGGTCACAAGTACAACTCAGATACTCCGCCACTCCGATCGCCCACAGTACTTTTTTTCCCTTGTGGATTGCCCACATCCACTTCGACTTAAAACCCCCTCGCAAACGAAGTACTCCTCTAAATTCACTGCACCCCCGCAATCATAATGGCTTCAAAAATGCCCCCTTTAGTTGCCAACAATACAATGCCTCGCGCCCTCTTAGTTTCTGAAATTTTCTCGAACATCATAAGCTACGTCGGCACACCCCAAATCACCGGGATACCGCTTCGCAGAAGTGATTCTACCATACTTTCCAGGAGGACCTTGTTCGCCCTTGCATTAACGTGTCGCGCGTTCTCGGAGCAAGCATTGGATGCTCTCTGGGAAACGATTGTACGCATTGTTCCCCTCCTGCAATGTGCTGCGATTATTCTGCCACCGAAAACACTCTCGCAAGATGATGAAGACTTCTGCGTCGTTCGTTCTTTTTTTATTAAGAGAAATACACATGTATTTACTGATGGCACAGATCCCAACAGAGTCTCAGCTGGCTATCATTAATCGCTACGCACACCGTGTCCGGTTTTTAACCATGCCCTATGACCAGTTGCCGGGTCATGTCGAATACTTTTTGCAAACCTTTGTCTGCTCCTCTAAGGTCCTGCTGCCAAATTTACGAGGCTTAGAGGTCAGATGTCATGGTTTCTTCCATCTGGTCCCCCCCCTGCTTAGCCCGCGTCTGCAGCATCTTACCCTCATCACTTATTACTACAAAAAATGTGGGGGCTACGAAGGTGATGAGGAGCATGTTTTGCCTGCATTTGGCATGGTCATACGGTCATTGCCTTCATCTTGTCCATTACTCGAAAGCTTCAAGGTTTACGTCGAGAATTGGAATTGCAATGCACGTGATGTACTGTGTGATGCGTTCGCTCGACCACTGTCGCATGCTATCCAAAACTTGCAGAAGCTGCATACAGTCGTTACTCCAGCCATCACCAAGGATGCCCTGACTCATCTGGGTGATCTGTCGTCTCTTACCAGCCTCCAGACGCCTCTTCCCACCGGCAGTGATCTCGAAGATATTTTGGGCTCATCCCACGGCCCCTTCCTCTTCAAGAACCTTGAAAGCGTTGATTGGGTAATTACAGAATGGCAAGACATCGAAGTCCTCACACGTCTATGGCCTCGTAAACTCCCCACATTGTCACTTCAATCCAACGCGATCAAGTTCGATGCAGGCGCACTGCAGGTACTTTTTGCCGCGCTCCATACGCGCGAGGTTTTCAGGTACCTGCAGCGTATACACTTATCCGACTTTCAATCCCGATCCCCACACACAGAAGACATCACAATCGAAACCATACGGCCGCTCTTCTACCTCAGTCACCTTCAGGTTGTGGACTTCAATATGGCATCCTCTATTGACATCGACAATGATGACCTGGAGGAAATGGCACAAGGCTGGCCTTGTCTTGAGGTGTTGCTCCTCAACGAGAAACGTGGGTGCAATGCTCCCAATCCAGTTACACTGCTCGGGTTTGTCAACTTCGTCGATCTGTGCCCTCGGTTGAAAAAACTCTGCATTGGTATTACGCTCATTGATATGGATGAAGACTTTGACCTGGATATGAAGAGCTTACTCAACCTCGAGCCTCGACGTGACTCAGATACTTTAGAATATCTCAAGTTGACATGCCCCCATGACGAGAAAAACATAATTTGTGACTGGGGCTCAAGGGTGGGTATGCTTATAGCAAAGCTTTTCCCTCGGGTGGGACCCTTTGGGGAGCGTGATAGAGAAGGGGAGGACCGGCACGAATATTACCTCGTGTAGTGTTAACAAGACCAATCGGTCAACATCAACCCTGTCAATGCAGATGCATTCTTATCGTGATACTCCCGAAACAGATACTAGAAAAAAGTTGTTAGCCTTTAGTCAAGCTATAATAGACTCTCTATTCTTTTCATTCCCTTTTCGGTCAAATATCGCTGCAACACCAATTGATTCTCCACATATCGAGCTGGAGTGTTCAGCTCGCCCTTGCTGCCTTTGTGAATGCGATTGCACGTTGAATCCGTGAGCTTGAAGCATGCTTAATCGAGTGATAAGAGGGCAAAACAATGGTTTCGGAAAAGACGACGCAGACGGAGGAAGGAGGAGCGTTGCGCCTCCTCCCGGAACACCCCCAGCCTGCAAAGTAACAACCGTGGTGCCGATCGCAATGAAGAGGAGCTCTGTAAGGCAATCGAAGCATCGAAAAAGACTCTTGCGGAGGAACAGGGGCAAGGTCACGTTCTTCAGCTTTCCGATACAGCAATACGATTGCGCACACGCATGCACGCACGCCAACCGCATTGAACGATTACAGGACTTTCTAGTGCTCGTCCCACCACTTGTTCCAAGGCCTCAGCGCGCATATATCCATACCAGTGAAAGAGACGTGCGATTTCTGTCGCGCACGTCATTCACCAAGGACGTCAATTTTTTGATGACCTCTTACTCGTCCCGCAGAGCCGTCGTTAATCCCAGGAGTATCCCATAACTTATATCTTCTCCCATCAATTCAGAGAGGGTAATCATCCTTTGTCGCTGTGCACACTTGACGCGGGCGCTGCCTCGCTGTCTAAGAGTAAGTTAATAAGGGAGCTCTTTCCTGAGCCGGTCGTCCCCAAGATGACGACATTCTGAACCTCGTCATCATCCTGTGACATATATTTAGTAAGTCCGGGTCTTGAAAGTATGCAGGGTCACGACAAACCCCTTGAAAAGTCAGGTTGCCTGACACAAGTTCGCTTCAGGACGCTTCAGGACGTCTCTTGAGATTCATGGTAGCGGACGTACTCAGTCGACTTGAACCGCAGCGCCGAAGAGATGAGGTTAGCAAGCACAAATAGACTCCAGCACGGGATGACATACATATACCCTGCAGTTAATCCGAACAGACGCCTCGAGGCGCAGCACACTGGAACGATGTAAGGGTCCAGAATCCAGGTGTACGCATGGCGCCCATATCATAAGGCCAAGTCGGAAGTAGCTGAACTACTGCGGGATCCGAGGTATTGAACTGGCGACCAGTCTAGGATTGACATAACGAGTCTCCTAGGCCCATAGCTGCAATCGGCCAAGGAAGTTCGCCATGTCTTCGAGTTCACGGCCTTCATGGAAATCGATGACTGGGGACCAGGCTGACCAGCACTGAAACCTGTGGACCAGACTAAAAAGAACCTGACGCCTTGTATCAGACACCCGACGAATGAATGTTCGAGCGAACTTTTCAATCATCTCCATCCGTCAGATGTGATGAAAAGGCGCAGCATGATATCTACATGACGCCCATACCATGATCATATATAGGCCACGTCGGAAGCCTCGAGAGTCCACTAAAAATGACGAGTCTCCCAAACAAGATTAATCTTGTTCCAGAGTGCACCCATCATCGTCAACGTGCTGCATTGGGATTCTACTCCCGAGTTCAAGAGGAGAACACAGATAATGATTTCCAATCAGGAGATGAGACAAGGCTGCGCCGCCACATTGATTATTGTTATGGTGACCCTAACACGCCGGTCATCATGTATGTCTACCTGAGTGAGACGCAGTCTGGAGACGGATGTACAGAGGACCTCATGGGGACCCACCTTTGTATCTCTCCTGGAGGTATGCACCAGAAGACGGCAAGGACACATAAGTTACTTCAACAGGTGCTGGAAATATAATGAGCAAAGTGACTCGTATAGTAGATACGAACTAGTATTGGCCGAGTAGGAAATCCAGAAAGTAGAAGGAGAATGGAAAGCGACTGTGTTCTGTTAATGTACTAGTAGATGTTAGATGAAGCGCTTCGTCCTTACAACGTGCTGGCGAGCGTTTGTGCTCCTCTCCATATTGCTGTCTTTGTTGTGGAAGCAACTGGCGTACTAGCTCACCGGAAAGACGAGATGGTATAATATCACTCCACTGGCATCCCAACACAACGCGAAGGTTGACTGTCGGAATTTCTCACAATATTAACAGCTACTCGTGAGTGCAGATTGCGAAGGTTCGGTTCGGTTCTGGTCTATCGATAACGCACTTTCCGTTTCCTCGCGCAATGCATATCTGAGTCGCAGTAAGGTGGAATCGGGCCGAGACCTATATTCGGAGACCCTTTCCAAAGCGGAAAAGATGCGGTCGACGAACTAAAATGGTTGATATCTGGGATTTACCGGTCGCGCACCTTTTGGCAACGAGCGCATGAAGTTCGAAAAGCACAGGAGGCATTTCCCAAAGACTCGCCGTAATAAACTATCAAACTAACTTTCAAGCGCAGACGCTCGGACATCGAAATTTGCAGTACAAGCCGCTCCGGCAGGCAATCATTTGAACAAGGGTATGTATCGGTATCAAACCTACTATCCAAGTATAACTATAACATACTTCAATCCATAGTTTAAGTTATCGCTACTCATAAAGAATCACAAATCGAGTAATGTGGATGAAAAAAAAACGAGTGACGGAAGCTGATAATAGCCGAGGGGTAAAGTGTCCATACAGGTGCCCCTCCCCACCCTCCACACCGCGAACGAAACCTACTATCGTGTCGCATAATTAGGTGGAGGTGGCGAGGTAGTTCCTGAGAAACTATGCGGTGGCGCGCTGAACGCGTATCCAGCAGCAGCAGATGATGGCGGCGGTCCAGGCGGCGGTGCATATGATGCAATTCCTCCAGCAGCAGACGACGGTGGGGGTCCAAGCGGTGGTGTATATGATGCATATCCGGCAGCAGACGACGGTGGGGGTCCAGCCGGCGGTGCATACGATGCAGCCATCGGTTCTGAACTCGTCGTGTCGTCAAACGGATTCCGTAGTGGCTCTGGGGTTATAGCGCTCAAAGCGTAACTCTGACCCTGCGCTGCGTTGGTCTGCAACTCCCACGCTACGGTGTCCGTGCTCTCTTGGCGTAGGGGCTTGATTCCCATCGTGGGTGTCATATCAGCGGGGAACTGGTGTTCAGGCTTCTTGGGTTGAGGTGCATATACGCGTGGGTCAGCGGTGTAACCAACGGCGCGTCCTTCACTGTCCCATTGCTGGTATGGAGGATCGTATGGTGCGTTTTGAAAAGAATTGAGTGGGGTCGCTAGAGTGGTATCCGAGGGGTTGAACACAGTAGAAGTGTTCGCGCCACCGTTCTGATACAAGCTTCCGCTTTCACCCTCCAACCTCGCTTGACTGAGGAAAACAATTTAGACTGCGATGATTCACGGGGTAGGGATGGTACTGACCGAGCCTTGCGGCGCTCATAAATGATCTGTGGTTTGACACGATTTACCTGTCTAGTGATGTACCACATGGCACCAACGGTGACCAAAACGGTGATGACACCAACGACGTCACTGATAATCTTGTTTTTAGACGTGGTGCTCGCTGAAGGGAGACATGAGGATAGACTCGTAGTTTTGGGTAAGAACTTACAGTTGGCACTACTTTCCAACAAAGTTCCAATGTACACCGTTATGAACTGTTTTGGCATGGAGAGCGCTGCAGCTAACATGAAAATAAATATGTTCATGCCGCATACTGCGAATATTGCAGTGGTGACTAGACAGAACAAATGTCAGGCAAAGATTAGATAAGGGAATACAAAAACATACAGTGACCCGGAATAACGCTGTAACGCGCAATTAGTGCGATCTTGAAACCACCTTCGCGAACGACTCTGCCCAAAGCGGAGTACGTGATGCTGCCTTTCTCCATCTTCTCGCCTCGAACTGTGCAGAGGTATCGGAATGCACTAGGGAAGATAGTAAGGACCGACCAAGGCAGGATAGGAAGCATGCGTACTAGAAGTTGCCGACTTCACCGATGAATGTGCCAGCTGCTACTATACCGAAACCAATCCACACGCCCCAGACAAGACCACATACGATAGCCAGTATCTCGTGGCCGAAAAGCTGATAGGAAGCACGGGCGTCAATATGACATCACATGAAAGGTTAATGTGCTAACCGGAGGGAATGATATGACAAAGAAAATAGCTATGGGGATTAACCATCCAAACTTGAAGCTGAAATGATGGATTCAGTGGAGGACGTGACGGCGGGTTTGAATGAACGTACTTGTGCATCCAGTTGGCTGCGGGTTGAATGGCTTGTACAATTTGATCATGATAGAATATGAAGAGGCCACCCACAACGGCAGCGAGGAGGATAGAAATGTAAATAACTGTGCGCGATGAATTCATGAGCGAGACATTGGAAAGAGCGGGCGAGACAAGAGCGCACTTATTCGTTGCCTTGTCCACATCTTCTTTTTATCGAACATAGAGCTCCAATTGAAAAAAGCCTTTTGACCTAAGGCCTGTATCTCGCTGGGAGTTGGACTAGGAGTGCGGGATATTTGACGAATGTTTTGATTGTATGGAACATCGTTGGTATAAGGTGAAGAATATGGACCTGAACTATAGATTGAGCTGTTCATATCGAACGTCGCCTAGGTTGAAAGTCGTAGAGGTCGACGGTGATAATATGGAAACAAAGAAGTGAACAAGATATAGGCGATTCTTCTTTTGTTTTAGAAGTAGTAGTAGTAGTAGGGGGTTGTGTCACTGTGACTGTCAGAAATCAAAAAGGGTTTCACGGTCAAGCACAGCCGCTTTGTTGTTTAGTTTATCCTGCTCCAGTGCTCGTCTACTCAACTTCTTATTTACCTGTGCTTCCGCAGTATTTTCGGCTGTCAAATCTCGGTGAACAAGTTGGTCAGAGGTGATAGTTCAGCTATTAACTGGAGTATCACCTATAGTCGACTCGTTTGCCAAGCGTAAGTACTATGCGAGAATGCCCAGATCTTTCCTGTCATATGTCTGATGGAAACTAGGGTGTTATTGGTAGCAGTCACCAAATTATAATGTAATTGTTGTTTATAGTACATGTTGCGAAATGCTACCATCCTTGTTCGACCAGGTTACTCGAAATTTAGCCAGCATAGGTTGTATACCCTTGTCAGACTATCTTTATGGATCTTCTATATCCGCAGCTGCACCACAGCAAAGGCTGTCCTCGCCTCCCCAAAATGCATCCATTCAACACCCACAGCCCGCCATACCCAAGACTTCAGTCGATACAGTCTCAGCAAACGCTATTAGTCGTTTACATCAGACATCTCAGCGCATCTTTGGGTCCATCGACCCACTCAAGTTTGAATTCATCGAGGAGGACGGCCAGCGCAGTGCGTTTCTACTCTATCTAATGATCTTCACCCTCATATTAGGTGTACAGGCAAGAAATGCATATTGACGATATCCCGTCCAAATGGATCCACTCGTTCATATGCGACAGACCCGGTCTATTCTCGAAAATCCGACGCAAAATCTGCTGCTGCTTCTCTCGCGATTGAAATGGGCGCATTGGATTTCATCACACGCGGGGAGCCCGAGGAGCTGAAACTAAAACGTGGACTGGTTCTCGCCTCCATTAATAGCTCGGAAACTCGGGAGGGTAGTCGGGTAGAAATCGGATCAATAAAGAGTTTGTTACAGGAGCCCGACAGCAATGCGGTGAAACAGATTGAAAACTGCTGTGTGGAATGGCGGGGCGGTTCGATTGCACCGCATTGGGTAGCATTATTGGAGCCTAAAGTCGGACACAGTAAGTAGTATCAACCGATGTCATAGACCCTGTTACTAAACTAACTGCACATCAGCTCAAGGATGCGCTCTCAGGATCGAGCTTTCATCACACGTGGTCAAAGTTTACGCATCAGACACCATCTACGACACCTACAACGAGGCAAAGGCCGCATGTGCTGAAGCCGCTCTTTGCGAGGGCGTTCTCGAATTCATCAAACATGGAAACGGTCAACAACGCCCAGCATCTCCTCAACTGTACCCACCTAGTTCCTCCAACATCAACGGCGTCTCAGCCAGTAAACAACCTCCTTTAACTCTTCAAGCGTTCTACGACTCCCTCCCCCGCCCATTCCCCGAATCATTCGAAAGCAAAGATGCCAATACATTCGGTGCGCCTGGATACATGAACACGCTCGTACAAAACGCAAGAGGCGGCAAAGTGACAATTACATTCGTTTTCACTTCAGATGGAACCCCAGGACGTATGGAATCCCTCTTTGTCATCATAATCGCTCACGCTCACGGTTTATTTATTTAGTCCATGGTTGTTTTCTCCGCTTGGACAGACCAGGGGAATACCGAGCATACCTCGTCGATCCTAGATTTCCAAAACGTGCCGATGCAAAAGCAGCTGTATGCCTCCAGGCGCTGTCTCATGGCGCTGGAGATTATATGCGCGCAATAGGGAAGGCTGTCGAGGCGAAAGTCACGCCTTTGATGAAATCCTGGGTAAACGACCAAGTGTACCCCGTCCTCTTATCCGAATATTCCAAAATCAGGACTCCTCATCCTGACTTTACTTACGAGAAGGAAAAAGATGGTCGGTTTATCCCATTATCACGTCTTCGTCGTATGCTCATTGATGACGTCTAGCCTTTGGATGCACGATGACGCTGCACCTCGCTAACGACCCTACACCTGATCAAACACGAAAATGGACGGCACCGCCTGAATACCGCAATAAATCGGACGCCAAGGCGGCTGTCATTTGCACTGCTATCGAACAAGGCGCGATCGAGTTCCTCCGCTTTCGAGGCGAGCCTCCTCCTCTTGGATATACTACCCCGTATTCTCTCCAGACTTACGACCCAGAATCATCCCAAAAGTCTAATGGGAAGCGGAAGATGGTAGAGGACGCACATCCGCACGCTGAATCTGAGAAGCCTACAAAGCGGCACAAGAAATCAAAGGCCGAAGGGCAGCCTGTCCCCTCTGCTCATCCAAAAAAATCTGGTAACAAGAAAGGTGGCAGTGTCCACACCCATAACGTTCCCGGGTCTGGCAGCATGAGCGTAGGTGAGACTTCCCGAACAGGGTACGTTTCACGCCCATATCAGCCTGGACTTGAGGATGAGAGTGGTTCTGGGACTGCGTATCCCGTGGCGCAGGGTAGATCGACGAATCCTGCTTCGTTCCTTCCGCCTATGCCCCAGCATTTCATGCCTCACTTGCATTATTCCGTGCGAGGTGTTCACCCTGTTCCGCCGCAGCCTTTTACTGGAGCTTCGAGCTCGCATCAGTACTCGCATACTGCGTTCGGACGTGGTGGGCTTGTGGGGACCGAGATGTCGCAGTCCGATTCATCTGAGCCGGAACCTGGCGAGGTTATTTGATGCTCTCGTTGCAATCGACCGAGTGGTGTTTCGGACGGTTGGTAGTGCTACGCATTTTAATGATCTCCTTGGTTGATACGGGAGACTGGTACCCCTTTAAATTCGTAGAACAGATATACTGTATAAATTTTATTTACATATATGTCCGCCGCTCAAATAACGTTGAATCAATCGACAGATATAAGACTCTGAAGAACAATCAGCGCATTACCTCTGTCGATTGGCTGCTGATACTCCATACCACCCGCGCCCTCCCGACTCTCCACTATGACTCGTTCGCGCAAGTTTATGTAATACGATCTCGTCGAAGACAGTTGTAGTTAGTGTTCTGGTGTTAGAGCAACGTTGAATCTGAGGTATCGACACAGACGAGTATTCGCTTTAAATACTAGATCTGGTCGATACCCCAAACTGCACGCCACCCTGCGTGCACCCGACTCTGTAAAGGTACTTGGAATCATTAGTTTTGATTCGAGGCTATCTCGTTGAAGACCTGTGCAATAATATGTCAGCATTCGAAATAAGGAGAGGGAACGAGAAATATTACTAAGTAACGCCGTGTCTGGACAGGATGCATGTATCCAGAAGAAACAGAAAACGACTCGCCGGATGGGAGATGAAAGATTCTGAATCGGAAAAACGGATCTTTGGAGCGCGTTATGATCTAAACCGTTCACGCACAATGATTTATATGAATCAGTCAGACTAAAACACTGGAGTTGATAATGGGAAGTGGGTGCGTGATTCAAGAATCGGAGAGCGACGGGTAAAAGTGGGAAGAGCAGGTAAAGTAGAAGAGCGAAGAAGAGAAAGAGCGAGTTGTGAATCTTCGAAGCGCAGATCTTTTAAGGGTGCGCACAGACCAAGAGTACCAGGTCTGCTGAGTCAGCGGTTTCATAATTCAATAGAAGTAAACAACTCCACCGAGAGACATGACGCACAAACATCCGTTCATCCGTTATCCGAGAATGCCGCCATATTTACATGATGGCGAATTCCTCAACTCCTTCAGTTTTCACCTTCTTCGTACAGAACCATATTGCACAACACCATTCATACCAATATGCATTCTACTACAAACTCATCGTCAAACTACATGATGAACCGCTGGGGATTCGACACCCATATGCACAGGTATGTTTTCGACATTTAGAACATGTATAGATGATTTGTTCATAGCTCCCGCAGTAATTTACATTGCGATTCAAAATATTTGAACTTGTTGCACCACCACCACCATCTTGAATCGGATCCCAAGCAGAACAACCACGGTGCAGAACACGCGGAGGATGAACACGGCAATGCGCCCTTCAACTTTTCTTGGCTGTCCCATCTGCCTGGTTTTGGGGTGACGGATCTCTTGGCGACTCACGTTCAGGAAGAGACTCATAGGCGTGTGAGTCATATTTCTACTCACACCCACGAAAGGAACGGATCACTAATTCCCAACGAAAAGGAGGAGGCGTCGTCTACAATATACGGTCACGTAAAGGCTCGTCTGGCAAAGACCATCGCTCTCTTGCACAGAGAAACCGCACCCCCCACAGGGCATCTCTGCTTGGTTTTTACCGATATTCGAAATTCCACGGAATTATGGGAGAAAAACCCGGCCATGCGGACCGCTATACATGTGCACAACGATCTGCTACTTCGTCATCTCATACATTGCGGTGGTTATCTCGTCAAGACGGAAGGCGACGCATTTATGTGCACCTTTCCAACCACTCTCGCCGCGGTCTGGTGGTGCCTGTCAGCCCAAATAGTGCTTCTTCATGCATCCTGGCCTTCCGAAATACTGGAGTGCGATGAAGGCAAAGAGGTATACGACGCACACGGAACACTCCTCGCACGTGGCCTTTCGGTCCGCATGGGCATTCACTCAGGATCCCCATTATGTGAAACGGATCCTATCACTGGTCGCATGGACTATCTAGGGCCTGTGGTCAATCGAGCAGCCCGTATCTGTGGGAGTGCGGCGGGCGGCCAGATTATGTGCAGCGCCAACGTGGTTCGCGAAATCCAGCCGTGCCTGTTCGAGGCTGGTCTGCACTCGGAGTTTCAGCCCGTGCAGGCTACCGAAGCAGTCCGGCAGATGGTCCTCGTCCCCGCTGGCGAACTTAAATTGAAGGGTTTGGAGATTCCGGAGTTGGCTTCTCTTGCCTATCCAGCAATCCTCCAAGGGCGCCAAGACTTGGTCCCAAAGTCACCAGCTGATCTTGACACTAATGGCACCGCCATAGAGTCTGCCAACGACGATACCTCATCCGATGACGTGTTTGTGGAGCTATGAGCATCGATCTATATTCTCTGCTTTGTGCGTCCGTAGTCTATACCTGTCCATTCCTATAGCACTTTGACAATTATGTTTGCCTGCTTCCGTCACGAACGTTCAAACGGTATCGTTAAACGCCTGTCACTTCTCTTGCCCAGTAAATGAATTGTAAACAGATGTGAGGACCAATTTATGATATGATACTAGGAAGGTTTTGAGACATGCGCCGCGTCAATGCCAGGTCACAACCATGGCAGGCGCGTCACGACCGCGTCATTTTCACCAACCATCCGAAGTCAAAACGTGATCGTATTTGAAAACTCATGTGTTGGCAGTACGGTACGGGTCGGCCATACTAAACTAGGGCATCTCAGTAGCAAGGTGCGTTCACACTAGAAGTTTCAGCCTATAAAACACCTGCTCGGTGCTATGACTTTGCCTCATTCCCTTTACCAAGAACTATTATGTTTACTTCCCGCTTCATCAGCTTTGCGCTGCTCAGCTACCTCGCTGGTGCCAACGCGGATTCATGTGCAAATTGCCCAGCTTCAGTGACTATCGACGGTGTCGGCACGGCAGCGAAGCTACTCACGTTTAGCCGAACGTTCGAAACCACATTTTGCTCGTGAGTCGGCATCTACACATCTATCTTCATCGAACAAAGTCACTAATAGGCCGGCAGTTACGATACTATGTATCGCGATGCACCCGCGATGTGTGCGTATAACAACGTAAGTGGTTTGTGGATATTGTGCAGCTCGTTGTTCTCGGTTGACATGCAGGCGATCATCAGTATCACGCCACTTATATATTTTCGTATCCGACTTGTCCGAAGTCAACAACTTTGTTTAACTGCTGAAGGTGATGTGAAGAAGTGGAGGAGACGGGACACCCAACAAGAGGAGCAATGTCTAGCCGGGTGTATGACAGTAGATCACCACCTGTTACGAGAATTTCCAAATGGTCCATCAGCAAAAGACTTAGTTTGCTCGCTTATCGGAAAGAACTTTGATGCTCACGGAGGCCCCCGGAAGTTCCCTGTGATGTTCGGCCGTCAGGACTCTCTAATATGGCTCTCAAATAGGCACGGTTGGGAGCGTCGGGAGAGGGAAAGAGATATTACTTAGTAACGCTGGGAGGGGGAAGATAGTTACGAGTTACGCCGTGTCTGGGCAACCTGGGGATGCAAAGAAACAGAAGAAACAGAAAACGACTCACCGGAGGGGAGATGAAAGAATCGGGATCGGAAAAACAAACCTTTGGAGCGCATTATGATCTGAACCTTTCATGCACAACGCGGCCTAATTGTGGATGAAGAGGCCAGACCAAAGCACACTGGAGTTGATGGGATGGGAGGTGAGTACTAGTGGGCGATCAAAAATCAGAGAGCCACAGAGAGCCACGTGTAAAAGTGGGAAGAGAAGGAGAAAAAGAAGAATTGCAAATTGCGAGTCTTCTAAGCGCATAAGCAATACGAGCTCTCGAAGTAAAACTCTGAAGACTGACTCGACTTCTTTGCCTGAAGCACAACAGTGGGGTGAACTTTGACGATAACACTCGTACCACAGGTCATCGAGCGCAGTAAAATATCGCGTGTAGACACGACCAGCAGACAAATGCCAGTGGTCAAACTAGAATTATTCTCGTATTATCTAGGTTGAAGGAAATGTATAACACTGCATCCAGTGTGTAGACAGGGTTAAAACTTGAGCGAGGCGTATTAGCGCTGACCCATGCATAGACAGTGGAACCATTGGGAGACGAGAGGGTCGTGTCTGCGCATTCATTTACGGCGAGGGCATGTTGACTTGATCAATCGACCAATGATAGAGATACCGACGGCAAGATGGTTCCACGCAAACCACACTGCGGCCGCTCGTCTCTCATCGATCGATCCTCCACAATGGCAACTTGGACAAAGGGACAAAGAAATATGATGCTAGAACGCGTTGATGAGCACGAATGCACCTGAGGGACCTACATGTTTGGGACAGACGAGTCACGACGCTACGGCTGCCGGTTTCAACATCATACTAGTTCGGTCGGAGTGTAAAAGTAGGGGAACTGTATGTTCCTGCCATATATCAATGATATCATCTCACCCAGCCCATTCCTATTTTCAGTGTGCAGCGATGAGACCGAGTGTTGTGGTACTCGAACACCTCGTTCATTCTACTCGTCAACAGTCCTTCGAGTTGACGGTCCATTTAGGAATGACGATTCGTGATCCTGGGACAATTCCAGCACAACTCACGCTTTGAAAATTGAAGTGCGGCATTACAATGTCACGAGCAAGTGGGATTGGTTCAAGACACGGTTTATTATTGAGCAGACTACAACACTCCTTCGCATTCTCTCTCACGGATCACGCTGCATTATTCTACGCATGAGCTTTTTGTGCGAAAGCAAACTCATCAGCACTCGCACTCGGGAAGCATCGAAGGAAAACCGTGCTCACACTTTGCTCTCACGTGCAGTACGCACCGGTGGTCGTGGCCTCGCAGCAAGTAGGGCAGCCGCAGCCCGCGACGTAAACGAACGTGTCTGACGGTCCACATTCGTAAATAAACGCATTTCCGCCGTTCAAACTCGCATCCTGCGAGCACCCATAACCGCCTGCAAGCAGCCGTAGTAAGTACGCGGTTTCGAACACGATATGCTACAAGAGTACTCACCTGGGGTGTCGCATGACTGGCCGATAGGGTTGTATGCGATGGCTACACCAGCCATCAAGGCAGCGGACATGATCATAGTGGTGATTGAGAATTTCATGTTTGGATGCAAGAGAGGGCTGAGACTTGATGATTTTTCTTTGTTGAGTCGAAAGCTAGCACTCGCCCCTCCCCTTTATACGCTCCAGATGCGCCAGGCAACTACATATTATGCCAGACGTGGGACAGGTTACTCTTGCACGGCTTTTCCATCAACCTGGTACTCCACCTGCAGATGGGGCTAGAGGATACTGCGCATCCCTCCACATGACAGATCCGAGGCGATAGGTGCGAAGAAAACGGGTGTCCATGCAAAGGCCTTGTCATGGTACATAAATAATGTGCATTTGTGAGTTGTAGTTGTTTCTGTCTTTAGATCGTGGCGCTGAGTGCCATCTGATGACCATCGAGAGGATTCGGAAGTGGCTGCTCCGAATAAAATATGAATAGGGGCGCGGCAATTTTTTCTGTTCGACTAAGCCTCAGCGACCGTCACATCAACATGTCTTTCCCCGTCAACTTGACATCTGCGATCAAGACAACAAGCTGTCGTGTGGTATAATTAGTCACGCACGCCCTAGCGTTGCAACTACCAGAAGCCTGTGCAAAATCGGGGAGACGGACGATTGAAAATGAGCACTGGAAATCCCTAACCGTCGAACGCGCAGACGTGGCACTCACTTGGTTGGTCCATCAGAGTGATCGAGTGATCGGATCATCAATATTGTCGTCCGCAGCGCGGAGGCGTACCTTCGACCCTATTCGACCCCGTTCTACGAAGTGGTTTGGCTATTGAGCGGTCATTTTTCTACCAAGTCAGACACATTATTCGAAGTTTGGCTTCATTTATCGAAACCCCTGATTCCGACGGTAACTCGCTCAATTTCATTTTACAGGCGATGCAATGCCGACTATGATTGTCCAATTCTTTCAACAGCAGGGCACATGCCAATGCACAGCCTGATGCGCAACCACTGTTGATTACAACCGCTCGCCGTTGCCGCCATGCATCGGAATTTCTCACCAAGGGGAAGGTGTATGGGGATGACTCTTGCTCCAATGCTTACTTGAAAGGGCCGAGCGGTGCCAGTAGGAACTTTGTTCACTAGTCTGAATGTCTAGTAGTTACTGCATTAAATGTCCCGGTCCGTGAGTCCGCATCCTTTCAATCTCGTACACATTGTACATGACTTCCATAAGACATACCTGTTTCTTTTCTCGCTCGTTGCGTGGTGCTACGAGCTCTCGAAGTAGCGATGAAGACTCGCTTCTTCAGTTTGCATGCTGCACAAGTGTGAAGTGAACTTTAATAAATAGCAGCAGCTAGCTTTCGTAATTCGTAATTCGCGGCAGCCAATGCGGTCGGGAACGGTACAACACCGCGCGAATACACAAGCAGCATACGCGGAGACAAATGCTAGGTCAAACTACAACTTCCTCTCGTGTTATCTAAGCCTGATGAGGACGTTATGACGTTCTTATATCTAGTACTAGATCGTACGAAGGTTGCTTCATTTACGACGAGGGCCCGTTTGCTCGATCGACCATGTGGAGGACAAGTGATCAGTGGCCAATCTCATTTCCACATGGAAACCTGGCCAGACAAAAGGACAAAGAAACCCAATGAAATATGCTGGAAATACGGATAGAACGTTAACGTGCACGGATACACATGGGTTCTGAAGCACCTACATGTGTGGCGGCGAGTCTGTTGATGAGGGTTCTGTCGGAGTGTCAAAATCAAGTGTCCACTACATCATTACCATTTGTTGCACCAGGTACGATGCTGCTTCAAGTATGTAGTACCAGCTCATCTGACTCAGCCGGTTCCTACTCTATGTGCAGGGGTCAGATCGAGTTCTGTGGCGAGCACGGCGGTAGTCATTCTGCTGCAACATTCATGACTACCGCCTAGTACATGGACGGAGGCAAGTTTTACATCAAGTACACCTTGAGTCTTGACTGTTCATTCAGGGATTCTTTTTTCCTGGATGCTGGGATAACACCAGTGGGTTTCACACTTGCACGCGGAATTCACAAAGCATCACTAGGTGGAATTGTCCAGAGGTTCATCATATAATTGACAAGGCTACAGCACTCCTTCAGACTCTTAAGTACACGTATCATGCTACATGATGAACTTTACTGGCGAAGAGGGAGACGTCAGCGCTCGGACTCGGGACGTATCAAAGAAGAATCGCGCTCACTCTGGCTCTCACGTGCAGTACGCACCGCTGGTCGTGGCCTCACAACAAGTGGGGCAGGAGCAGCCTGCAACGTATACGAACTCGTCCGTCGACGCACATTCGTAGATGAACGCATTCCCGCCGTTAACACTGGCGTCCTGGGAGCACCCATAACCACCTGCAAGCATTTGTAAGCACGCAATCAAAGGTCCGCACGTCCCAGAACGCGTAAGTCTGCAAGAATACTCACCGGGGGTGTCGCAGGACTGGCCAATAGGGTTGTACGCGACAGCGACGCCAGCCATCAAGGCAGCGGACATGATCATAGTGGTGATTGAGAATTTCATGTTTGTAATGCAAGAGAGGACTAAAGCTTGATGATTTTTCTTTGGTTGAGTGTTGAGTCGAAAGCTGGTACTCGCCCCTCGTATTTATACGCGCAAGCATATGCCAGGCAACGGCTTTCTCCTGCCTTTCATCCTCGACGCCAATTACAGCCTAATCCTGGTGGGGTATGCGTGGGACAGGTTACCGTGAGACGGCTTTCCCATCAAACGCCAAAATGATACTTACTACTAATCAGTGCATATGGTTGGTGACCGAACTGAAGTCACGCATTCAATCGTATGCACAGGTTCGCTTTGATTTTGCGCTACCGATCTGAGGCGACGAGTGCGAAGAGATCGGGTGCCGAATCAAAGGACGTGTCATGATACACCTAGATCATGACGCTGAAGGAGACTCCCAGCGATACACTTTTCACAATTTGTTTCGCATTTCCATCCTTGTACTACTAAGATTATTATCAAGCGTCCGGCTGCGCCATTCGATCGATCATAACGCAAGTGCCGCACATCGACCACCTGCTGGATTGATTGTCTTGATGCTAATGCCTTTGTGAGCTTCACAATTTGTTTTAAACGACCGTGCTTGTGGTACAGAACAATATGTATCAAGCATCCGGTCACACTCGTTGATTGGTCACAAGGCAGCCGCCATACCCATGGGGGGACCACTCGCTAGTCGGCGATGTATTTTTGTCCTGGAAGAGGACACAAAACATCTGGACACACCGATGTGCTCAGGTAGTTACCCCCAATAGATGATGAAGACCGCAATTATTACTCAGCTGTTCTCCTTCACTAATATGTTTTACTCCATGTCATTCGCAATGGGAACAACGATTCCACCCCACATGTCAGGTGATATAATAGACGACTGCCGTCTCGGCACTCTCGTCCTCCGCAGCCAGCAACAACCGGGGGACAGAGATAAATGAACCACGCGAAGTATATTGGAAATGCTTAACCGTTGAACACAGACGTGGCAGTCAGTTGCTTGATTCATCAAAATGATTGAGAGATCCGCGTAGCGAGTGAAGGAAGGCAGGGGTGTTGGCTAGAGCACTGCTTGTGAAGGACTAAACCTAGAGAGATGTCGGAGATCATGCGGGATGATTGGACAGACGGATAGCCCTTTTGTAGTTACGAAGAACATTTCATCGTACACACGCGCCACGAGCCGCATGTGCGTTATCCATTTTACAGTAAGTATGTACATACACCCAAGCAACGATAAACCGTGATATGCATCTACTCATGCCTTAACCAATCTCCCCACTCGATGCCAAAACAGATTCTCATCAGTCTCCCCTTCCTTCCCCAAATGCCTCCTTCGCCCGGCACCCATCCCCCTACATCCTCGATCCACCGATGAGACGGGCGGTCCATACGACATCCATCGAACATGGTGCTCCATAATGGTGTCCAAAAACGCTGCCACCACACGACATCCTTCCTATCACTAAGCACGTGTTCATAGAACAACATTTGTCCCCCAGGTTTTAGCACCTCGGTTATCAATGCAGCTATGGTGGATTGTGGTGAGGGGATGGAGCAGATAGTGAGTACAGAGATGAGTGTATCGATAGGTGGGTGTGGCGAGGGAAGTGATAAAAGGATGGTAGAGATGTCTTCAGCACCGCAGGTGAGGATGAGAAGTGTTCCAGCTTCTTCGCTGTACCCGGCAGCAAAGGCGGTGCTGCGCAGCCGGGCATGCATATGCACGTTAGGCTCTACAGCGATATATTTTGTAACACGAGAACGTTCGAGGTAGTTAACGGTGTGGCCATGACCTGTCTTTCACATGAAAACATAGCCATTTCGCTTGAGCGGAAGATACTCACCTGCACCAAGGTCGAGCACAAAGCCATAGGCGTGCGGGGTGATGAGTCCCTTTTTGACGTCCTTCCCACCCTCGTCGACCATATTACTATAGCTATCCCATACACAGGACATGAAAATGCGGGAGATTTCAATTGGTCGGAAGAGCAGAGATGGAGTATGCCAGATTGCCAGAACAGTGGGCCAGAAGCCGACCATAATGCAAAGACGCAGGTCTGTATGCAATGAGAAGGCTGCAGCGAGACGCATTTCTGATATTAACCGAAGTGCACGTCAACGCAGTTATGGGGAGGGAAGGAAGTGGGTGTACTTACTAGTATAATAGATATTTATACCACCCGACTAATCATAGCGCTCGGTTGAGAATCACAATCAGAGTCAGCCTGGAGGCTGTTTAGTATTATGATGAACAGTGGTGAGAAGATTGGCGGCCTAACAAAGTATAGTTCAGCGGATTTGCCGTGCCGTGCGGATTTGCCGGATGCGGCCCACCTCCATTGACGCGATCTTTCACGACTCTCCAGTCCCGTGTCTGCTAGTGGGGGCTCTTCCGTGATGGTATCGAGTCGAGGGCAGCTTGAAGACGTGGAGAATATAGAAATGTGTTGCTTCTAGTACTGGTATTACCGGAATTAATAACGTTCTTCCCTATCTTCACCAGATTTGGGAGTGACAATGCGCACGCGGTGGACTACCTCACTTGAGCGCGTGTGCTCTATCTTAGCTGAAGTGTTCGTGGTGTTCAGTGGTGAGCGATAGGAGATGGCAGGTACTTGTCAGACAGGTACTGTATTCAACGAACTTGTTTACGAGGTCATCGCTGCTCCACGCCCCAACCGAAGAGTTGCATCCACTAAAATTGAGATCAACTATGGGAACTATGGATAGTATACGTATACTAGTAGTACTTAGGTACCCATGCGCAGTGAGCGCTGTACTCGACTGGATGGTAGAGCTAGAAACCCGGATGGAGAGATAGAGTCTATGTCCCCGAACCATGAAAAATGCAAGTGAAGGGGTATATGCAAGAAACGACGATAAAACGACCAAGTACCCATCTGAAGGTGCACTACCTCCTCCCTTCAGGCGGGAATACGAACCCTACTCCCGTGATTGGGCTCCAACCATCTTCCCCGGCTCTTTCATCAGGCCTGATGAGACTTGCGATGCTGGCTGTATGCCTGTGCCCTCTCCCCTTGCCCTTCCCTTGAGCATTCGCAGGGTTCGGCGAGCGGTAGGCGATCGGCGTCTCCTCTTCATCGCTCACTGTCGAGTCGCTCGCAAACTCTTCCATACCCACTCCAAAGCCAGCCCTCCTCGATTCAAGGTCATACCGCTCATACTTGTCCCCCGTCCCATTTGCACTCCCATTGCGCAGCTCTTCAGGCACAAAGAAGTAGAAACACGCTGTCGCAAGACATGCTCCACCCACGACATCGATGAGGTAATGATGACTCAGATACATCGTGCTCCAGTACAGCACCGCTGCGTACCCCCAAGCCCATTTTGCGCATTCTGGCCATAATGCGCTGAGGAAGAGCGCCTCGAGAGTAACCCATGCGGCATGCAAACTAGGGAACGCGCCAAACACGAGTGGGGAGCTCGCAAACGTCCGTTTATAGCCTTCACCGCCAAATAGTTCGTCGATCCTTCCTAAGCCGCCTGCGGACCCTGGTGTTCCGTAGGCTGCAGGGGTAAGCCCATATATAATTTCATACCAGGGTGCTGCACAGGGGAGGACAATTTGGACGAATACGCCAATGCAGTTCTGGTATCCAAATGCCTTCGCGAAAACACATAGAGCAGGTGGGCGGAAGAGCCAAATGAGTGCAGAGAGGACAAGTGGGAAGGTATAATGGATCACTCCATAGGGAAGCCAAGCGATGATGTCAAGAATCGGGTGTGTGAAGCGCGTAAGGATGTCGCTGATGTTTGCGCCGTACAGTACGGACTCTAGCGTGGGCAAAAGGACGACGTGAACTGCGGGTCGATGGTCTGCGGATAAAAACTGATTGGAATAGAACATGAGCACCCATGAAAATACGGGAGTTGCGGGAACGAAGAATTGGGACGTGAATGGAATGAGCAAGGCGATTGCATACAGAACAGGTATCACAAGTTTGTACGGAAATGGTGGGACTTCCATGAGGGTAAGCCAAAACAAGGCTGAGAGTATATGCAGGATGTATATCGAATCTTTGAGGGTGAATTTATGCGCACGAAGTTTGGAGAGTGTGTCCGCGGGAGATAAGGATTTGTCGAGTCTGTTGACTGCAGCAATAAGTGCATTGACTGTGGCACGCAAGGGGCCTGCAAGCTGAATTCCAGGCGGCATCGTTAGAGTCAATATAGTCGCGTGAGATGGAATGGCCTGATGATTGCAAGTGAAGAGGCCACCGCGTGAGCCAACAGAGAATCAGTCCAACACGGTGAACAAATGGTGAAAGGAAGAAAGTCGCGTTCTGGCGTGGGAACATTCAAATTGGATCAATCAATTATTAAAATGTACTAACTTGAAGTAGTACTGCTTAGTGCTTGCTATCTAACCAGCTTGCGTCGAGATACCCCCAATCTGCAGAGCTCAGCCCGGCAAGGAAAACGGTCTGAAGGCCAGTAAAGCATGATCGAGTGCGCTGGGACGTTAAACTCATTATTAGTCCCCACTAGATAGACAATATACGAAGACATCCGCCCCCAGGGCCGCAGACCCAGATACTCGTCCCTTCTTGATTACGGCGAAATCACCACTATCGAAGCTCTTTTACCGAGGCACTTTCTTCACCGATGAAGATGAAAGACTTTCGAAAAAAGAGTGTATCCGAGGATGGGTGTCGAAGGAATCGGGTGAGTCCTGGGGGGTCCGTAGCCAACGAACAGTATGACATTGGTGTTTGAAGTGACCCCAATGCAACAAACACGAGCACAGGATTCGAACTTGGGGTCACCACCATGGAAAGAGGAAGCGATGAAGGACCCTCGGACGAAGGAGAATCTACACTAATATCAGCTGGAAAACGATGACATCCCCCTGCATGCACCATCTCCTGATGACGCCCGTCAGCAACCACCACTCTGCAAAGTGCAGTGCAGTCATTTATTTATTTTTGGGGGGTGTCGGTCACCGACTCGGAGCAACACATCCCCAACAGCAGAATGTTGAGCCTGCCCCCTGAGTAAGTACGTACAGATAATCAATATTGATGCTTACAATCACAGGTTTGACGATCGACGAGTCATTCTCAGTCCCTCCGAGTATTTCCCAAATCAAATACAGTTCCCCGCTGACTCGAAGTCGTCGAATCATAGCTGTGTTGCGAGTACAGGTCTGTTTGAGAGTACTCTGTCTGCATTTCTTTGCACGTACTGACACCCCAACAGAGTGCCGATCCTGCCGATCCTGCCAAGCAACTCGCTGGTTGTAGACACGTCGGATACGGGTGCGATATGGATTCGCAACCATTCTGCCCTACGCGCGTGGCACTGTGTAGTACTATGTAGTACACACAGTGTACGACGGAAAGGTCTGTTCCACCAATTGCGTTGCTCCACCGCCAGCGCCGTAAGCATCAAACTTCTTTCTGACAGTGACAAGCGAGAAAACTGGGTCTTTTGCTGATCATCGGACTATGTGGCAATCCTCGTAACAGATGGTGATCTACTACTGGCATACACCCAGCTGAACATTGCTCCTCCTGTTGGATGTCTCGTCTCTCCCCAATTTCTTCACGTTCAGCAGTTCTTCACACCTACTCTACCCACACAAGTTGTATAACCACCTACGAATGCGCCGTTATACTGATGATCGCTAGCATGTTAACCAAGAACAACGAGCTGCACAATATCCAGAAAGCACTTACGCTGTCATATTGACAGACCACTGATGAGCCGTCGGCATTTTTAGCATTGTAACTGCCGGCCTATCAGTTATATTGTTCGATGAATATATGTGTAGATGCGACGCACGTGCATAATGTGTCTTCGAAGTTTGGGGCGTCCTTGGTTAGCTTCACGGTCCTGCCGGTAGATAGCTTGAGTGTGGCTGGGCACAGTGCACACGAATTCACCGCATTGGCACCAGTGAGGAAGCTGAACAGCGCAAACATGATGAAGTGGGAAGTAAGCATGATGGCGCTTGTTAAAGGGAGTGAGGCAAAACATAGTAGTAGCAGGCAAGTGTTTTATAGGCTGAAAATTCCAGCGTGAATTTATAAGGCGTTGTTCACCTTCAAGTTGCTGCTGAGATGCCATACTTTAGCCTAAATACGGCCGTAAAATTACCCCTACCGTACTGCCAACACATAGTATTCAACCGTGGTATACGGTGACGTTTGGATTTCGTATGGTTGGTGAAAATGCCGCGGAGTCGTGACGCGGCATTACTATCTTTGGCCCGGAGTTGCAAATCACGATGCAGCACGCTCATATTTCACTCATTTCCTTCACACAATAATTCTGGAGGATGGGTAATCCATAGCTTACTGTGTGTGTTTTTTATTCCACGAAAAATGCACTAGAAGTGCTTGCGGCAGTGAAACACTGCTCAGAACATGCACTTTCCACGCCAATCCATCAGAGGGAAGCCATCACATGCACTAAAAAAATCAGGAATCTTACCAGTGATTTCCCATTGCCTTCTAATACCACACTAATTTTTTCCGACATGATAACTGAGTGGTGTTGAGAGACACAAATGTTGTACTATCGAGATGCAGGACATAAGATTGTGTTCGGAGTTATAAATCGCTGCTCGGCAACTTGGCCACAACATTCACTCGTCAGTTACCCCAGATTCGTTCAACTAGTTTCATTTTGTCTCCTAGGCTAGAGACAAACCAGTGTCATGCCTTTTCGAAATTCATATCTCCTATGGCTTTTGTGAGTGCTTCGAGAAGGTAGGACTGAATGACTGTCACCGATCTTGACTGTCGTCTAGGTACTAATCGAATATATATTCTATTTTTTCTATCCTAGAGGAATGTTGCAAGACGGAAATACTCTACATACAGGTAAAGACTACTGGATCTCTTGACCGTCTCCAACTTGAGGGTAAGAAAGTCCATGAACGTAGGTTCAACATCCACGAGGGAAAGCTGCATGAAGCGCGCATCATACAAACGTACGTTAACATGATTGTTGCACATACGAATAAACAGTTGAGCAGATCGAATCCGCCGCAAAGGCACAATAGTAGCAGGGATGTAGACTGGGACTGAATAACTGTTCAGCCCACCTTTTAAACGACTTTCAGTAGTGCGCGCATCAATGCAGCGTTACCGCCGCATCGAAATAGTCACACCCGTATGGTTGCATACCGTATACGGTCCTAGCGAACACACCCTCAACTTGATCAATGACCTCATATCTCCCGCACGCACTCCTTTGTCCCATCCTAACTCACTCCTAGAAGCTCCACCACTTCCACGCAGGTCCACTACGGTCCTACATGCAACTACCTCACTCCACTCACGCCCTGTTAACAATTCTTGCTTACCTTCTATTGGTTTTTCACACCCTATTTCTTTCCGCAGCGCGCACCAACACAGTTCAAGTTGTTACCTGACCCTTCTTTACTCCATTTTTTCCAGTCATCCTCCCGCGTTGTTCCAGCACTTCCACATCCTCCTACGTCCCTACTGCTTAGTCCGTCCTTTCAATTTCCCAGCGCTCCTTCACACTTCACATTATTTGATATTTACAGAGTCTACAATTTCCTTCGAACCTACCTCCTTCAAGCGCTCAGCAGAAGTTTCTTCTTCTTGATCTATGTCTTTTCTCACATGGTTTTGTAGGCGGTCCTGGTTGCGTCGGCTCGCTCGGATATCTCCTGCATTATGATCCGCTCCCACTGTCGGGCACGCACATACACCAATCTAATTTTGTTTGTCTGATTCCTCCGCAATATTTAGGTGAACCATCCGAGCGCCGCCTGCGAGTAAGCCAGTGCCAATGTAAATCTCCAAAGTATCAACACTAATGTTTCATCTTAGCAGGTCGGCAACTGTGCATGAAATGTTCAAACCATCACGCTCTCCAAAGGTCTTTTTGTCCAATCCCGATTCTTTCATCTCCCCTCCAGCGAGTCGTTTTCTGTTTCTTCTGTTTCTTTGCATCCCCAGGTTGCCCAGATACGGCATGACTCGTAATTATCTTTCCCCTCGGCATTACTAAGTAACATCTCTTTCCCTCTCCCGACGCTCCCAACCGTGTCTATTTGAGAGCCATTTTAGAGAGTCCTGACGGCCGAACATCACAGGGAGCTTCCGGGGGCCTCCGTAAGCACCAAAGTTCTTTCCGATAAGCGAGAAAACTAAGTCTTTTGCTGATGGACTATTTGGCAATTCTCGTAACAGGTGGTGATCTACTGCCATACACCCGGCTGGACATTGCTCCTCCTGTTGGGTGTCCCGTCTCCCCCACTTCTTCACATCACCTTCAGCAGTTAAACAAAGTTGTTGAACTCGGACAAGTCGGATACCCATATACATTACTGGCGTCATACTGATGATCGCCAGCATGTCAACCGAGAACAACGAGCTGCACAATATCCACAAACCACTTACGTTGTTATACCCACACAACGCTGGTGATTTGTGCCAGATAGTATCGTAACTGCCGGCCTATCAATGACTTTGTTCGATGAAGATAGATGTGTAGGTGCCGACTCACGTGCAAGCTGTGGTTTCGAACGTTCGGCTCAGGCTGAGTAGCTTCGCTGCCGTGCCGATACCGTCGATAGTCACTGAAGCTGGGCAATTTGCACATGAATTCGCGTTGGCACCAGCGAGGAAGCTGAGCAGCGCAAAGCTGATGAAGCGGGAAGTAAACATGATGGTTCTTGGTAAAGGGAATGAGGCAAAGTCATATCAGCGAGCAGGTGTTTTATAAGCTGAAACTTCCAGTGTGAACGTATCTTGCTACTGAGATGCCCTACTTTAGTGTGGCGGATCCGTACCGTACTGCCAACACATGGGTTTTCAAATACGATCACGTTTGGACTTCGGATGGTTGGTGAAAATGACGCGGTCGTGACGCGCCTGCTACGATTGTGACCTGGCATTGACGCGGTGCATGTCTCAAAACCTTCCTAGTATCATATCATAACTTGATCCTCACATCTGTTTACAATTCATTTACTGGGCAAGAGAAGTGACAGGCATTTAACGATACCGTTTGAACGTTCGTGGCGGAAGCAGGCAAACATGATTGTCAAAGCGCTATGGATATGGACAGGTATAGACTACGGACGCACAAAGCAGAGAAGATAGATCGACGCTCATAGCTCCACAAATACGTCATCGGATGAGGTATCGTCGTTCGTTGGCAGACTCTATGTAGATCAGCTGGTGACTTTGGGACCAACTCTTGGCGCCCTTGGAGGATTGCTGGATAGGCAAGAGAAGCCAACTCCGGAATCTCCAAACCCTTCAATTTAAGTTTGCCAGCGGGAACGAGGACCATCTGCTGGACTGCTTCGGTGGCCTGCGCGGGCTGAAACTCCGAGTGCAAATCAGCCTCGAACAGGCACGGCTGGATTTCGCGAACCATGTTGGCGCTGCACATAATCTGGCCGCCTGCCGCATGACCACAGATACGGGCCGCTCAATTGACCATAGGCCCTAGATAGTCCATGCGACCAGTGATAGGATCCGTTTCACACAATGGGGATCCTGAGTGGATGCCCATGCGGACCGAAAGGCCACGTGCAAGGAGCGTTCCGTGCGCGTCGTATACCTCTTTGCCTTCATCGCACTCCAGTATTTCGGAAGGTCAGGACGCATGAAGGAGTACTATTTGAGCTGACAGGCACCACCAGACCGCGGCGAGAGTGGTTGGAAAGGTGCACATAAATGCGTCGCCTTCCGTCTTGACGAGATAACCACCGCAATGTATGAGATGGCGAAGTAGCAGATCGTTGTGCACATGTATAGCGATCCGCATGCCCGTGTTTTTCTCCCATAATTCCGTGGAATTTCGAATGTCTGTAAAAACCAAGCAGAGATGCCCTGTGGGGGGTGCGGTTTCTCTGTGCAAGAGAGCGATGGTTTTTGCCAGACGAGCCTTTACTTGACCGTATATTGTAGACGACGCCTCCTCCTTTTCGTTGGGAATTAGTGATCCGTTCCTTTCGTGGGTGTGAGTAGAAATATGACTCACACGCCGCTGAGAATCTTCCTGAACGTGAGTCGCCAAGAGATCCGTCACCTCCAAACCGGGCAGATGGGACAGTCAAGAAAAGTTGAACGGTGCATTGCCGTGTTCATCCTCCGCGTGTTCTCCACCACGGTTGTTCTGCTTGAGATCCGATTCAGGATGGTGGTGGTGGTGTAACAAGTTCAAATATTTTGATGTAAATTACTGCGGGAGCTATGAGAAAATAACCCGTACATGTTATAAATGTCCAAACACACCTATGCATATGAATGAGTGTCGAAACCCCAGCGGTTCATCATGTAGTTTGACCACGAGTTTGTAGTAGAATGCATATTGGTATGAATGGTGTTGTGCAATATGGTGCTGTGCGAGGGAGGTGAAAACGGAGGGAGTCGAGGATTCGTCATTATGTAGGCATGGCGGCATTCTCGGATTACACATGAACGGATATACGGATGTTTGAGAACCTTACCAGGAGTTGTTTACCTCTGTTGAATTGTGAAGCCGCTGACTCAGCAGACCTGGAACAACGGGTCTGTGCGCAGTTTAAAGATCTGCGCTTTGGAGATTCACAAAGTGGTCCTGTGACACTCATATAATCGCTGCATACTCACCATGGATTAACAGTTTAGTCGAAGGAACCAACAAGATTCTGTTACACGTACTCAAAAGACTATGTGCCCCTAATCTTGGAGCAGACGACTACGAAATGCTTGCATAGGACAATCTCCCACTCAACTGGCCGGACCATCTTGATGATGCCACCACTGCCATTAACCACCGAGTTCTTCCCGCTCTCAAGTTTTCGCCGACGGAGCTATTTCTGGGGCAAATTGTCAATACTCCACGCTCGGATCTTAGCAACAGCGCCTCGGCAATTCAAACGTCAGACATCAACACTCACATAGCGAGAAAGACGGCAGTTCTGGGGGTGACCTCTCACCTTCATGCTGGCATTCGAACGGTTAGTCGACTGGTGAAATACCCAAGCAAGGGTGAGATACCGTTGAATACATGATCTGCATGAATAACTGCTCATCTGGTTCCTCCTCGAGGTACTAAGCGTCGTGTATTGGCAATTGTTGTAGCCCTGAGCATCAGCCACCGCCCCTAAACCCGAGGATATCAACCACTGCGGCCACCGCACACCCTATGATGATGCCAGCCCTGCTGGTGAGTACTCTTGTAGAATAATATGTCCGGACTTCAGAACGCGTACTTACGGGTGCTCGCAGAATGCGAGTGTGAAAGTTTGAATGGCGGAAACATATTCATCTACGAATCTGCATCGACAGACAAATTCGTATACGTCTGCCCTACTTGCTGTGAGGCCACGACCAGCGGTCCGTACTGCAAGAGCAAAGGGTGAGCGCGGTTTTCCTTCGATGCTTCCCGAGTGATGAATATGCTTTCGCACAAAAAGCTCATGCGTGGAATTAATGTAGCGAGAGAATTTGAAGGAGTGTTGTAGCCTGGTCAATAAAAATACCGCGCTTCCAAACGTAAGTTCTGGAATTGTCCCAGCATCCCGAATCGTCATTCCTGAATGGACAGTCAATGACACAGCACTGGATGGAACTTACGCCTACTAGGCGGTGTTGACGAGTTTCATATATAGCAGAATGAATGACCCAGTTCGCTACATGATACTCGGTCTCACCGCTGCACACTAGTACTGAAATGAGGAATTGGCCGTGAAATGATATGGCGGGAACATATATACGTGGCCTGCAGCCTGCACGATAGACGAACTTCTGCGTCGCACCAAGCGCTAGTGCTTTTGACACTCCGACAAAACTCCGCAACACTACTGGTCAAATGCCCATCAATGTGTTCTAGCATCATATTTCTTTGTCCCTTTGTCCAAGTTGCTATTGTGGACGACGAGTGTCGAATGCTGTGCCATTCGTCTCTCATCGATGCATTATCCGCATAGTCTGTGGATCAAGTAAACAGGCCCGCCGTAGTACATGAATACGAAGACATCAACCATCTTGTCTTTGCCTCTATTTTCTGCATGGGTCAGCGTTACAACTTAACACACCTCGCCCCAAGTCTTTCCAGTTTTTCAACCCTCGTGCGATCTATGCTAAGGAAACTTTCGCCATGTGTTTTCTTAACCTAGATAATACGAGAGGAAATTCTAGTTTGACCTCTGGCATTTGTCTCCGCGTATGCTGTCGTCTTCGCGCAAAGTTTTACTCCTCTCGATGACCTGTGTATTGCGAGTGCTATCGTAGAATTTCAATCCGGGAAAAGTTTAGTTCGAGAGCTTGTAATATTGTGAGCAAGGCCAAGGACCTGAGGTACGTATGTCATATTGAAGTCATGTACGATATATGCGAGAGAATTATGATAAAGGGTACAAAACCTACCTCCTAGCCCGATAGTGCTAGACACTCAGACTAGTGAAAATATTTCTGTCGGCTCTGTTCTTCTCTCGAGTGAGCACTACGATACTTACATAGTTTGCGGTTCAAAGTTTAGAGATGACGAGTGTCCGTTGCAAGCCGTCAACGGTCTTCAACCGACCATGAGACTGCAGTAGCAAAAACTCCCTTCACGCCTTCAGGCCAAAGTACCCGCACACCCTCACCTTTGCCGCTTCCGCCTGACCGAAAGAAAAAAATGGGAGGCTTCAATCATGAAGGAACCCTGTAATAAGGTAAGATACAAGGAGTACGTAATTGAACCCGACTTTCCGTTCAAAGGACTGGATCCGCCTGAATCAATTCGAGAGAGGATCCCTCGATCTTCCACACCCGTCTGTGCTCTCCGAGTCCTTGTGCCTCCCATCAATATACTCTCCCACCCCAGAAAAAAGCGCCACTTCACAACGCGCAGCATGAATGCTGATATAACGCGGATCAGGGAGGGGCAGACCAGGATCAGGAGATGTAAAAATCACGATATCGCGAGCATCAACTGGGAAGAATCCTTTGTGCATGGTAAAAACCCGATGTGTTTGGAGTGGCCTGGTAATATCATACATGTAAAAAGTATCTATCGGTCGTCTATTACTGCTGTATTTGAATCATGGAACGTACTGTTGCTTCCAGCTAGATATGAAGGGTTTCAAAGAATATTCTCTGGTCTAACTTCATAGTCAGTAGATTTTGGAGGCGGTGGATGTTAGGACCGTCGAGTTCTTCAGTAAGATTGAATCCTGCGAAACGCTCTAGTACAGATGCGGCGAATTAAGTCTGGATGGTTGATAAATCATAAGTAAGATTGATCGAATGCATGTTTACAAAAAAGACGTGATTCTCTGATCCCCTTGAAGCTCTTCATCTGCAGAGGACCGAATAATGTGAACCGCTTGAGTAGCACATATGACAAATTCCATCCTTCTGTCGAAGTACTCGCAGACGCTCTCTAACTCGTAGTGACCAGTGAGGACGCATCGATGACCATCACGAATGAGAGCCTAATTGAGATGAGATACAGACGATGACAAGACGAGGCGCACTCGCTTGAGCGTTTGCCGAGCGTTGATTGATAGGGCTCTTTTGCAAAAGAGCATGTTTCAACGCGTCCTTGAGGCTCTTGAATGACGGTGTCAAATCTTCACCTTCGGAGCCCCAAATGTTATCGGAATCAGAGTCATCGGACTCTTTGGGGACTGCAAGTTCGAAATGTGGATCTTGAAGTAAAAACGCCCAAGACGAGAAAGCGCATGATCATCCGCACAGTTAATAATGTCGTTGGCGATATTGTCTCGACTAGCGTCACTCGGGGCATAGATTAACATGTAACCCAGGAGTCCCAGGACCCACACTGCCCACCATGGGCGTGCATAAATGCATTTTTCCTCGGACGATACCCAGGTATCGATATAAGCGTTTATGTAAGGCTAGACGGTGTCAGTTGTTGCATAATAGACTCGCTTTTCCAAAAAAAAAAAAAAAAAACATGTAACCTAGTGGTCGAGCGCACGTGACCGTTGGTTCAAGCGTCTGAGCCTGTCTCCAAGCCGAGGCAAGAAGCGCCACCCCAAAATGGACTGCCCCTACACCTGTATCAGTCACCGCCCCTAAACCCGAGGACTCTCGTTATGGCTACCGCGTAGGACCCTATCTACCAGACGTGTTTGTCCGATGCGATGGGCGCAGTCGAATGCTTGGTACTGTCACAGACTCACAGAAGACAATTCTGAATTCACAATCACTAGTACTGAGTTTGGGATGGACCTCGAGCGCAGAGTTCCACACATCACAACGATTAGGGACGCGTCGGTACCATGAGATGGGGAAGACGTACTAGTACTTCGCACCTTGAATAAAATGAGGATACAAACGTACTCTTTGGTGTTTCGGATCTTCTTTAGTGATACCTCACGGTTGTCCTTGGTGATGCTTCCACCGTCTACATTGCACTGGGAGTATTCTTGCAGCATAACGTGTTTGAACAGACCGCGTGCTTATGATTGCATGCAGGTGGTTACGGGTGTTCATAAGAATGTGAACGAGGGGAATGCGTTGCATCTGTGAATATGTACAAACAGCAAGTTCGTTTACGTCGCAGGCTGTGCCTGCCCCATTTCTTGTCCAGCAATTCGTAGTGCACGTGAGAGCAAAAGGTGAGCGCTTGAGCTTACCGAGTCTAAGTGTTGATGTATTTGTTTCAGCCACAAAGATCATTAAGTAGCCGAATACGTGAGAGTCTGAAGGAGTGCTGTACCCTGGCGTCAATGATAGACGTATCTTGAACCAATTCCACCTCCAGTGACGCTGTATAATGCTGCACTGAGTTCACCGGCCGAGTCCCCGTATCCCAAAAAAGAACGTTCCTGGACACTGCACCGGATAAAACGTACACTCGGCGAGTGCTTATGAGCGGGGCGCTGACGAATTTGCTTCCGCAAAAACGGCTCATGCGTGGAATAATGTGGCGTGATACGTGAGAGCGTGTCTGAAGGAGTGCTGTAGACTAGTCAATAATATATTGTGCCTCGAACCAATCCCACTTACTAGTGACCCTGTGTAATGCGGCGTGAGTTCCACTGGAATTGTTCCGGCATGGTCAGTCAAGGATGCGGTAGTGGATGGTTTGGCGGTGTTGACGAGTATTACAATAGATGCGTTTAATTGGAACACTCGGCCTCACCATTGCACATTGAAACCGAAGGTGAAAGTGCAAACGTCCAAGTCATATACTCTGATCTGAAACAACGTACCATGCTAGGGTGACGCTATCGGTAAGCGATACAAAGGACGGGGTCGCGAGATAGAAGACTAGAATCTAGAAGCGCGAAATTGAATGACGAGCAATTGGAGTGCGATGACTCCGATGAGCGAACGATAAACACGTGTAAGATTGAAGATTGTCACTAGGGAAGATAAGTCGATCCCTGATTTTATTTCGTAAGTAAATGATGACTGCGCACTCGCCCGCCGGATCTCATTGGTGCACAGGAGGTACTTTGACTTGATGTAGCTGTCTGTGGTCGATCTGAGCCTGCAGTAAGTCCAAGCACCCCATTTCCGTCTCCTCGAGGTCACTTATCGTGTTGAACCATAATTGGAAGATTAAGTGTACAGCCACTGTCACCGGGATTCACCGATGCTTACGTAGACCAAGTTGTTATAAACCAGGGTATTAGAAGGGAAAGTGAAACCAAAGTCTTGCAATGCGCGGACTAACAACAGTAACATTCGCCCTCCTCGGCCTCGCTGCTGCGATCCCAGAACCGCAGCGTCGCAAGTCTCTTTCTTTTGGTCCAGTACTGCCTCATGCTAGGTTTGACAGTAGCGCTCACCAACCAGTACCCGATACCCTCTTCTCTACTCAAACAAGAGTCAGAGTAGACCCTTATGAAGTGGCAAAGTCATTCCTTGACTCGATCGTAGACTTCGACAACGGCGTCACCTACATTATCCGCGGCGACAGCTACACGGATCATGCTACCGGTGTAACCCACGTGTATGCACGCCAGCTCATCCAGGGCGTCCAAGTGGCAGACGGTAACGTTAATTTGAACATCAAGGACGGCGTAATCTTGAGTTATGGTGACTCGGTCCGTTTTTTCCAATTACGCCCTCTGTTGCATCAGCGCTTACCTTCCTTCTAGTTTTACCCCGGCCCGGTACCGGAATCACATACCCGTGGCGCACACCCCCACGCAGAGTATTGTGCTCAACTCATCTCCCCCCGATCAGGACAGCTCCCCCTCGACGGACCAGAGCTAGACCACATTCACTCGTCCAACTGCGCATCCCTCCCCAAACTTCACTCAATCTCCACTCCTTCCTACGATGACCACGTCCCAAGTCCACAAGACGCACCTCGTGCTCTCCTTACTTTCCTCCTCGCAGCCACCCCCTCCCCCGCTCTCGCAGACGATATCCACTCTCGTTTCGATGACCATTTGGCTACCATGACCATGGCTCGCATGTCCAGCCTCCTCCCTCATGAGGATGACCAACTCACCATCACTGGTGCACCCGGAACTCTTGGCGAGGTCAAGACCTCCGTCGTCTGGGTCCAGGTTCCGTCTGAAGACGGATCCGTGCATCTCGAGCTCGTACACCGCGTTAGTACTTATTCTCCATATCTTGATCAATACTGACCTCCCTACAGTTCGAAGTCGAGATGGAGAACAACTGGTACGAAGCCACTGTCTCTGCATCTGTCCCCCACCGCATCGTGTCCGTCGTCGACTGGGCAAGTGACAGCCCAATGCCCCTCTACCCCAAGGACGGTCAACTCCCTCCCCTCTCCTCCTTCATTCCTGTCGGTTCCAACGCCCCCTCCTGCTCCACTAAGAAAGTTGGTGGTCGCTTCAGAAAGGGCAAGGCCATAGCCGATCTCCGCAAGAGCAAGGCTGCCAAGGAAGCTCCCCGCCAGTTGTACAACGGCCCCTCCGTTCCTGACCTCCCAACAGCATGGTACAATATCTTCCCGTGGGGAACCAACGACCCTGTTGAAGCTGTAGAAAAGAAGGCATTGGAAGAGGCAGGTGGTAAGCGCTGCGTTCGCCTCATGTTCTTAACCTCAACTCACCTCATTTCTAGCTGCCCCCGATTCCCCTCCCCTCACCTACGGTCGCGTAGACTCCCCTGAGCTGGGTGACAAGCTCGCCAGTCCGGCTGGGTGGCACGCCCTGCCGTGGGGTGTAGACCCTAGTGTTGGCGAGGGGGAGAAGGCCGCACTTCGTGCGCAAGGTTTGTCACCCTCTCCTTTCTCTTTTATATTGTAGGCCTGACACGGGACTAGGCGAGTTCTGGCGCTCAACAAACACCACGTGGGGCAACAACGTCTTTGCCCATGAGAACTGGGAAGGGCGTAACGCCTGGATCTATAACAGACGTCCTGAGGGGACGTCCGTGGGTGGTAAGTCATTGCGCCCTTGCTTTGGTCTTCGTTTTTGACGCCACGGCTATTAGAGGACATCAACCAGGCTCCATCCGTTCATTTCAACTACACCTACAGTCCAACCGCGAAGGACAACTCGGAGGAGAACATGGCTGACGCACAGGCTCACATCGATGCAACTGTGACGCAGCTGTTCTACACGAGCAACATGTTCCACGACTTGTTCTACCGGTGCGTTTTGCTCCCATACTCAGTTTTTCCTCATGTGACGGGTTGCAACAGGTACGGCTTCACCGAAGAGGCTGGAAACTTCCAGCAGTACAACTTTGGACGCGGAGGCGAGGAAGGAGACGCTGTGATTACCAACGCACAGGACGGCTCTGGATTTAACAATGCCAACTTCATGACACCTCCTGATGGTCAGAATGGGTAAGTTGTTTTCCTGTTGCGGACTCCGATCAAATACTTACACTTGGAACCCAGCCGATGCCGTATGTACCTCTGGAACACTGCGAACCCATATCGCGATGGTGACATGGAAGCCGGCATCGTTATCCACGAGCTCGCTCACGGTCTCAGCACGCGTCTGACAGGTGGCCCCAAGAACAGCGGCTGTCTCGGCTGGGGTGAGAGCGGTGGTATGGGCGAAGGCTGGGGTGACTTCCTCGCCACGACCATCCGCAGCACCGCCACGTACCAAGACTACGCCATGGGTTCCTGGGCAGCAAACCGCCCCGCAGGTATCCGGAACTACCCCTACAGCCTCGACACCAACGTCAACCCAAGCACCTACAAGACCCTCGACAAGCCTGGATACTGGGGCGTACACGCCATCGGAGAAGTATGGGCTCAGATCCTCTGGGTTGTTGAACAAGAGCTCATCGCCAAGCACGGGTTCGGAGAAACGCTGTTCCCTCCCGCAGTAGACGCCTCTCCCGCCGTACACAACGCATTCTACCGCTCTGACAAACCCTTGGTGCCCAAGCACGGAAACTCCTTGATCGTGCAGCTCGTGTTGAACGGGATGAAGCTGCAACCATGCAGTCCTTCCTTCTTCGACGCGCGCGATGCGATCGTGCAAGCTGATCAGGTGCTTACGGGTGGTGAGAACTTCTGTGAGATTTGGGGAGGCTTTGCAAAGAGGGGGTTGGGTGTGGATGCTGCTGTTAGGGGGAGGACGCCTTGGGGTGGAGGTGTTAGGGATGACGTGAGTTTGGTTCTTTGCGCACCTCGTTGAGATCTGTGCTGACTCTGTCTTTTGCAGGGTTACAAAGTCCCAGATGCATGCAGCAGCAGCCAACCCTCACCAGCGCCAGAACCGACCCCCGAGGACCCCGAGGACGACTGCGGTGTCTTTGGATGCTGGTGGCACTGAGACTCTTGTCAGCGTCGTGATAATATGATACCATCGAATATCTTACAGTTCCGCAACTTCATCGTGATATCCTGGATCCACTTGAAGATGAGCTCACCTAGATGATCATGGTTATATCCAGACTCTTTGGATAGAATATATCCGTTATCCTAATCATGCGTTATTTTTGATCTTCTCGGTATTTGGTATTTGCATTTTGCATTTTTTTTGTATGTGTATATGATAGTACCACGTAACTTGTATATTTTTGAGATGCATCTTGATTCTGGATTTTGATCCTTGGCCCATCTATGTCTGGACTCATCTTGAGAGACACTTCAGAGCGATACTTTTGGGATAGTTCAGGGACACTGTCCCCTAAGTACCTTTCCACGAATGAGAGCGCACGCTTATGGCTGAAGAAAGCTTCAAATATGAAGGTAAACTAGGCCGTCTCTCAGATAGGCTGGGTGATATCTTTGATGGTTTTTTATTGGTCGATGTCCCGACGGAACTTGGAAGCTTGATCTCTGGATAGATATAATTAACTCAGGAACTTTTTTTGATCTGTTTCACACGAATCACATCGTGGGTTTTTTTTCGTCCGAGTCGAGCGTGCGGTCGTAATGACCATGACATATATCGACAACTTTTGCTTAGCTATAACGTTTAGGTGGTTGCTTGCCAAACGATGTTATAGTCAAGCAAAAGTGACGCTGCTGCCTGCAACACGAACGATTCAGATTATCTCGAGTAGACCACGGGGTCTCCGCAGCAGTAACCATTATGATATGCCAACGACTATCTTCATTCATCTAGGGAAGAACAACGAGGTTTCCGCAGCAGCACTTAATTGACTGTAGTATCCCGAATTCACTAAATGGAAGACTGACCAATAATATTATCTATTCTCAGGAGATCCAAAAGACACTGCGGAGCTAGAACGACTATGTGCGTTATAGGAACGTGACCCCGCGGGGACGGAGTACTGTCGGTTTCACAGTTACTCACCACAGCTTACCACTCATTCGGCCTGGCCACGTTGCAAGAACGATTGTGAGTTTCTGCATTCATCTGTGGTGTGCCACGACCATGACGGAGGTCGCACTAGCAGCTCCGCAGTCACGGTGTCTTCTCCGCAGTCTCTTGCTTCTTCTTAGAATTAATATTCGGACTCGGGCCCGAGGGAAGGTGTTCTACAGACGACGAACTTCAAACGTGGAGCACGCTCCGCAGCACCTGTGATAAACTGTGACGAGAGTCCGATGGCGATGGAGATAATATTAGAGATGGATATGAACATGATGGATGGGGATGAGCATGATGGAGATGGAGATGAACATGATATCAGATATGTGGGTGTGGATGGAGTGAGTCCCAACTTTAAAAATGTTGCGCAGCATCCCTCTGTAACATTTTTTTTCAATTAACGGTGTGCGCTTGCCCAACGCCATCATGATGGAATAAGCGCCGAATCAGTATCATAATCCTGTGTCAACTCAAAACATTGCGAAACTACCTGGGCCAGTCAACGTTCAACCTTGGCGTTATGACATTGCAGGGTGCGAGTGGACCTGTACCTCTGGGCCCTTAATTAGTTTCCCAAAGTCATATCAAAACCCTGACTTAAGACTTTGCAGGGTTATCTCACTGACCGACCAATGGACAATCGGGTAGAAGTTGAAATAAGTCACAGTCACAGTGATTGAAACACATTGAAATCATGTGAAATACTGCATCCAGCAAGTGGATATGATGCCGTCAAAGAAGATCTGATATTGCAAACAAACGAATGTTTGGTGAGTGGGATACCAATTTGCAAAAGGTTGCGATCTCTCGTGATTGGGTAATAGCGGTGAGACAAGACAATGTTCTGCGACACGCCGAGACGCCTGTCAAAACGTGGTGTACGTGTGCTATTTCAAGGTTCTTCCCTTGAACAGGCTTGAACCAGTGCCGATCAATGAATTATTTTGGTTCTTCGGTATAGGGGAAACGACATGCCAAAGCCCATATGGAAGGTATAAAGATGGGACCATCCCTTTCGATTAAGACCAACTCTGTCCCCCCTCACACTACCACCCAGGCATCATGCGAGATCTACCCGTCGAAATTATCAACGTCGTCGTCGAGAATGTTTCCTCCACAACTGATCTTCTCCAGTTACGCTGCTTAAACTGGACTTACCGAGATCTCGTCACTCCCATCGTATTCAGCAAAATCCACGTGCAAAACAGCACCAAGAGCGCGCAAAACTGCCAGCAGATCATCGGTGCCCCACACCTGGCTACCTACGTTCGAGAACTTGTCTATGATTCTCGTGACGATGGATGTTTCCAATTTCCCCAGCACAGCATAGGCAAGTTCCATTTCCTCTCGTCTACGCATAGGAGCTAATTGTACTTCAGATGTTGAGGATACGCTTGAAGTCGCTGAGCTTGAAGAAGCCTTGACTGAGGCCTTCTGCGCAATCTCTGCGCTTCCCAGACTTGAACGCCTCGTCGCGAATTTCTGGCCATCATTTGTTTCCCAGTCAGGGAAGGAAGTACGCGAGAGCCCATTCTGGTTCACGAATCGACAGCTCACGGTTACCCATGCCATATATCACGGCATGAAGACATCTCGCTTGTCATCCCTGTCTCTCAACAACGTTGTCATGATGCCCGCTTCATGTTATGATTTCGTCTCTTCCCTTACGAACTCGCCCCTGTCTTCCCTTTCCTTGTCCGTTGTACCAAATGCCGAAATCAGTGCCTGGTCTGGTTCCAAGGACATTAACGGATCACTTGGCGCACTCTTGCCTCCCTCCAACGTCACTCTTAAATCGCTTGTGCTGCGCAGCCCCCAGGGCCCATACCACAGCCTCACTACCCAGCTTTCTTCATGCCACTATCCTGCGCTCGAATCGCTCGTACTGGAAAATATCGTCTTTGATCAGACGCCCTCCGCTGATAGCGTCGAGGAGTTTGTCCTCCGCCACAAGAATTCATTGCGTCGACTGGAGTTGCAATCGTGCGCAAGCCATGTGGGAGCCCCATTATTTGATGCCAGACCATGGTCGAGCATCTGGCAACGATGGGCTGCTGAGCTCACTGGTTTGAGGGAGCTTGTGGCGGACGGTGACAGCGGATATGTCGTACTCGATGCCGAGTGGGGCTACGTCACTTATAAACCAGTCAGCGCTATGACGGTTGAGAGTGACTCGTCGAGCTTGCAGACGTTCCAGGATGCTCTAATAGCCGCTAGTAAGGCTATAGCATGTTAATGGTGGTATCATCGATTTCATTTGGGTGGTTCTACCTATCTCTCGCACGTATACCCCTTGTAAGGACACAACCCATGTAGTAAATAAAAGCAGGAATGTACAATTTGTTGTCTGAAGTCACATCTGTTGAGTATCTTTACCCCAACTCTGCCAAGTTCAGCTTGATGGAACCGAAAATGACGCGCGGCATTATGTGACATGGACGCGCCCTTTGAATTACGTGTTCTGCCGCTCGATGAGTCGATACCCTTTCAGTTTTCATTCCATCTACGTACAGACCCCAGAGTGTGGAAATGCATATCTGCAGTGCTTGTTATGCACGGACTTCGCGTTCGGAACTTCGTGCAACATGGGGAGGTATCATGCATCAGTTTGTGGCAGACCTCTAGCCTGTGGCGCGTCTGATGTTAATATTAGCTTTCAGATGGCCCCTACATGATAGCACGCACATGGGAGTCACACAAATTGGTTCCGCGGGACCAACCGTTTGGTCCTTACATATGTTAGATGTATTTCGGGCCGTATTAGCCTGTCCAACCCTTGTCTCACCTTTTCATGCAGCATGCATGGGCCTCAGTACGCGGGCCTATGTGGCCTACTATGTAGTTCAAAACTTTAACTAGTCCTTATGCGTTTGTGGTAAGATTGATGTAGACTAACTGGGACTGTCAGCTGGAAAAGCAAAGACTAATCGTTAGGAGTGGCAGTCTAGCCTTTGACGCGGCATTTTCAGCCGTGTGCATTTTCAGCCGTGTCAATTGCAAGGCGCGCCACACGCTCCACGCAGTATTACCAGGTAATAGCTGAGTTGTAAGAATGCAACAACAAGTGTAGTACTGGGTTTTGTAGGTTTTCTGTAAATGAGACACGTGAAATGACAGGGGACAAGGAGGATTTCAAACGAAGCAGAACATGTGAATACTAAAGAGTCACGTGAATAGGTAGAAGGGTGGTGATAAAGCCACGTATTGTGACAGGTATTCGATATCTCTAGACGAAGGGAAGTCTGTATAATTTAGAAATGATGTACCGTGTGACCAGGCCTATGGCATCAACAGCGCACTGGCATAGATGGGATATATAAATATTCACCTTCAACAAGCCACTTCACTCTAACTCCTGTCTAGGGTCCTGACAATGGAAATCATATCCAAGATCGCAGAGACTGACCTTCCGTCCATCATCTTGAGATGTGCGTCTTCCTCTTCTTATGGCTTTCTTCACAGCCGACTTGCTTTTCAGCTCGTCTAGCGTTCGTACCCATTCTAGAGGAAAGAAGGGCAGAGATTGAAAAGATTCAACGCAAGACTTTTGTATATAATGACAAGCGCCTCACCAGAAACGAGGTGTGACCTGTTTTACTAGAGAATTGATGCCATGCTCGTCATCTTACACCATGCATCATCATAGCTCGACGTTTATTACCCACTGAACTCGACTCTCACTAAGAATGAGAAGACCCCCATCCTAGTTTTCGTCTATGGAGGTGGGTTCAACACCGGATCACGACAACTTCCTGAACCGTTTTCCATGGGATACCGCGCACTTGGATCTTTCTATGCGCACCACGGCTTCATCACCGTCATTCCGGATTACAGACTTGTTCCAGAGGTTACGTTCCCGGCTGCATCCGAGGACATCCGTGATGCAGTCAATTGGATTTTCGCCAACGCCGACATCATTGGCATACCCTCCATACCCGCGCCTGATATGGATGCTATATTTATCATGGGCCACTCAGCGGGTAGCGTACACACGAAAGTGTTGACCCTTTATCCACCGCTGTCGAGTACCGTACATCCTCGTCTCAAAGGCGTTATCTGGTTTGGTGGCAGTTGGTCCTTTGATATCGAGGGGAGTGTATTTCGCACCGAAGTCGCCCCACAACAGTACTTTGGTTCTCAGGTGCAACAAAAGGAGAGGGAGCCACGGGCCCTTTGGAATGAGCTATCTGATGAACAGATCAAGAACTTGCCTGACATCCTCCTTGTCAGAGCAGAGCGAGAGCCTGATGCGGTGCTGATATCATGGGAGGAAATGCTCCCGGATATCGAGAAGAGGCGTGGAGAGGCGCCCCAGGCGATCATCTGCAAAGGTCACAATCACGCCAGCCCCAACTGGGCTTTATGTTCCGGTCAAGGGGAAGAATGGGGAGAAGAGGTTGTGAAATGGATGGCAGCTAGACTCAACTAACTCCCTTCCTCAAATTCAGAAGATTTGGAAATTCCTGTGTCAAACTTGAAGTTGTGTAGTCTACAGCGACGAACGTCGGCTACAGATGGATTGTCCGTCTTGTCGTGGTATATATTCCCAAAATATTAGGTTGGTTCTGCAGAAGTCAATCTCACGTGACCAGCACGCGTTCAAATTTTCACTCGACTATTGGAGAGGTCAAAACCTCTGTCGTCTGGGTCCAGGTCCCCTCTGAAGACAGTACTGTACGGCACTTCGAACGTGAATCGTGATGACCCCCGAAGTACACAGTCTCCCTCGACCATGGCTGGAACCTACAACTTGAAGCTGGAGTCAAGGTTCAAGCTCAAGGACAACTATAGCGAATCCCCAGAAGGCAAGTAGGATCGGACTCCGCAGGTGGTTTGTGCAGGACAGTGAACTCGAATTTTTGTCCACTACAGATGGCTTTGCGCTGTGGATGGTTTACCGCTGCTTAAATACCTTCGAGCACGTGCGTCCTCCTTGACTTCCAATTTGCTCTTCCCCCAGCACCAGATCTTAATCATTCCATGAAGAGAATACTTCTATCGCCATGATGTCGCTCGATGCTGAAGGTCAGAATCAAACCTAAGCCCCCGCAACTTCCACCATCCCGGAATTCGATTTTTCTGTCGCCTCCGACGTTGAAGAAAGGGGAGATATATGCGGCGAGTTCAGTTTACTGTAGGAACATTCCCATGCGAAATATTGAATGCACCAGCCGATTATGTCATTATAACCGGCGCTATCCCAGACGCTGCTGCCTCCCTTGATCTGTCTGTTATGTTTACCAATCCCCTTCCACCTTCTCTGGAAAACGAGTTCTGCGACGTCCATGGATATTTCGCTCACCTCAACGAGCAACATGAGCTTCCACAAACCGAAGTTGGCGATCAGCTGCCCGAAGACCTTCTTGCACAATTTCAGGGAGACATTGAATACGAACAAGGTCTCCCCCTCATGGAACAGTTTTCGGGCCCCACGACGTGAGTGATCCGTGCTGCGCTTTGATTGTGAATCATGATACTGACGGTCAATTACAGGCTTGACGAACAATTTATGACAGACATACAAGAGGTGGAAGCCTCAGCGGCTGGAGTATCCAATAACGTGAGTGATCCGCGCTGCGCTCGAGCGTGAATCATTATACTTACTTTCAGTCGAAGTATGTACGCGTCACAACTGTTCATGCCGCCGGCATGATACGGTGAGATCAACGGTGATGGGTGTGAGGTTTTAGCGGAGATGTGCATAGAAGGGGGAAGAGATTGGCGTATGATGCGTGCAGCGTCACAGCACTTACGGGAGAAGTGCCTGTGGAGAGAGAAGGCATCAATATGTATCTACAATGCGAAACCTGTAACGCTCACGAGGTATGAGCAGATAGTACGCTTAATTCGGCTTAATGCCCAATTGCATGACGCCTCCAGTTGGGCAGAATGGATGAGTTTTTTTTTGCGGGCTCTATGCACCGCTGGAACACCGCGATGGCGACATGGAAGCTGGCATTGTGATCCACGAGCTTGTGCATGGTCTCAGCACGCATTTAACGGGTAGCTCAAAGGCTCAAGAACAGATGTCTTGGCTGGGGTGAGAACGGTGGTATGGGCGGGGGCTGGGGTGGTAAGTCTATGTGGCATCGGGTGAACGCCTGACACTACCCCATCTTCAGACGACTATCCGCAGCACTAATATTGCGGATTTGACGCGTGATTTTATGTGGAGCTAATTGGATATACTTAGGATACACGACGAGCCTGAGCTTGATCCTGGACGTAAAGTTAACTCCACCCATGTCAGGTGGTGCTTCTCGTCCGAGTCATCGTGAGTAACTTACTTGTTGTAATGAACATCATGATGCCTATACCATCGGAGGATAGTAGTATTATAGTCAAACAATCCAACAAAGGTTACTAGTTCCAGGAGCTTGAGCGCTTGAGCCCGTGGGCACGGACTACATGGTACTATCGATTACGCTCACCACACATTCGGCTATGTTCATCTTCATTCATATACGAGCGCGACGGAGGTCATACTAGGAGCTCCGCAGTCGCGTGGCCCGAATTCAGACCTTGAAAAAAATTCGAAGGCAGTCGTTACTTCTAGCTCCGCAGTCTCTTCTCCTTAGAATTCGGTCGGACACCCACAAACGACGAAAACATGCGCCGCAGCACGAGTGATGATAGTCCGATGGAGAAGGAGATGCGGGACATGGGGTGAGTTCCAACTTCATTCAAATTTAAATATGCGTGCCTCTGAGTTAGAACAAGTTTTGATTAAAGGTGTACGTGGGCCGATGGTGGAGGCTGGGGCCTGCCCAAAGAATGAGCGCCAAATAAGTCTCCCCGTGAGGCTGTGTCAACCCATAACACGGCGTAGCTTTAACTACCGGGCCTTACGACATTTCAGGGTCATTGACAGGCGGGTGGACCTTTGCCCTGGCATATGCTATGACGCTGACCAACCGGTGGACGAGAGTTAAAGGTTTTAAAAAGTCACAGTGATAGCATCGAGTTGAAACACCTCGAGATTGCTTCAAATGATGTGAATTACTACAAACTAGTGGACGATGCCGTTGGAGCAGGGGCCAGCGGCCTAAGCCAAGAGCAAGGCAAGCAGCTACGATGATGATGATGCTAAGCTATGAACATGCTGGAACCTAGTCTACATGCTGACTAAGCTATGGAAAGGGCCACAGAAACCCCGAATGTGTAGCCCTGCCTTAGTACCCCTAGTCCACCATCGACTAAGATCTAATTCAATCCAAGAACGAACATCTTATAATTAATGCTGTTCAGTGAGTGGAGCGTTACTACTAATCATCATTCATTTGCAAAGGCTCTGTAACGTTCGATGGTGCGTGATCGGATAACGGAGTCGGACAAGACAATATTGTTCTACTTTCAGATACGACACGCCGAGGCGCCTGTCGAAATGTTGCTCGCATGTCATGTACCATTTCAAGGTACTAAGTAGTGCTGACGTGAATCATTTTGCTTACCGGTGCATGCGGGGAAACGAAATGCCAAGGTCCATATGTAGGATATAAAGATGGAACCATGCGTCCCTTTCGTTTCAGACCGACTCTATCCCTCTCACTCGATCAGCCAGGCATCATGCGAGATCTACCCGTCGAAATTATCAACATTATCGTCGAGAATGTTTCCTCCACAACTGATCTTCTCCAGTTACGCTGCTTAAACTGGACGTACCAAGATCTCGTCACTCCCATCATATTCAGCAAAATTCACGTGAAAAATAGCATCAAGAGCGCGCAAAACTGCCAGCAGGTCATCGGTGCCGCACACCTTGCCACCTATGTTCGGGAACTCGTCTATGATTCCCGTAACGATGGACGTTTCCAATTTCCCCATGACAACGTAGGCAAGTTCCTATTGTCTCTCGTCTACGCATAGGAACTAATTGTAGCATGGCATGTTCCTGCAGATGTTGAGGAAATGCCTGAAGTCGCTGAGCTTGAAGAAGCCTTGACTGAGGCCTTCTGCGCAATCTCTGCGCTTCCCAGACTTGAATGCCTCGTCGCGAATTTCTGGCCATCATTTGTTTCCCAGTCAGGGAAGGATGTTCGCGAGAGCCCATTCTGGTTTACGAATCGACAACTTACGGTCACCAATGCCATATATCACGGCATGAATACGTCTCGTTTGTCATCTCTGTCTCTCAACAACGTTGTCATGATGCCTGCTTCATGTTACGACTTCGTCTCTTCCCTTACGAACCCGCCCGTATCCCATCTATCCTTTACCGTTGTGCCAAACGCTGAAATCAGTGCCTGGTCTGGTTCTAAAGATATTAACGGATCACTTGGCGCACTCCTGCCCCCTTCCAACGTCATACTTAAATCGCTTGTGTTGCGCAGCCCCCAGGGCCCATACCACAGCCTCACTACCCAGCTTTCCTCGTTCCACTATCCTGCGCTCGAATCGCTCGTACTGGAAAATATCGTCTTTGATCAGACGCCCTCCGCTGATGGCATTGAGGAGTTTGTCCTCCGTCACAAGAGTTCATTGCGTCGACTGGAGCTGCGATCATGCGCAAGCCATGTGGGAGCCCCATTGTTTGATGCCAGACCATGGTCGAGCATCTGGCAACGATGGGCTGCTGAGCTCACTGGTTTGAGGGAGCTTGTGGTGGACGGCGACAGCGGATATGTCGTACTTGATGCCGAGTGGGGCTACGTCACTTATAAACCAGTCAGCGCTATGACGGTTGAGAGTGACTCGTCGAGCTTGCAGACGTTCCAGGATGCTCTAATAGCCGCTAGTAAGGCTATAGCATGTTAATGGTGGTATCATCGATTTCATTTGGGCAGTTCTACCTATCTCTCCCACGTATACCCCTTGTAAAGGACACAACCATTGTAGTAAATAGCTCCAGATCAGTAGGAATTTACAGTTCGCGTTTGAAGTCATTTTTTCCCCCAGCGATCGCTTGTCATGAGTTGGTTGCCGTATGTCTGCCAGGTATTCAGCTAAGCTCGTCTCGTCTAAGCAAAAGAAGGAAAGTCAACTACATACTTGTTCCGCTGCCCAATCACTACCACGATGTATATCAAATTATGTCAAACCTTATAAGCGGCTACTGGAACATCTTGGCCTGCATTGCTATGGTACCATGCCCGCTACAGCTACAGAATGCGACGGTGGAAGAATGCGATGCGAAGGGGTGGCTAGAGCAGGGCTCGGAGCAGGAGAGGGGGGATGGCGCTTCGTCGACCAGGGGTGCGACATGAACATCAACGTTGAAATTTTGAAACTCAAGGTAAATGATTCATGAATACAGAACGCCAATCCTGATCTCAAATCACAACGCGTCGTGGTCATGTGAAGCTGACATTCTGTTATTGGGACGAAGGTACAGAGACCTAAGGAATATACCACGACAAAATTATCCATTCATAGGCAACAATCTTCACTGTACGTTTGACACAGGATACAAATCTTGCGAATTTGAGGCAGGGGGCTAGTTATGTAAGTCGAGCTTTCATCCATGTCACAACCTCTTCTCCCCATTCTTCCCCTTCACCGGAACATAAAGCCCAGTAAGGGCTGATGTGATTGTGACCTTTGCAGATGATGGCCTGGGGCGCCTCTCCGCGCCGCTTCTCGATATCCAGCAGCATCCACTCCCATGATTTCAGTATCATGTCAGGCTCTCGCTCTGCTCTGACAAGGAGGATGTCAGGCAGGTTCTTGATCTGTTCATCAGATAGGCCATTCCAATGAGCCCGCGGTTCCCTCTCCTTCTGTTGCGCCTGGGAACCATAGTACTGCTGTGTGGCGACTTCGACGTGAAATCTTTCATCAAAGGCCCAACCGCCACCACACCAGATGACGCCTTTGAGACGAGGATGCACGGTATTCGACACTGGTGGGTAAAGGGTCAACACTTTTGTGTGCATGTCGCCCGCTGAGTGGCCCATGACAAATATAGCATCCACATCAGGCGCGGATATGGAGGGTATGCCAATGATGTCGGCGTTGGTGAAAATCCAATTGACTGCATCACGAATGTCCTCGGATGCAGCCGGGAATTTCACCTCCGGAACAAGTCTGTAGTCCGGGATGATGGTGATGAAACCGCGGTGCGCATAGAAAGATCCGAGCATGCGGTATCCCATGGAAAATGGTTCAGGAAGTTGTCGTGATCCGGTGTTGAATCCACCTCCATAGACAAAAACTAGGATGGGGGTCTTCCCATTCTTAGTGAGAGTCGAGTTCAGCGGGTAATACACGTCAAGCTGTGATGACATCTGATTCTAACAGTCTCTGACTCTCTGAAATAAGTCACACACCTCGTTTCTTGTAAGGCGCTTGTCATCGTATACAAAAGTCTTGCGTTGAATCTTTTCTATCTCTTCCTTCCTTTCCTCTAGAATAGGCACGAACGCTGCAAGAGCTGAAAAGCAAGTCGGCTATGAAGGAAGCCATAAGAGGAGGATCCAAGACACACTTCTTAAATCTGTTTCTGCGAACCTGGAAATTATGTCCATGATCAACATCAGGAAAAACCCAAAATGCTGTAGCCCGGGTGACAGCTATATAGTGCTATGTAGGCACACCTTACACTACATTTACGTATATAGTGCTATATAGTCTAAAGCCACGCTACATGCAGCTACAAGGCAAACACCGTGCTACAGGTAGCTACAGGAGCTTACTACTGCGCTACAGGCAGCTACAGGTGCACCCATAGTACATACGTGAGTGGCTGCAAGTCAGCTAAGGAAAATTAAGGAAACATCAGTCATATTACTTGCGTGCCTGAACTTTCTTGAACACACCACTTCGTAGTATTTTGCTTATAACTCATTAGGATCTTAACTAAAAAATGTCATGAGACTATGGAAAGACTACCCTTGACAAGGGCTACAACTTTGATTTTCATCGGAAAGATTCCCACGGTCTACCCTAGTCATTCCTTATCATGGTCCTTAATCAAATCCTAGTCCCTAATAAGCAAAAACTCGAATTTTCATCAAGTCTTTCTTTACTATTGGTATTCCTGTTGGTATTCTTAGTCTTAATAAGCAAACATCAGTCACATTACTTGCGTGCCTGAACTTTCTTGAACATACCACTTCGTAGTATTTTGCTGATAACTCATTAGGATCTTAACTAAAAAATGTCATGAGACTATGGAAAGACTACCCTTGACAAGGGCTATAACTTTGATTTTCTTCGAAAAAATTCCTAAGGTCTACCATAGTCACTCCTTATCAAATCTAATGGTAGACTATCATATTAGACAATAAATTATTATTCTAAGTCCAATGATTATGGTATATATATTAGTTGCTACTTTCATATGTACAAGGTCCTGTAGTCTAGTGGTAAGTGTTGCTCGAAATTGTGTCAATTAATCAGGTGGTCGATAGTTCAAACCGAGTCTATGGCAAACAATAAAGTGGCCAATTAGGTAATCATTTTTGTGGATCATCGATCACCCAGTCTGATTTGTAGCAGCCTGTAGCACCTGTAGTTGGTTGCTACAATGAGCTACAGGAGTTGTGCATAGCACTATATAGTACTACATAGTACTACATAGTTGCCTCACATACTATATAGAAAGGACTTGACTATCAAGCTACACAGTCTACCCTGGCTATATAGTACTATATAGTGACTGGGCTTTTTCCTGATGAATTAGGAAGAGGAGTGAGAATCTTCTCGAACATGGATGCTTATATATATATTGGGCATCTACGCTAGCCTTGACTCAGCTCAGCACCGATGGCTGAGGCCTGATGCCTAGTGATGGAAAAGTCCAGTTCAGTCCGGTTCACCAGCAAAATCGCTGAACGCTGAACCGGACGTCACATTTGGTTCAGCAATTTTACTGAACGTTGAACTGGCAGGCCATAGTGTCATATTTATTAATACAAGTCCAGGGATGGTAGAACATGAATTATGCATACTTACCTGGGATCCCTCACCTCCAGAGAGTATGCATACTCACCGCAAATCCCTATGGGAAGCCTTGCTGAGCTTCGTGAAATTCTTGTTGGCTATTAGGGGAGCTCAAAGTTCGATGCTCACGTTTATGCTTATTGTTGCCTATGCTTACACCAAGAGGCGTGCGATACAAAGAAGCAAGACACTAACATACAAATTCTCCAGAGGGGGGGGGGGGGGGGGAGGGGCCCCACATGATAAAAATTTCCTTATCTAGTTTAATTTTTACAAATTGGGATCACAGGAAGTACAGACGTGATCGAAATATGACATTGGCATTCGGGGACCCAGAAAACCACTGATACTATGAAGTGAGGCATGAAGGCAAGCAAAGACACAGCAAAAACATAGCAAACAAGTAGCAAAAGCAAAGACAACAGGTCTAAGACTAGTATGGCAATGAGTAGCAAAAGAACGAGTATCAAAAATGAATCGCACAATCAGTGACGAGCTCTCTTAGTCAATGAGGCAGCAGAGGCGACCATCTGACTAGCAGTAGGCTTCCGTTTCTGATTGCGGGAGGATGAAGCAGGCTGATTCTCTTTGTTTTCCAGAATGAATGTGAATGCAGGTCAAGCAGGGACACCTGCCTTCTTCTCCTCGGCAGCAGTGAGAGCAAGTGCGTCATACATATTGCGAGGAAGGAGAGCTCCAGCTGGCTTGCCTGGATGTGCATACTCTGGGTGCTGCTGGTCCAAGTGAGTCTCCAGATTGTAATGCCAGATGGCAGGATGCCAGTCGGTGTCTCGACCCTGATGGACACACAACTTGCATACAATCGGGACATTGCAACACGGACGAGTGTTGGACCCTTTGATAGCGCTCCCATACTGGAATGACTCTTTGCGGGGACATTTCGTCTCCCACCGCATCCCGTGTGTGTCCTTCAATGTTAGTGCACAGTCTGGATTGTTAGACTCGCCACAGAATCCGCAAGGCAAAGGACCGTCAATTGGAGTGATGACATTGTTGGTGACTCCGCGAGCAGGCACGGAGAATATGGATGCCCATGTGCGAACGGAGGTCCTTTGTCTGATCACCACACAGTGGACACGCACTTGTCACTGCTTGGCCATGTCCTGATGTTGTTAGAATCTCCGTCCCTGCTGTGCAAACGAGGGCATCTGATCCTGCGGGCAAAATAGTAAGCGCCAGTATTGTGAAATAAGACAAGACTCACCAATATCCATCTTGTATGGAAAGCCAGAGTTTTCACTTGTGAGTGAGGTGATAGAATTAATTGGCATCTTCAACTCCGCAACCTTCATCCATAACAATCCCACAGCAGCCTGCAATGCTTCATCGGCCACTGCCCATGTCACTCCCTTCGAGTTGACCTTGTGCATCTGCTCCGGCGAGAGGTGGTCTTGCACATCCATGACATGAGGATTTACAAGTTCGAGGAGGTGTCCGGGGATAGATATAGTGACTACCTTTAGTGTGCACATGCTCATCCCTGGAACAATGGAAGTGGTCTTCAAATAGGAGCCAGTCCAAACCCAAAGGACGTCAGGCTCAGATGTTTGTGAAGGTACCAGAGTAAGAATCTCCCCAGTAACCTTCACATTGCCTCACGGAGATGTTAGAGTAGCAGTCTTGATTTGCATACGAGCAGTACTATTTTCTGAGATTGAGGTTGCTCAAACAAGGGCAAGGGACAATACTTTGTTCGTCGTTCGGATGAGAGTAAGGAACAAGTCTCCCGTGAGGAACTGATCACCGTGAAGAACATGGTTGATTTCGACATCGTCAAACCTCTTGTTGACAGATGAGAACCCTCGTACACGAAAGAGCCAAGCTTGTGATTTGGGAGTGAAATTTGGAGTAATGATGAGTCGGCAGACACTTTGCTTGTGTACCCACTTCTTGTTGCACCAAATGAAATCTGTGCTATGAATGCCAGGACCACTTGGTGGTGCTGTTGGCTGAGGGTTCTAGCTTGGAGACAGCAAGCTCGGAGACAGCATGATCAAGTTCCACGTGCGTAGTCTTGGATGTATCGTTGAGCATCTCCTCGAATTCGAGTGCTAGTTCATCTTCTTCGTCATGTTCCACAGGCGCTGGGCAAGGGTCATGCTAAGGAAGGGTCTCAGCTCAGTGAAAATTTAACATCGTGACAATACTCACCTGCAGGTCTTGGATAGTAGTTGGTATAGTTGGTGTCAGAAGCGCTATGAGTGACCGATCTTCATCCCCTTCATCATCATCAATGCTTGGATACCTTCCCTCACCAAAAACACATTGCAAATCAATCCCTGATCCAGGGAAGAAATATAAATCGAAGTCGTAGGTTGAAACAGGCATCTGCGTGAGTTGTAGAATGTTGGTAGCCTCATGTCGACCCTGTTCCCAAGCACTCTGGAGGTTGCAGTTGCTGGAGATGATGTCGCCGACCCACATTGAACGTCCGATATGATCAACTGCCTCTGAACGTGTGAGGTTAAGGCGGTGATGGCCATGTGCAATATCTGGGTTACTGAGAATACACTCCACCAATGTCACGAGCAGCGCCAAGCCGGTCAAGTGACTGCTTGTAATTAATAGCACTATTGTGTCCGCCACACATGCGGAGAAAAGCTGAAGCATAGCTTGATAGCGTCATCGCCAACATCAAGGAGAGAGAAGGGTGCCTGAGGATTGAGCTTTTGTTGCTTTTTGATACAAAACACGGTGTTCTTGAAAAGTGTTTGAGTGTCATAATAGAGTTGGTTCGGCATAAGCGAGTGCCATTGGTCCCGGAAGCAAGCATAAAGGAGATAGGTGCAGCAGCTGATGGAAATGACTTGTTGAGTGAGTGAAAGTGTGATGTCGATAAATGGTCTGAGCAGGCTGTGGAGAATACGTGATAGAATTCTAATCAGCATCGAAATCAGCTATGGTATCAACACTGGGCTGCGTCAGTTTGATGTCACCAAGCACAATGACAGCATTCATGAGCTCCACTGCATGTGGTATGTCTTGGGGGTCATCTGGATATAAAAGCTTGAGTGCACGGGCCTCGTCAATTCCCTCAACCCATAAGAGGTTACCGTTCGAGCATTGTTGAATTAATAGCACGTCCATTATTGAGATGCATCCCAGCATGGGAACGAATCAAAGTGCTGAAGCCTACAGTGGATTAGAAACATATGAGAACGCAGTAACGAAGGCACCTATGCTTGAAGACTGTGCTTATAATCGAAATTGAGCGTGATTTCGTGTGCACCAGTGAGCAGGTTAAGACCTGGGAGATTACTGAGGGTGCCGTAAAGTGGTGACGTTAATGGAAGAGGTGTCTGGAGGAATGTGCGATGTCCAGCTTTCCGCCGAGTTGCATCACCATCAGTTGTGAAAGACCAGACGGGTCCTATCTCCTTGTCGGCTCCACTTGCATACCAAGAGTTGATGGTTGTGTTGAAAATGAACTCCATGTCGCTGGCATCTTCTGATTTGCAGGTTGGTGCTGCAAGTATGGGATAAAGGCCATCTTCACCAAAAACATGAGCACCAACAACCATAATCTCTTTGCCTAAATGAACCCTTCCAGCCTTCAGTGCATTGGCGATATTGAGTGCAGAATGATAGTTGTTGAGTGTCACATCTACACAACTAGAGTGTGTCCAGCATAGCCCCCCAATGCTGTTGGACTGTGGTAAATATACGGCTGCTTCCTCAAGTGCAGTCTTGTCAACAAGAAGGCTGACACCACGAAGTGTCATGAGTCCAGCTGTAGCATGAGGTACCAATGCAACAGAGGTGATGTTTTGTTGAATAACGTCCTGCGTGATACGTCCAACGGTAGGCACAATCTTAACGAATGAAGTATGGCGATACAGTGTTCTTGGTGACAGAATAGCAAGAAATTGGTTGAGGGAGTACAGGAGACCCTGTCCTCCAAGTCGAAGAATGAGAAGTGAGAGATTGAGAGCCTCTTGTGAATGTCCTTGTGGCCGATACCCACGTTCAAGGGCTTCTTCAATCTTGCGAAGTATAGCACTAATACTGGTGCCATTCCTGAGTGCCGTCTGAAGAAGATTCCGTAGCCATGGCACATTGGACTGCGCTAGCGCCATGACTAAGGAGGTATGGTCTTCTAATTCAGACAGAAGGCATCTAATCTTGCGGCTGTCATTCAGGCCCTTCATAAGATGCGTCAGTACAATCTACACCAATACAGAGACCTGAAACATACCCATAATTTAAGAGCATTCATGTTTTGATCGCGCTTGTGTATGACCTTGACGAGTTGAAGGGGAGTAAGAAGTCCGTGACGTGTATGCGGTCGACGGACTCTTGCATTCTCCGCAAGTGCTTTGAGTTTCGGCTCAAGATGTACACAGAAATTGCATGGCCCAGCATCATTGCCTGCCTTTTGAGTGCAGTCGAATGAACGAGCAAGCGTGTTGCGAGAGATGACCTCGATATCGAATGAAAGCTTGTCTGGGCCCTCTGCCAGACGTAGCCAAGGCAGGTTTGCGTGCGTGGGTGTGCCGACAGGGTTTGGCCAGTCAATGATTTGGAAACCTGGACACTGTAATGGCGCAATGATGGCAGTACTAGCCTGTGACATATCACTAGTAGGAGGAGAATCACTAAAATACACTATATTAAGCACTAACAATAGAAATATGATACAAAACTCACGGTACATAGAGATCAGGTGTTGCCCAGGACACCAGTTCAGAGTTCACAAAAGCAGTTGCAAGCGTCAGGCACGATTCCTTGACAGTGTCACGAACCTTCGATTTTTCACAACAAGCGCCATAGTGTTGTTCTAAAGGCGTGAACTGACCGCGAGTTGAGAGTTTCACATAGCTTCAAATACCAGACTTGATCCAGCAGCCACAGGGACATCGTAACTCCCAAACCTTCGAATCATTGATTTGGACTTCGAGTTCATTGTACTGATAGAGGGTGAGAAAAGCGGTACTAGTAGCCTCCATGATGAGGTGTTCTTTTTCATTTGGGTCGAGAGTTGGAGTTGAAATATGCTGGTGGAAAGACTCGGACTGGGGATTTGCAGGTTCATGCACAGGATGAGAGTAAAGAAAGGGCTGGATAATGCGTGGTGAACTTGAACTCAAGGCAGATAAGGACGGTTCATCAGAATCAATCTGATAAGCCGTATAAAGTGTTGCGCCAGGCTTCTGAGAAGGGTTTACATCATCATTAAGACCGTGAGTTGCTTCAGCCATCAAAATCTGGCCATTATATGTGAAATTAAAGTGAGAATCATCTGGCATGGTGGTATCAATGTCCTGGTATCATAAACTAATGCAAGAAGTGGGAGGAAGGGAAAGAAAGAGAGACACAACACGTTGAGGACACGTCTGTTATATATTCACTCAATTGCACTCGATCACTAGCACTTTGCGTCATAGCTCAGTTTGGAAATGTCTAAATATCTGCCCTCAGATGTGATTTGACATGAATTGACATTAATTGGGTACTTTATTGCCTCATATAAGTACCTAGTGCTATTCTAAGGGTCATTTGAATTCGGTAACGAACTATCATTTCAAGATGTTTTGCGACCGCTGTGCAAAGTTCGAGCGTCAACTGCAAATTTTGCCAAAGTGGCTGAGATCGGGACCCCAGACACCAGTTTGGGGGGGAGGTACGAAAGGAGTGTGTGTTCGGGATTCGCCGAACGCACACCTCTTGGCTTACACCCCCATTCTGACTGATTTGTACTGTTGAGTAAACAAGTCAAAATATGTCCGTTTGAAATCCGTTTGCAGTCACACCATGGTACTATTTTGACTTATTTACTCAACAGTACAAATCAGTCAAAATTGGGGGGGGTGTAAACATGGGAACAATAAGCATAAATGTGAGTGTCGAAATTTGAGCTCCTCTAATAATTTACTAACAATGATAAATATAGACTTTTCTTTGCTTCTGGTGCCTTCTTTGGTACCTACCCTCTCCTCTGCTTCCTCCAGCACCCTCCCTTGGCTTCCCATATCTACATCCCATATCCTGCAGGTAAGATAGGCCTCATTCAAATACATGTAGATCACATGACTTTTCGTGACATTTGCGTTACAATGCCTAAGGATGTTTGTAGAGACACTCTTAAGAGAATCCATTCCATCAGATTGTTCGCATGCATGGTGCGGGCAATCTGATGGAACAGAATTCCTTATTTTGCATTTGTGAATGAGTAGTAGTCTTTATAGTGATTGAGGTACTGCTGCCTTGTTACATTGTGGCTGTACAGTGTGACAGCAGTGTCAATGCACCAATAACTCGGTGTCACCAAAACCATTATGCCTCGCAAAAGGCCTTCTTGAATTGCAAATTTGAAAGCCTACAATTACAGCAGCCAGAAGAAGAGAAAGTTAAGCCACACAAGCCATGAGAATGTAAGGAAACATCAATTTTTATTGTGCTGGCTGGAGTACTAAAACTAAAATTAAACTAAAGATGGCACCCTTCTCTAGAGCCTACCCTACAAATCCACCACTCTCACACACTACAAATGGTCTTTCCTAAATTTCACTGTGAGCTGAATTTTATTGAGCAATGTTGGGGCTACTCAAAATGGATCTATCGCAAACTTCTCGCATCGTCGAAAGAAGCCGATCTCGAATGGAATGTCCTTCAGTCTTTGGACTCAGTTCCTCTGCTTGCCATTTGCCGGTGAGTCCCTATTTGTGAATCTTGATTCCAAGATGCGGCAGTGTGCTGACACTATGCGATGCCAGTTTTTCCACTCGCTCATTGAGATTCATGGACACCTATAGAAAAGGACTCAATGGTAAGCAAGCAGCATGGGCCTCGAAGAAGTACCGTGGTCATCAAACTTCACCTGAAACAATTATGCGAGATTTGACAGATGCCGGTTTGGTTGGCAACATTCATTAAATTCATACCATCCCTACCATATGACTTGGAATCCTATCCCAAAATATCTATGTCAAGAAATGTATGGTGGCACTCAAACAAGGTCACACAATGTAACAGAACATCACAAAAATGTCACATCATGTGATGTAGATGGGTTTGGATGAGGCCTATCTTAGCAGCACCTTCTAGGCCAGGGTGATTAACCAAGGAGAATGAAGGGCAGCACCATGACAATAGTAGGAGGTAATTTGAATCATTTGGTGGTGGAGCCACAAGGAGTGGAGCTCATGTGTGGCTCCATTGTTTCACTGTTGGTTGCTGCCCTGTATGTTCTCTCTCCCTTGTCAGACATACCTATTGCACACGACTTCCAGGGTTTTGAATTTAGTATTCTGCTTTTGGACTCATGGGCCTGTCCTTTCTCAGACTTGATAGGTAATTCAATTGTCAGTCTCTTCAAGCTTCAAGTTTCAACACCAGATGCTAGTACCGACTGTTCAAGTGCAATGCTGGTGTGACTTGAGCAGATACTTTAAGACTTATTTCCTTTGTATTGAGCATGGCAATATTAATGATTTACATGCTCATGATGACACAATTATTGGCTGAAACATCCTGGGACCTCACTCTGGAGACTACATCCCCCCCCTGCATTGTCATTTTTGAGAATACTATAGTCTTGTGTCAACTACTGAGCTGGTGTGCACTCAATACTCGCCACTCAGAACTACAGCAAATAACACAATTTTATTTTGTTTTTGTATTTGAGCATAATGTGTCCTGAAGTAGTGGCTGTGTATGACTGCATGACTGGTGTAACTTTTTGTTAGGTCCCATTACAGATGTGGCCTTTACTGCTGTGCCGTTCAACTCATCTCTCTCTCACCTGGAGTTCAACAAATACTTATCTTAACAGCCTTGCTCTTGTCAAACTTGATAGCCACCAATATCATGATGACTTGTTGTGATTGGAGAGTGTTGGCGGTTGCAAATACTGAAAAAAAGCTGGTGAGTGATTTTTGCAGGTACAATGCATATGGTTGATTTTTATTTGAAAACAATGCACCTGGCACAACTTCTGAGTCCTGCACCCTACAATACATCCCTGCACCAAACTGTCATATCCACAATCCACACGAGTCTTCTCTGCCCTCAGTTGGCATCCTCCACCTTTAATCATAGTCCTCCATCCTCACCCATGCTCCTCCACCTCTCAATATATGTCTCTGATGTCAGGTACATTCCTCCACCCGTGACTCAATCAATGTTATGACCAACGTCCCTTAACCTAACTAGTAGGTGTTTGGAGATCAATCACACCACAGGACTCAGTCTGAAGAAGGATAAGGCGAGATAGAATTGAGAGGGAACGTCTAGGCCCTACGATAACGTAGAAACGAGGAGGTTAAGTCTAAGGAGTACTACTGACTACTACCTAGACTATATACTACTATTGGGGCGGAGCTATCTGAGTATGAAAGGTATGTGGTATAACTATATACGGTCATAACATTGCACCTAGGGTATAGGGCGTCTTATCAACCAATCAACTACAAGAAGAGAAGGGTAAAGGGTTCATAGGGCCAAGGGTATCGGTAATTAAGCAGGGTTCTCAGGGACTGCTTCTATTCAGGGTAGACGGAGATTAAGAAGGGTGTGAGAGAGTTCTGTGACAAGAAGTCTCGAGCGGTAATTAAGGATCTCGATTAGAGATAGGATCTGATGATCTAGATCGAAGGATCTAGATAGGATCTGGATCTGGAGATGTATCGGGTACGATCGGATCTAAGGGTTCTCCAGGGTCTTCGGTAATGAACATGCTTCTCTATGAGCGATGCTTCTGTGATAGGGGTTCAGGGTTTAGCTGTGACTGTGCAACAGGTTCTAATGTAAGGGGTTCGGTGAATGACAGAGGTAACTCTTAACATGTCATGTGTGAAGATGTGAAGGTCTGCGATGTGAAGAGGTGATGACCCTTTGAGAGATAGCTCGTAAAGTACTCTCGGTTATGGTTCGATCATAGAGGCATGTAGATGCTTATGATGTAACCCGTTGCCTAATCGTAGGACTTCTAAGGATGTGATGAGTTCGTACGTCTAGGGTTACGGATAAGGATGGATGACGTCGATGTAGTATAGATGTGATGTAAAGATAGTGGTCGTTAGCCGGTTATCCATCTTATCTTATCAGGGATCTATCTAATCTAATCTTATCGGATAAGGTGACTTAGGGTTCGATAATCGAAATTTAGATGCAGTTGGTAACATTCATGACAATCAAGGTACAAGGCACCTGTCAGACCATTCCAAGTTTCTTTTGTGTATTCCACTTTCCACTTAGTCTTTGTACCTTGTATGATCTGATCCTCCATTCCAATTATGCTTGTTATATACTATGGTTCATTGTTCCTTTTATTATTACTTTGTACTCCACCATGCTGTGCCACATAGCCCAGATCCCTATAGTATATAAACCCCATGTATCCTGGTGAAGTTTCTACAATATGAATATAGACTTGAACCTATCCTAACTATCTCCAACTTGACTTAAGTCATGCCCATTATCTTTTCCGACTCCAAGACTAGTCTTGCCAACCTCCACCTCTGTCTTCCGACAGCCTTTGTCTTACTTTCTATGTCGGACTTAGTCCCTCATAGTCTTACCTCTGTCAGAGTGCATCAGATGAAGTCCCCTGTAACCGTACCCCTGTCGGAGCATGTTAGAGTTGATCTTCAGCCGTCTCTATCTGTCCTTCAAAGTTATGGGCACTGTACTCGCCTAAAGATTGCAGTGCATGAGCTGAAGCTAAGCCCATCCATAACTTCATTCTTACCCATTAGGCATGGTTCTGACACAAACAGCACCCTTCTTTCAAGTCCTCCAACTTGAATAATATCCAACCTCACTTCCACTAGGCTGCACCACTGCAGAAAACTCACTCATAACCTCCAAGTCTAATACCTTCTTGCTGCCCAGTGCTAGATAGCCAGATAGACTCCCATTTGTCATCTCCCAGATGTCGGCCGCACTTCCCTGCACACTTCCCATGTTCACCTCCACTCTCTCATATGAGTCACCCTCATGGCCTCCAACACTAACACCTTTTTATTTGTTTTCATTGTCTTGGAAGATTTTGTTTTGTTATCTAGAGTATTGTGTTGAGTGGCATTTCACATGGCCACTTTCTCCCTCTTTGATTATTTCACCTGTGTAGGCCATTACTAACTTTTTGCATAATTTTTTTTTTTTGAATCTCAATGCTGTCAATTGTATCTGATGATATTCACTGTTTTCTATGGACCGTGTGTGTGTCACGAATTCCTAATACGAACCATTTTTCATTTCTCGGTTTTCCCTCAGCTACTTCCAGTATCCGAGCCGGTCACGTGACTCCTCGTCATAGGTCACCTGTTGCTTCTCTGATTGGCTCACCTACTCCACAGGCTAGAACAATCTCGCTTCCCAAAGGAGAACCGGTCGGAACCTGGGTTTCTGTTTAGTTGCCGTCTTACTCATCTGCTTATATATCATGATGTCATGCTCAGTCATCCGCAGCATCGTACGACTCTTTTCTCATTGGCTGATTTCTTTCAGACTCCTACTTAATGTTATGTATAAGAGTAGGGTAGTTAGCGTAAGTGCTCCTTAGTAGTTGTGTTCTCTCCTTCATCATTATTGGTGAATGTGGGTCATAACATTAGGTTAAGTCTACTCTACCACTCCGACTCGAACTTTGTCCTGGACGTCACTGTTCTCGACGAACTTCATCGTGCTGTTCTGCTCAAGAATATTCTCGCGGATCACGTTTTTTGTTCACTCATCATTTCCCCGACGCACTTTAGTATCTCAGTTTCTTTACGTTAGCATTTTAAGTAGAAGTGGACCAGGCCCTCGTCTTACACGAGCCGCCAGTTCATAAGGATCAGTGACCTTAGGTCCTGTTTCCACACGTCTACAGTCAGGCCCAAAACCCTGCCGACTGTACGCTACAATACTTGCTTTTTACGTAACAGAACGGCACTCGCAGGTCTTACAACCCTAAAATACATTACGATAGGAACCTAGGGTGCTGAAAGCAGACCCAAAGTTCACTGCGTCTTCGCGAACTCCTCTCGAGTTCATTTAGGTTGACGAACTGCTACACGCGCTGTATTCGCACCTTCATTATCACGTCTCCGCCATACAGATCCCGCCTATTCGTGGCCAGGGAAGCGCTCCTCCACACTATTTCCTGTTCGGATTCTTCTTGCAGATTCTTCCATGTCCGAGAATCTAGGAGAGCCTGGGATGCACGTTTCCGAGGATACGGAAGTGACAGACACTCCCCCAGCTGTACCAAGAGTAGCGACTCCACCAAGGGGAGTGATCCACTCTCCGGCCCCGCAAGGATGGAGAAACCCGTTAGGCCCATTAGCACCTGCAGGATCATCCACCACCCCAACCGCAGGCCCTTCTGCACCCTTCGGCATCTCTGGGCCCGGGTCGAGTATCATCACCCATCAGGACATTTTGCACGCAATCAATGCCATCGTCGTAACAGAAAGAGAGTACACCAGGCAGTTCATAACCAGTCTGCAGAAGGAGGTCGACGAACTGCAAGCAGGTCTGGTGCATGCGGATGACGAGATCGACTACCTAAAGAACAGGGTGAGGGATCTGGAGAGCTCATTGAGGGACACGGAAGAAAGGGTCACGCTTTTGGAGACCTCGCCTACAATGAAGATCCCAGGTGCTATATCTGGGACTTCAGGCTCTGATTTGAAGATGGCGAAACCCGTGGACTTCACAGGAGATAAAAACTCCATTGACATTGACACTTTCCTCACTCAGCTCGAAATCTACTTTACAGGTTACCCTGGAGCAACCGAGCAGCAGAAATGCACATGTCTTGTGTCCTTCTGCCGAGGAGCTGCGGCAAAGTGGGCAGAGAGTATCACCCCTATGGCACTCAGCGGTCAGCCCGGGTCCTATAACAGCATCGTCAAGGACATGAAGGTCATGTGGAGCGTCGTCAACGA